ATATAATTTGTTTTTACATATACAATTAAATGCAATAGAAAACATCGGGGCGCAAATTTTATATTTTGCCCCGGGAGCAAAATATGCTGGCTACGCCTCTGTCCCGAATCGAGGTGAATGAACAAATATGAGTCAGACTGAAACCAGGATTTTCATTTTGCGTTAAACCGACTCTCATTTGATTCATTCGAAATTGACAGCATTTCAACTCATTCATTTCAAGTCACTGCTGCAACAAGGATGCAAATTTGGGATTTTTTAAATACAACGCGTCGCAGAATAACGACAGTACAGGTCAGGGTGGCCCAAACCCAGGCCCACGGGCCGCATGTGACCCGCCGCTTCATTATCTGTGGCCCCCGTCGCATTTGTGGGAGGGTAAACAAAAATCGCATTTGGTGTTGTTTCGTCATAAAAATAACCAGCAAAATCTTTTGACACATAGTTACAACACTAATGTCACTGAATTGACTAGTGTAATGGCTAGCTGAGGCAACTAGCAAAGTTGAATAATGTAGGCTACTTGGCTAGTCTAAATTGTTAACTGGCTTTCTGTGTTTTTGGTCGGGAATATATGCGAACAAAAATGGCTTCATAGAAAACTAAAAATCGAATACGGAATCTTTTAGCCTAGGTTGGTTATGCCTGATAACTAAATATTAATGTTATGGCCGAACAATATAATTCCTGTCGGGTGTTTCACTGCAACCGCCCTAAACAGTAATACAAAAATGCCTATATGTCAGAAAATTTAATAATTACCCTCCTGTATCTCAAATTTGGTAACATTCGGTAATCAATCAATCTGAAGTTTGAAATCTTAAACAAAATGTAGATACAGTAGGATTTTTGCACGTTTTAGTAAGTTTTTTCAGTGGTTTTTGCATGTTTCAGCTTGATAAATGACAAACAATGATCATTGTGTTTGAACAATAATAGTGTTTGTTTTGTGTTGCAGTGTTTACTTATTCTTGGCATTATTGTGGCCCACGAACAATACAAAAATAATAGTGTGGCCCCGAGGCGGACCATCTTGAACCACCCTGTTATAGGTGAATGAGAATTTCTCAGTTCGACTCGAGGTGTTTTCAAGTATAGGAAAGGAAAATTATAAAAATACAAATATGCCCTCGGAGGAAACAAGAGGACACGCCCGGAACCATGGTAAATGTGGTCATATCTGAAATTTATATGTAAATTTTAGGCATTGCGGAAACTGGAAGTACAAGCGGAAAAGAAACTAGAAACATGTAAACTGAAGGAAATGGCGTTAAACAGGATGAGGTCGTTGTCACTTTGTTTCACCAACTTAGCATGACTCAACACTTCTGATAATGGTTAACTTTCTATTCATTATGTGACGTATGAATAAAATTACTTAACTTGATTTGTAGAGTCATGAAATATAATATTCAACAGAAAATGAAAAAAAAGTAAAAATACATTTGAACTGTACAATTACAGCCGATGGAATTGCAAAACCAATCGATGATTGAGAGAGAGGGAGAGAGATTAAAAAAAATAAAACAATACATATATACAACCGTTCTGTTATAATACTTATGGAAACTTTGAAAGATAGATAGCGATCAAAAATATTATAAAATACAGCTTAGTGGCTCTTTATGGAAATATAATAATTGAACGCGAGATTGCCTAAAGTGGATACGCATATATTATGGAAAGCATCTCAACGTACCAAAATATAACAAGTGCAGCTATCAATACCAACCTTGCATCAGTTAATTTGAATGATGGCTAGGATGGTATTAACATATTTATGCCGGAGAACAGGAAATCCGATAAGACCATATGTCTGTCGTCCAGTTACCATTCCGTGCCGTCTGTATGGTCTTAATTAGTCAGGTGTTCGTTTTAGATGCATGAACTTAATGGCGGAGGTAGGCGTAACCGACCAACGATTACGTGAACCACCCGAAGAGTCCAGCAATCCTCCCGCACATAATTATCCCCGCAGGATTCGAACCTGCGAATCCACGCAGGGTAATCCGAGCTGTGGTGGCGATTGTATTCTTTGTAACGCTTCGCACGATGCATCGCACGTGGTGCGCAATGGTGTTCAGAGACAATCAAGAATAATGAATTCGATCGCACTTGGAATATATATAAGCCGTAACTTTGGGTCTGACACCGCACACCCCTGTACATATAACCTTTGACCCGAAATAATATAAATAAGTAATAAAAACTGGAAACGCATTTTCAAATGTAGAAAATAATGCTTGTAATAACAGTTTAGGCACTGACAAGAAAACAACCTTATATATTTATGGGCTTCCGCGATTCCATATGTCACGGTGGACATATAAATTTTTTTACTTGTTGTTGTCGAAGTTTTTCATGTTAGCGTTTTTATTGTTGTTGTTGAAAAAATCGTTTTTGTTTGCAACTGGTGAACCGATCAATTTCCAGTTTTCCGTACTTAACGATGGACGAAATCGCAAGACGGATGTTTTTTTTTATAAATTTACTAAAACCGATATTGCACCCAAAATTTTGCTGTTTTATTCAAATCAAAAAAGGAACACTTTTAATTCTGCCACGATTGTCATTCTCATCGATCCTTTCACCAAACTCGGTGCTCTGACTCTTGCGGCACCTGTACCGACGCGCGACTTTCGTGTCCATATATTTGAGCATTGCTGTCTAGTTTTTTATAATGAGTAAATCATTGCGTTTAATTTTTTCACCCGAGTCGGGTATTTAGAAAATGCGTTTTAGAATTATTGCTAAAAATTAATAAATATGGTTCAATGATGAGGGGTCATGGAGAGGTGAATTCAATCGGTAGAATCATGTCACATACAAATAAACCACCTTACAGTTCGCTAATTTCACTTTCTGCATATTACGCTTTTTCAGAGTGAAATGAATAGATCGTTACTTCCTTCCGACACGACAGATGACTCTTAGGCTAGAAGCCATTATTATGCTTTCTGTATCACGATTTGCTTGGAAGGAACGTAGAGATAACAACGCATTTTTATGTATCTTTGTCAATGACATATTTGGTGGAAATAACATACGGATGATACGAGCATACAAAGTCGTAACATAATATGACGGTTAGCGATTTAGGTTTTTTGCAAGCAAAAATTCTCCCCTTTTGGATTGCCGATGGAATTTCTGGATAATAAAAATAATATTTGATGTTATTGTATTCAAATTAAACGACTAATAACAATATGCTATAGTCATGTCATTTACATCCTTCGCGTCATTTCATTTCAATTTAACATTATTAACACGGTGTTTAGATACATGTAAAACAACACGTGCTTTTTTGTATGAGTTCTTCTATATATTTATACCAAGGAAAAGGTGGCCAACGGCTTACAATTATCATAAATTATTATTCAAAGCTTTGGCCAATCTTGATTAATACATGAGACTTTTTGGGGTTTGTCAGAGACATTTTATAAACGTATAAACCAAATTAGAGCATCGTTCTTTTGGCATTTGTCAACCTATGACGCAGGGAGTAGGGTACCTTGATTGGCGACTGATGACGTAGCATGATGTAAATAATGTTCTTCGATTAAAGTCTAAAATCCTAATAATAAGCATTCTTAATTTAGCTGTTTAGTTTCGACTAATATTGAAAAATAAGTATGATTGGAGAAAAGAAATCAAGGCATGACGTGGTAATATTTTTACCATCTGGGTGAAAATAATTTGTTTAAAAGTACGTCAGAACATGGCACCAGACGAATGTAACCTCGTGATGTCGGGAGCATTGCAGTCGACAGTTCATTATAAACAATTTAATTTTATTTTTTGTTGCGTCGATAGTTTTTAACATAGTAATTACACATTAGGAAAATTTTTTACAGTAATAGTTTAAATAAGAGATTGATAATATATATATCAATTCTACTAGTTTCGACATTGGATTTTGAATACATTTGATGTGCACTCAAAATTAAACTAAAGACATTACATCACATCTATCATGCTGGTTAACCGACATGAGTTTGAATCATTACATATGGCGGTGAAACCTTCGAATAATATAGTTAAACCATGTTATGGTATTTATAACATATATATTGTGCAATCGTTTTTTTTTATAAATAACAAAGCCAGTAAACAAATTGGTGTGAAACAGCCCATGATAACGTGTTGGACCAATCAAATTACGTAATATGCTTTTTGTGAACAGTTCTTTTTATATGGATTCAAGTTTATCTGCTATATTGAATATTGATTCTAACTACATTTATTATTATTTCAGGAAATGTAATTTTCAAATAATATCAGATATACGTAAAACGTACATTTAAAAAAAAAATTCTTTCTTGTGTATAGTGTGTATATATTTACAGGCTTGTCCGTGAGACATATTTTTCTGTCCTATCCCACCCCATAGCAAATTTAAGCTTGTCCCATCTCATGGGATTTCCATTGGAAATAATTTTCATTAAAGAATTCAAAATTTAGGTTCAGAGTTTACTAAACAGAACTACATGGACAAAGAGGCATGCAAAACGACGAAATTTATTGACTTTGTTAAATTAAAAATAATCATATAATTAAACTATTATATAACTAACAAGAGAGCCATGCTCAAACATATGGACACAAAGTCCATAACGAAATGTTTTGCCATCAATTCCCATAAAATCATACGTCATCCTGAACGAACCTGAACAGCAACGGTAACTTACCAGTACCTGTATCAGGGTACCGGTGCGCATACTTTCCTAGCCTTTCCAGGTTCTGTGAATTGAGATTCTATGCTATATGATTCAGATTTTTAAACCGTGTTCCCATGAGTAAAAAATAATACAGCGAAATTTCGGATGAAATATCAGATCTCATAGCATTTATAGAAAATTTATTAGCAAATAAAAGTAATAGTTTAGGAGAAAAGCTATTATTTTTAACGATAAGAAGAGAAATTCGTGTCCCACGTGTCTCATGGGAAATACAAATGTGTACTGTCCCATCCCATCCCATGGGATGTTTCCCATGGACAAACGTGTCACGAAACAATATTATAATTTGAGTCGCATAAATTAAATTAAAAGCTGTATAAAGTATACTCATACGGAATAAATATCTACTGATAAATTATATTAAATATAGCAATTAATAATTTTTTTAAACAATCATAGAAATACTAAAGGTTGATAAAGCACCGGGTGACATTATTAAATAATTAAAAAAAAAATGAGAGTTCAAAATTTATACAGCTCCGTGTCTTTTGTTAAATATAAACAAACGCAATGAAAATTCTACAATTGTCTCTTGAGGAGGGAAAAAGGGATGGGAACTTGAATCTAGTGCTGCCCGAAACAACAGCGCAAAATACCATGACCCAATCCCAAGTATCCCATAACATATTCAACTGTGAATTAGTCATAATTTCTAAATGAACAGTATCAGTCATTTCATAACATGTCACTGGCTATAGCTAATAAAAGTCTTCATTTTTCAATGCGGTGTCCAACTGCGTTTATACCCCCTGACATTAAAACCTAATTTAGGAAAACAGATAAATTAAGTGCATGAAACTATATTATATATGTAGCAAAATAGTGTGACAAAACACAGATTTTCGTATTGTTACAAAAAATATATAAATTTGCATAAATTAACGACCCATCGGGCATTTGTGAACAGTGTGTGCGAATAAAATATACTTATTTTGCACATAAAAAGTTATATTATTGTAAAAATATAAAATATTGATTGATAAAAAAATAAATTAACATTTTGAATATAAAGATTAATAAATTAGAATGATGATAGAATCGATTAACGTTCCAGGTCTAGGCATCTTCTGTTATGGCAACGGCGCAAGTACATCCTAGATGAACTTCTTCCGTCGTCAGTTTGGAATTTTTCGTAACGGGAACCGTCAGTGGCAAACGAACACTGATTAAATTGTCGACATCTTCTGTTAATGTTCTAATATCAATACATCCATCACATAAACAACGCGTATCAACCATTCTTTGTGGAACTCTGTAATAATAAATTCATCATATTTAGTTTTTAATTTGTAATTTGGCTTGTTTTTGTGAAACTAGAATTTTTACTTATAAAACAATTCGTTCAGTACAGCCTTTCTTTATTTTTTTGTAAAATATTACCTGTTTGCTTTGTAAGTGATGAAAAACGTCCACGGAGAAATGCTTCTTTGCTTCCATGCTTTGTTGTTTTTCAAGTATTCCTCGTTGAAAACGGGGCATTCGTTTGACCCGGCACTTCGCTTCGGTCTGGAAATACCTCCTTCTGATTGATTTGAGTTATCTTCAGTGATGTTTAGAACTTCTAAATCTTTAACAAAACTCTCGTCGGCAAGCATTTTCTCGGACCATTTCACGTATTCGTTGCGAAAAACAATTTCACAATCTTGCCTATGAAAAACGGTACGTTATTGATAAGGTTACAGAAACGATGCGTTATTTTAAAACATTAATTTACACTAATGCGGATTCCAGATGTGCATTGTGATGGGTTTGTTTGACAAAAATGTTATTTTTCTGTTTGTTGATGATTTTAACATTGCAAATAATATCACCAAACAAACTAAATATTCAGAGAGTAATAACATTGTCGTTACGGCCTGGTGGATTACAGATCTCTGGGTAACTCGTACATTAAAAACGATCCAATCCGAACAGCAATTATTAAAGATTCAAATAAAGCTAGGATTCCAATATCATCTACATTGCACAATTTATACCTTTTATGATATGTGTCCATATTATCCTTTCCGGCTATATTTTGACACTCAATAGGATGATCTTCAATATCTTCACCGATTTCCTCTAGTTGAATGGGAATGCATTCATAACATAGAGCAAACGCTAAAACCAGTCCAAGTACCTTTACTGTATTCATTTTGATTCTATTTGATTTTGATTCTAAGTTGGATCTATCTATTCCGTAGTAAATGAAGTTAATGATGAATTGCCGGTCTGTTCACTCTATTTATCCTTTAAATCACTTGCGCTTCAATCGGTTTCTTGCATATTGACGCATAACATGCTGTTTTCTAATACTATCATAAATTGACTCAAAGGACGGTTGTTTCGATGTTCACGTCATCGTGGTGGTGCTTTTTTAGAAAAAAAAATGTTGGTGGTTGAATTCATGGTGGATTAATTTTTGAAATAAGGTAAGGCGCCAATTATATCTCGAAATGTGTAATCAGCATCCAGATATCTTAAAAACTTAGGTACCCCTCTCTGCTAAAAATAAATTATTTGTTGACAATTAATTATGTACCAAAATGTAGGTTTTCTAACCAAATTTTATTCAGCTTCCCAAAACAAAGTAATTCCGTTATTCACTTAACAAAGCTAACTGTCTTAACACGAAATCCATCGAATAATCTAATAAGATTGAAACGTTTAGCATTGGATATAATAATAATTTGAATATAATGTATATATTTAGCTCTAAAACTTAAGTCCAAACGTTATTGAGACGTATGGATGTTTTGTTTTGATACAATTTCGTTGTTACTGGGGCAAACATTACCTGTTTATTTACTTCATTTTATATTACTCTTTTTTGTCATATCTTGCTATCGGATCCATACTTTTTCTTCCAATTTTGCCTCAAGAGCAGGTAAGTTTTTCGGAGTGGCGTTTTTTACTGTACTAGTGACCACATGTTCAAACATTTCTTCGTTTCCTTCGTGTTATTTTTGCTGACAATTTCACGTCCTTTCAACCTTATTTTGATCTGCTTACTTTTTTACAAACTCAAAAGTTCTCACAGTAAAGGCAATATGGTATGATTATTAGAAATGTTGCAGGGCCATTCATAATTTGTTTGCTTTCAACAAAAAATAAATAAATGACATACATTACTTTACCAGCCTTTGTGTTATCTCCTAGTGTATGGGAACATTACATAAAAGTTGTTTCTAACATGCAGTAGTAATTTAAATCGGGGTTCTGGCTATTTCGATTAAAAAATAAATAAAATGCATTATATGCCTAAAATGTCGGTCATCAAAATCATTGCATTGAGTCTCAATCATAGTTTGGTATTATTACTAGAGAGCAATGCTCAGATATATGGACACGAAATCCGTACATCGATACCGGTACTGTAAGACCGGTACTCAAGACAACGATTTTTTTGAAGAAATCATCGGAAAGCGTAAAGAAATAAAAATGTGTTTCGTTTTACTTCAGATAAAGTAGCAACATTTCTGGTAAAAAATCAGGAATCATGAAAATCAAGAAAAAAAATAAAAGTAACAGCCTTAAAGTGGCTTTTATTCATTTTTAGGTAATGAAAATTAAAAAATGATTGACCTAATAATTGCAAAGAAAAGCGATGTTTTTTTCAACAACAACGAAAAAATAACAACTAGAATTTTGCCAAACAATTCACATGTAACTTAGTGTCAAATAAGAATTCGGTGGAGGTTAATATCAATATCTCAATCTTTATCGCAAAAATTCATTCCATCGTGCATGTGAAAGAAAAATTCAATTTTTGCCCTTCGTCAATTATTTTTGTTCACCCCTCTTTAAAAAGTAGATACGTGAATTGATGGCTGATTTTTATGAAGATATGTGAAAATTGTACTGAAAGGTATCGGGAATGAAGGCTAAAATCACCACTGACATAAATTTAAGTGAGAGAAACTCATACGTGGAATCCTAGACAATATGCTAAACTGTATTCTTTTGCTTTTCCGGTTTCTCTGATCTGAAACAAAAAAAAAATGCAAGTAAATATTCTCAAAATAGAGTGGGGAATTACAATTTATGATATATATCAATTATCACTCAGAATGAAAAGCAGACGAGAAGGCTATTATTGTATTCCCACGCTAGACTCACGCAAAACGTCGGTTGCGTCAAGTATACGTTGCGTCGGCACGTAAGATGACGCATAATGTAGCTCTGATAGAATTGTCGATAGACATAGAAAGTATAGCTATGGGTTTTATTGTATGAATATAAACCAAGTGAGTCAAAGGAAGTACCTATAAATAACTTACCGCCATTTGAATTGCGACGTATGTTATTTTTAGATTAACTAGAATTTCAAATTTTTATTCTCTAATTATAAATTCCCGATTTCAGGATCGTTGGAAACTCATTTTACGTGATTTTTTTATGATATCCGGTAGCTTGTCCTATTTTCGATTGCTGCGAGATAACAAAACTTTGTGACTTTAAATCTTTGTTAAAAGATTTGTTTTGTCTTGGGAATAATATTTACAAAAATAACTCAAGTCAAAGACATCTGAAGGCGTTTGAATCGATTCAATACAGCTGACATTTAAAAATCTAATATAACGTATCTTTGGCGCTAATCTACTTATAAATGTACACATATACCTGATAATGGTTCTAACGAAACCTTCCAAATATTGTGGCCGAACGGTTTTTTGGTAGTTTTTACTTCTGTTTCACGTCCCAATTTCTAATGATTGAGCTGAATTTTGTATATTCAAAAAATTTAGTCTTTTTCTTGGAAGCATTTTTTTTATTTTGCGTAATTGTAGTATATGTATCACACACACATAAGGTTGGCTATTATAGCGGTAGCCAAAACAGGAAGGTGTAGATAAAAAATCTGTCTCTTGTTTGGATTTTATCAGCCACCAAGTGAACATATGGATCGTTATGTTATATTGTTGTTGTTGTTGATAGTATTTTTCTCGTTGTTGTTTTATTGTGAGAAAATCGATTTTCTATTAAGCACTGGATTGAGTGCTTTAAAAATTTCAAGTTGATGAAAATTGTTGTTAACGCCAGGAGTCTGTCTATAACACTTTAATTTACTTCAAAAGATTTTTGGGGCTCTATGGTATTCATTTTTCACTTCGAAATTTTGTAGGATGAAGTCATCAAAATTGCAAATTGCGCAACGTGTGTCAGTTTCGCGATCGCGTTTCAGCGATCTGGTGGTCAGCGGCGTCGGGAGTTTTTTTTTGATACCGGACTACCGGTACCGGTATTGTAAAAGATTTGATACTACCTCGTTTTTGTCTACGTGTCAATAAAATTGAACATTGGTCTCTTGTTAAAATGAAATTCTCACAAACAGCGCGAAATTCACAAATATGGGGTGATATAATTTAATGGATTTTTATTTCTAGTTTTGTACATTTTTGTTGCTATTGCTTGTTGCACATTTCACCTGGGTTTGGGTGTCTGGGCACTAATGAATATGAGTGATTGAACCACAGCAAGTGTATAATGTCGCAAAATATCATACAATATTTTTAATACTTTGACCAACTATAGGACACAGAACGCCTAAAGCAATTTCCTACTCTATTTGTATTTTCAATAATTATTCAAAAATTTTAGTTTGTTTATACAGAATGTTAAGAGTATGTGCTGCAGTATTTCTAGATTGACTTTGCAACGCAAGAAAAACGAATACCAAATCAAAAATATACTTATAAATGAAAAATCTCATCGACCTTATAGTTTTCTATTTAATCCAGATATTTCTAAAAAGCTCCATTCATCTATTTTTAAATTGGAAATAATAAGGGGTTATATTAATATTGTGGATTATTTTGGTATCACGAATGCTCGCGAATGAGAAATACTTTTGCTCTTCCTACTTCACCGGGTGCTTTCCTTGTTACTAGGAAAGCTATTTTTGAGGGATTTTCGTTCAAGTGAGTAGTGCATGTGTTTGTCAAAATCATTGGATAAAAAGTTGCCAGTAGATAAATATGGCAATGAAAATTATCCATCAGAACGGGTTTCCAGTGAAAAAAAATTCCCCGACGATCGTGATTTCGTTTCGACCATATACTGCAGACTAAACACTTATTTATGAGTATACATATGAGTAATGTATAATTCCGGTGTTTTCTAATAATATATAAAGTAATAAAATGAAACATTCCTCAAACCCACGTAACAAACGTGAGTGGAGTAGGAATATTGTAACTCTATTTTACCAGCGGTTATGGCTGTCGTCCAAGGTTTCAAGGTTCCAAGTTTTCCATCTTATGGAATTTGTATTTCCCTATTTTTAATATCAGTTTCGAAATCGTTATTCTACTCGATTATTATATAGTGCGCTTAGTCTATATTTAAAAGGAATTGAAGAGCAATATCGAACATCTATAACCCATCAATTCTTTGAAATGGTCAGATAAGAAGGATGCCATGCGCTGGAACCGTTAACTACTTGATGATTGTGATTTCATTCTTACAAAATTGAATTTCGTATGCAAGTATTTATAAGAACTTATTTACAGTACCCTGGTTTTTGTAGATGTATGAAACGTTTAAAACAAGTTTACCTTTTGATGAATTTTTGTTGTAAGCAATTCACTTTAGTGTTATTTTACTAAAATATACCTTGAATCTCTGGTGTCGCATCGACATAGGTGCAACTGGAAACGAGGCAAAAATTTGGATATAAATTATACTTTTATGAAAACTTTTCCATGGGGAAAAGACAGGAAATTCATACAAATATCGTTTGCTCTAAAAAATTTTCGAAATAACATTATTGTAATATTGATTATCATTAGGTTAGGAGCATATTCACGATCATTGTAAAACGAGTCGGCAGGTATCAGATATGTCAAGCAGGTCGTCAGTTAGTGTAATATTTGAACATCAGAAAATAATTAAATATACTCTGGTAAACAAATGTCTCACTAAATTGATTACATAATCAGGTAAATTAGATCAGTTATCGTTCTTTTGTGTATCATTATTTTTAATTACAAAATGCACCCAGCTGATCGTAAAATAATTTAAAATTGCGTGTCACGGCGTAGAACAATACGTAGCACGCGTCGGCATGTTATGACCAACCGGCTTAAATATGCGTAAGTATACAACTACCCTACGTAACCATATGTTGAATAGAATCTGGAAAGTTTCCCTGTCAGCAACTCCCGACAAATATTTTCTTTGTCCGCCTGTCTGTCAGTTTGGCACAAATTGAATCATCGTTTTATCACAATGTATAGGTACTGCTTAAATTTTTTTACGACACAATAAACTAATTTTCACATATTGGAATCAATTTGATAATAAAATAAGCAATAAACCGATAAGATTTTGTATAATTTTTATTTTATGTTTGTACGTGTTTTACCTGGGAGATAGTTTATAGAGGATAGTTGTTTTTGGTCGTTGCTGATTTCTTGCCGAACACTGCGGTCAGGAAATATCGTTTTTTTGCAATTTTTTTTCAATATTTTGATATATATCAATTTTAAACAAAGAGGTGTGTTCACTATGTACAATATATTACTTTTCATGGTAACATTATTGAGAGAAGTGAAAAAATAAACCATGAAAAATCACGCAATTACTAAGAAAATTAATTTTAACTAATGCATAATGCATGACATAACTGTGGGAGCATGCTATGACCAGCCAGCGTTCTAACTCAGCACGCATATACGTAACGATTTCTGATTAAAAAATCGGGATATTTCCCCTATTGATATTACCCGACATAATATTCCCTTTGTCTGTCTTCTACGGTAGATTAATATGTACGTAAATTGCAATGTTGTCATTACTTTCGACTCTTTTCACATGGACTGATTTTGAGGTTCGTGAAAGACATATATATATATATTTCTTTCGTATAAAAATAAAACTCTATGCCTTGTTCCTATGGCCGTTTATGCTATAACTATCCCAATTCATTATTGAGTAAAATATTTTCAATCGACTAGACTAGACAAGACTCGAATTATGAGGGACTGATGCTTCCAGCCTTTATGTAAATCACTCACTGTTTCAGCCCAAAGTTAAATTTAGTTTCTTCCGGGCATTAGATTTCATCCGAGAAAAGGAAAAAATTCAAAAACGAACGAAAATGAGAAAACAACAAATGGTCAGTCTCTGTAACGGAATGAGGAAACAAAATGTATTTTGCGAACAATTTAATAGTGAACTTTACAAAGAAATGAGGTGCCATAAAAGAGATACAGCCCGCGATTGCTTGATGGGCCATTTCCTACTCTATTCCTCACTTTTGTCTCAAACTTGTTTTAAATTATATCCTGTAAATGGAACAATCCCTGGAGCGAATTCCATTTTCGCATTTCCATGAATGCCTAAACCCAGTCCAAACACCCTGAAAAGGAGATCAACATTCAACTCAACGACAATACGATGGAATGAATATTCTTTTATGTTTTGGTTGCAAATAATCTAAGCTGGACGAAGAATAATGAAATTTTTTTAGAAGAAAAGAACAAACTAAATAAATGAAAGAACATTTTGTTCAAATAAATGAAAATGCATGTCATATTATCCTGTTAAATCTTTCAACAATCGTCGCTTTTAACGACATCAGCGAGTTCGGTGATTTCGGCGTTTTCTATATCTACGTCTTCTTCTACGAGGCTTCTTTATGTTAATGTCAAATGTTTTAGGTATGAAACAACCGCAGCCGGCAATTACGGTTTCTTTTACTGTCTCGTTGTTTTTCATCACTTTGACTTGATAGGGAATTGGCCCGCTGATGACGCTGTTGTCTTCTTCAAGAGTTGCCACATTAATGCATCCCCGGCAAAGACATCGGCGAGTAACTAACTGTTTAGGAATTCTGAAATAAACCATGAAAATAAATGAATAGAAACAAAAACCCAAGTCTGTGTGAAAATTTGACCTGACGCTGCGTTGAAAGACGATGTTTGACAAATGAAAACCAGGCCCCCTGACTTTTATTGCCATTGGAATATTTAGCATCACATTTAAAGTCTGATCAAAGAAAATATTATATTTTATCGAATTTCATTGTTTTCAATAATTCACAAACCTGTTCGCATCAAAAGTAATGTATCTCTCATACGGCGACGTACTACGAAGGCCCCATGGTAGAGATGTATTTTTGTAATGTTCCTTAGTAAATTTGCACTTCTTTCTTCTATTTGATTGCCGCTGTTCTCTTGATATTTGCGCACCGCCGGTATCCGAAACGTCCACTGTCTCTTAATTCTTAATAAATTTATTGTTCGAAAGCATCTTCTCTGACCATTTGATGTAGGGATTTGAAAGCACAAGTTCGCACTGTCTTCTGTAAAGAGATGACAGATAAAGTGCAATTGGAACAAAATTTGCTACCTTTTGAATCGAACATTTGTGATTTTATACGTTTATACATGGTACAAACTAGCAGGTGTTACATCATAATTTTTGTTTTAGTACTCAACATCGGCACTACTGTAATGAGCCTAATTTTGTATATTAGTTCAGTGTCATAATTCATACGACGGCGTCTGACAGCAGCATTGTTTGACGAATGTTTTATGCCCAGAAAAGTGGTGAGCAAAAAACTCGTTCCCGTGATGTCATCTAACTAAATCGGGGTTGAACGCAGATATTATACCACTGAATTCAAAGTGTCCGTGCAATAACAGTTATTAAACGTTCATGATAATAGACTATTTATGCTCTCTTATAATAAATTAATACCTTCGGTCAGCTCTCTTGAAGGCTTGGCATTCGGGATGAGATTCGACCCCTTTTCGTTTGATCTTCTTTCTTCCATTTGGATTCACTTTTAATGATGAGCAAATGGCAGCGATCGCAAGTATGATAAAAACCATACGCATTATTATAATCTTCATGAAAACTTCCAAATATATAAAAATTCCTTTCGACAATGTTTACGGATTCTGGCAGTTTATATATAATGTTGATATGTAGACTTCGGCGGATGTATATATACGTTATCAGCAATAAGAATTCGTTTATTACGTTCATGAGAAAATTTCCAAATAATTTAGTGATTATTCATGAATAAACCCCCAAAAATCAGGAATTTTGTTTTCCTTTATGCCAGTATGTTTACCCGTCCGATTCTACCTTCGGCGTATTTTTGTGGTTGCGTTGCGTCTATTGTTTCTGGAGCATCCACGGTCACCAATGGTCAAAAAATCACCAACATGGGAATATGACCAGCTAGGAAAGTCATATTATTTCAGTGTTATGATTTTTAATTTTGAAAAGCCACATGAATTTCTTTCGATAATGATAGAAAATACATACCTATATGTACTTTCACGTTTTTATGTTATTTGAATCGAAAACCGATTTGAATTTTCTAGAGTCATGAATATTCAGAATCAAACTTTCGAGCTCAGATTTGTCGATTGAATATTTCAGATCTTTGAACGTTTGAAGCCGAAAACGTTTCTTAAGACAACTTAAATACCAGCCCAGTTTCGATTTACGTTAGAATTCGAGCGTCGCTAAAGTTAGCAATTTTTATTTTCACCGAATGTGAAACTTGCTTTTGATTGTCATTGCTCAACTGTTTAATATCAACGGGTAGTTTTGATACCGCACAACGTAACTGGCTTGTCAAATTGTCGTTCGTCAGCTTACTCCTATATGCTTCGACTTCATAATTTTCAATTTCGAAAAGAAAGATTCGCACAAATATGTTGTTCCGATTGCAACACGCATTGCCATTTGTTTCAGGATGGAAAACTTATCTTTATCGATATACTCACTGTAGAATTCAAGTTTTCTATTTCTTTGAAACAAGTGTTTCAGTTCCGTACTTCCGTATTTTAGTTGCATATATTCTGTGACCTCGTCTACCCGAATGTCAAATGGACACATTAAAATTTTAAAGAGACTGTCGAATTTTTGTAAGTAAGTGAATCTCTCTTTAAATGCTTTCAACAACTTCTGTCACATCATATTCTGTGGCGCTCAACAACGCTCTTCTTATGGCGGAGCCACGTGAAATTAAAGCCTCAAAGATTTGATAACATACCAGGAAATTTTGATGTTAAATATGTTTATACATCTGTATTTTAATAAAAACTTCAAGTGGGCCGCACTAAAGAGAAGATGAGATTCCCACTTCATTTCTGTGTAATTTCCAGAATAAGAATTTCCATTCAGAAATAAATCAATAAATCAACCTTTCATATCAATATATATTTATGATATATATATATACAGAGGCTTGTTTGGAATGAAATGCCTAGAATGACAAAGCACACTCTTCAAGGTCAATACCATATTTATAATACGAGACATCAAATAAACATTTATTGACATGAATGAATTACATAAGATAAAAATTTGTGGCTGCTTACTAAAATGCCATAGACAAGAAAATGTTAAAAATAAATCAAAGCTGATTTGATAAACTGCGTCAGGTATTGTTGTTTTGGGTTGTGGGCAGAAGTTTGCATGTCCATCAAAATAATTTTAAGGCTTAAACGATCCTTCAAATAAGAGGCCTCCTTTTAGTTGAATTGAGCTATCAGAACAGGTTAGTTGGAAAAACTCGATCCGTAGTTTTCTTCTATTTCCTGCTTTGGGACCGACCCATCACCGTGAATTCTGCAGTAACCACCAATTACACATCCGCTAGTGTTTAAAAGCACATGTATGCTAATTCTTATATAGTCTTTATATACCGTCAATACAACAAAAGAACTGGTTACAGAATCAGAAAAAAAAACATATAAATTATAAAATCTAGATAATTCGAGACAAAAATAGCTATATCACTGGAAAATAAGTTGCAGCAAAAGGTCCGGCACAGAGACCGACTATATCTTGACCTCGGTTCGTTATGTTTACTGCAATTCCTAATAATGCAACGATATTATATGAAGATATTGGTATGTATATAAAACGCAGAAGCGTTTGCAAAATGCACTGTCCATTAGAACCAGCATACGGTGAAAAATAAGTACACAGAATGTATAATTGCCTATGCCCTAATAATGCAAAATTACGCGCCGAGTTCTCAGTACCACGTCATCAACGAGACATACTAATTTGATTGACTTTTGAAAATTCGAGTCTCGCAAATCAAGTCCACTTTATGCAAACGGTAAACGCCAAGAATCTTGAAAAATTATATAGAATCAAATTTGCCACAAAAATATTTGCGTGATAACCCACTTTTAAAAATCAATTGGTGTAGCACAGTTTCCGATTGTTTTCGTCAGCTTGACGTGTTATTTAAGCCGTAATAATCTTTATTTCGGTGTTTATTTTCCCTAAATAAGAAATTTTCCTCGACATATGTTTCGTGCCGCGAAGACGATGATAAATACATTTTTCGTTCTCGCGTAGAACCATGGTACCTATGAGGAAAACAAGTTTTTATTAAATAATCCTAAGCGACGAGATGCTGAAAATAGAATAAAGAAGTGAATCCGCAACTAAAAATTTCCTTATTGAAAAAGCGAAATTATAAAATATTAAAAATCAAACGAAAAAGGCCATGAGTTTTGTTTTGGGATAGACGAGAAAGATTAAAAACACTTTCTTAAACTATGCAAACCTCAAAAAATTCCTTGTGCCTGTGGCACACCTGTAGTGTTCTAAAACTACGAACTTTAAAAATAAATTTTACTTCGTGGGAATCGCAAACTTGGGAATTTCTCTAACATTGATTTCTTAAATTAATCGAGTGGCAGCATTTCGACGGCGCGGAGTAAGGGTTGCAGGGACAGCTCATATTGGTCTAATTTGCAAGAATATGAATCAAAACAAAATGTAATCGGGCAGTTTACAACACATTTTTATGTCCGCGGATTGCTGTGGTATTTTGGAGTAGTGGTGCTTTTATTTTATCGACGCAATCGCAAATTAATTTATCACAATTAAATAAATAAAGCTACCATCTTAAATATGTATATCGGTCATAGATTGAATATTTTATTCAACCATTACATATTGAAAAAGTCGGGTCCTTTAAGGAGTGGCGTAATCTCAACTACTGACTCAGGATCCGTACCGCGGGGATTCCGAGGAGATAAATATGTAATTTTGATTTACTAATAAACTCTACATGTATTTTCCTTGTAGTAAATTAAATTATACTTTCTGGGATTTTATACCAGATCTTTCTAACGACGATAACGAATTCGCATGAGCGCAATATATGTCAAAACTAAATATAATCGGGCAGTTGATTGTTACTGATTGATTGAATATTACTTATCGATTTTAATCGGTAAGTATGTTGATAGGTATTTGTCTGTCTGTATGTTTGTTAGATGCTCGCTATATCTCACAAAAGCGAGATTAAATCTGCTCCAGATTTTGCATGTGCATTCATCATATCTCGGACCAGAAGTATATTGATTTTGGGCGAATTATGTCATATGATTAGCGAGTTATTAATTAATTAGTGATGGGATACAAGGTGTCACTATGGAGTAATAGCGCTGTTTTGGGGGATCCCTAACTTTCGATCGATAAGTCTTCGGTCTCTGACCGATATTCTCATTTTATTATCACATTATTATATATTATATCCTTGAATTGGCGTGGTATTTTAGATCAGTAATGAGTTCAATTTGTCGTCAGTCGACGCAACCGTAAGTTACCTTGGACACAAATGGATTAAAATAGAGAGACATTCTGAAAGCCGGCATTTTTAACAAACGCGGGGACCGTTTCAGGAGTCGTTTCATGGGAATTTCCGATTCCATTTTGTGACCTCTCGCGCGACTGCTGTTTCCGATAGCAACCTGTTTCAACAATCAACTCAAGGACAATATCCTCGAATGTATATTCTGTATGTTTCCGTGGGAAATTATCTAAACTGGACGCAAATGAATGAAATTTTATTACAAGGAGAGAACAAAATAAAAAAATACATTTCGTTTAAATAAATGAAAATTCATATTATTAAACTATCGTGTAAAATGTTTCAACAAGTATCGCTGTCAACAACATCAACCGGTTCGGCGATTTCGGCGCTTTCTATTTCTAGGTCTCCCTCTAGGACGATTCTTTATGTTGAATGTTTTGGGTATAAAACAGCTGCAACCAACATATACAGTCTCTCGTACTTTCGCTTTGTTTCTCATCACTTCGACTGGAACTTGAACTCGCTGACTAACGACGTTGTTGTCTTCTTCAAGAGTTGCCACATTAATGCATCCCCGGCAAAGACATCGGTGACTAATTATCCGAACAGGAATTCTGAAATAAGCCACGGATAGGAATAAATAAAAACGAAAATCAAATAATTGCATGAAATTAATACTGCAACATGCTATCCGCACCAGTCCGTGTTATATATATATGACTGTCTTCCAGTGATGCAGTTACTTGTCCCGCCAAAGTATGCATAAATGGGTGGGCACTTTTTTGATTAATTTTTTTACCGTTGCAGTTTGCTGGATTGCGTTATCTCTAAATTTTTAATATTGTATGCAAATACCGAAGCAAGACTTGAGACGTATGATTTGTCGAAAAATAGTCACAGATGGAAATTAGGCCCAACTGACTTTTGAAATCATTAAAATATTTAAAGATACATCTCTTCTAAACGTATCGGGGGAATTTTAATGTTATTAATATTTCACCAACCTATTCGCATCAAAAGTAATGTAACTCTCATACGGTGACGTACTACGCAGTCCCTTTGGTAGAGATGTATTTTTGTAATGCTCCATGGAAAATTTGCATTTCTTTATCTTTTGTGCTCGTCGCTTTATTCTTGTTATTCGCGCACCGTCGTTATCCGAAACGTCTACTGTCTCTAGATTTTCGATATATTTATCGTCCGAAAGCATCTTCTCTGACCATTCGATGTAGGGATTTGAGAACACAAGTTCGCACTGTCTTCTGTAAAGTAATGACATTGCGACAAAATTGTTAAATTTTGAATAGAACATGTGTGGTTTTATAGGTTTATACATGGTACAAAATAGCAAGTGTTATATCGTGATTTTTGTTTTAGTTAGACATAAATATTATACTACTGAACACCGAGTGTCTGTACAATAACATTATTGAACTTCACGATAATAGACCATTTATGCTCTTATATTATAAGTTCTTACCTTTCGTTAGTTTTTTTGAAAGTTTGGCATTCGGGATGAGATTCGGCACCTTTTCTTTTGATCTTCCTCCTTCCATTTGGCTTCACTTTCAGTGATGAGCATATGGCGGTGATTGCAAGTATGATAAAAACCATACGCATTATTATGGTCTTCATGAAAACTTCTAAATATACAAAAATTCTTCTCAACAAAGTTTACTGATTCTGGAAGTTTATAATGTTGGTATGTCGACTTCGGGACGTGTATATATACGTTATAACAATAATATAAATTCAGTTACATTCATGAAAAAATTTCTAAAATTTTCAAATTATTCAGCGAATATTCGTGAATAATCCCCCAAAAAATCGAAACTTTCATCATCACTTATGCCAGTATGTTTGACAGCCCGATTCTATCTTCGACGTGTTTTTGTGGTTGCGTACACATATTGTTTCTGGAGCATCCACAGTGACAAATGGTCAAGAAATCACCAGCATGAGATTATGACTAGTAAGGAAGGTCATAGTATTTCAGTGTTGTGTTTTTTAGTTTTGTAAATCCATCTGCACTTCTTGCGATAATGATAGAAATCTGTACTTTCGCTCTTTTATGTTATTGGAGTCGAAAACCGATTTAAATTTTGATTCAGAGTCGAACATCCGAGCTTAGATTTGTTGAATTAGGAGTTTCTTATCTTTAAATGTTGAAGCCGAAAACGTTTTTTGAAAGACAATGCTTGTTAAGTTGCAATTGCAATCTGGGCTCGAGACATAATTGAATATTTGGAAATGAAGTTCAGATCCGAAGTCCTACTTGAAATTTTGTCAAGAATCGGAGCGCGAGTTTCAACATGAAGCTGGTATCGTGGTATGATATGTAATTTCATTTATGCTCGAGAGTCGGAAATTGAATTTATTATAGAACTGGCATGATCTGTAATTCAAAATGACACTGCATACTGGTTACAAACGAGTCGCAAATTGTTTGTCGTATTCCTTCTGTGGATGGCAGATATTGTAGTAACCGGATACAAAAATTTCTGTAGATTGGCAACTTTCTATAATAATGCGAGCCAGAAGTTGGTAGTGAGACGAGTTTCACTATAATAAATTCTCTATCACTCTCATCTACCTTACACACTTTCTAATTTTCAGGCAGGCCTGAACAAAACTGATACAATTATTCCATCCATCCAATGATTCCATGTTCTATAAGACATCACGTAGATGCGAACATTGTTTTGCAGATCGACTGCCAGCTCAAGCACGTTCGCAATCGTTATTTTGTATATATATGAACATTTTTTCCTAGATCTACCGAATGATTTTTGCTGCTGAACATATAAATATTCTGCGTTCTTTCCAAGTTCTTCTTGATCAAAATTTATGACATATTCGTTTTTTTGCCAAATAGTGACTGATTTACACCAGATATAACATTTCAGCCACACAGGAAAATAGGGGTTTTCGCAATGAACTGACAACACCGAAATTTCCAATGGTCAAAATGTGACTTATTTTTTATAAGTTCAAAATAATAGCCTTTTCAACCTAGTGTATTCTTTCACCTTTAAAGTCGATTGGTGCAGTAGTTTCTTTCCGTTTTCGGCGCAGCACCATATATAGACCAACATTAAGCAGAAATAGTCTGTGTCAACCACGGGAACCGTATCGTGTTTGCTCATCCGGCGTCTGCAATCGTTAACTGCAGTGTCTCCGTTTAATTGGCAGAACTGAATTCTTCTTACAAAAAAAAAAAATTCGTTCCTATTTTAATAGTCTATCCTTCGATGACAAAAATTAATGATAGTTAATCGTCTTTATGTTGAACATAACCACGCAATCGAATACAACAGTTCAGTGCATGAAAAAAAGCGAATCATCGGTGGATATACATTTATTTATATGGACCCTTAGTTTGTTTGAACTTTCACAAAACTCTTCAAATTAGCTATGTTTATTTTTGAGAAAATATCAAGTATTTTGCCTTCAATATCAAGTATGCCCTTAATACAGCGATACAATAATTCTTTATACCTTTCAGTCCCTGATGAATTGTTTTTTCAAATATTGAATATATACCAGTGAATAGTCAAAATTAGTCTATTTCCTACTTCTTATTTTCACTTCTATTGTGTCGTTCTGATCTGCGTAACTCTTATTAGCGGACACAAAAAATTAAATTCATAATTATATATTTTAAAGAATCTAAGCAATGACAGAAAGCATTATTTTAACGAGACATCGACTTATTTTGTTTTGTATTTTTGTTTCCTGATTCTCAATTGTTATCAAACATAAATCGCAATGAGACTTGGTATCAAGTTCCCTGCACACTACAAACATCCATGAAATAAATATCATCTGTTTTCACCACCTGAACTTCCATTTTGGTTATGTATCAAACCTACTGTCAACAATCTAGCTTCTAGATAAACACACTGTTATTTGTAGATCTATAAAAGCAGATGATACTGACCAAATATTTAAACCTTGATTGCCTCTCCAAAGGCAAACAGAGGTTCGTACGAAGACATGGCTTACTACTTAACACTTGACCAATTTTTTGCAAATAATTCCTGGATGCTGGAATAATTAGTCGTAGTGCTGAGAACAAATTTCCGGTTGATATACCGAATTGGGCGGAGTTGTTGATATTTCAGATACCGTATAATCACAGAATATCTATTTGATTCATTTTTCATGTTTTCACATTGTTCAATTTCTGAAAGTCATTGAATTATAAAAAAAAAAGTATTCTTATCTGTAGTGCTGATATAATTGTTCTCATTAGCTAGGAAATCGAAGGTCAGAAATTCCTATAGCTTATATATGCATGCTCGATATATACATTATATGTTTAGATCTGACTACGTATAAACAGATGATCTACCCAGTGACAGAGACCCAGTCTCTTCGTGGACTTTGATTCTAATTTTAAAACTGGATTTAATGTTATTGCATTTGCAAATACAGACCCCTGTTTATACGCCAGTAAGTGGAGTTTTCCATTGTTTTGATAACACTTCACTTCTGCAAACAATCTGATAAGAAGCTTGCTCGGCCGTCTCTCGCCAAATTTTGTATCTTTTCTATTATGATTGTTAAGGATTAATAAAGTATGAAGGATCAGAGTCATCTCATTCAAAAATAAAAGTGCCACTGCTCTGTTGTGATGGTTTTCTGTTGACTTGGAATTAGTGATTTGATAACCCGAAGAGCAAATGCACATTCAGTCTTTTTATCAATGATAAAGTCGTCGCTCATTACATCAGAACATCGACGTATTTTTCCAGATACCGATGGCAATTTTGAAACTATCATTAAATCAATTCGCTAAACTACCTATTTCATTTCAGCAAAATTTTATCTACCAGACCCAGAGTTTGGCGAAAGCTTATTTTTTTTTCTGTGTTTAATCCATAATCATCAAAAATATCATGGTTGTTCCTGTTGAAACGTTCTGTCCCATAGTTAAATTAACAGAAAATAAATACGACTGGATTTATTTGAATTTACAAAACTTTATTATTTTTAAAAAGTTATTGCAATTGTGCTGCTGTTACCATCACGAAAAAAATATCTTCGATTTGAAATTAACTGACTTCGAAATCGTTTTACTGCACATTTGTAATTACACTAGGTTGTGTTCAAGGAAAGTCTTTTGCTATGTCCATTTCTGTAGTCGTGCCAGTCTTGCGATAATCATTTATTTTGATAAACGCAGTAGATTCATCTTTGGGTAAATGAATTGATTCCTTATCCAAAATTTCATACTAATACTTAATTGCATATATTATTCCCATTCTTTATAACACAAGCGTTCCAAGTATATTTAATTGAGCTAACTTGACTGTCTGTTCCGACGAATAATCTGGCATCAGTGAGTTCTCCCGCAGGACGCTCTCTCTTCTTTCTGTGTTTTTAGTGATCGCACATCCCCTCTGCTCTGGACTTTTATTATTTGTAGGTTATATTTTTTATGTTTGTTTTATTTATTTAGCTAATATTAGAAGTGATGGTAATTTAAATAGGTCAAATTTTGTGTAACTGCCGGAATAAACTGGCCTACTGATGTCCATTACTGCAATCAACGTCCAAGCAACAGAGGTTGGATGGTTAATTCGGGATCGAGCTTTTTCAGGTTTCTGGTATCACCCGTACATTAACACACAATATCACTCCATTTAAAGTCAGGTGTTAGCACCGCACCAGTTATTATTTACATCATGAATCTTAATATCAAAGTATATAGTTGATTTCAACATCTCCAAGGGTTTGATTTGGAATGAATATATACCGTCAGTGCCTCGATTTGCATCTCGTGCTCGCTGTTATTTGTCCCACAGATGCATACTTCACTTTTACAAATTACTGGCACGTCCACGCATGGCTTATTGTTGTTGTCTCATTTAGGTAGCGCTGCCATGGTCGTCTCGATTTTTTATACCAAATTTCAATAAACAGCATCTAATATTCTGATTGGCGTCTCTTTTCAGGCAAAGGAATGTAGTGTTTCTGTGCAAATGTTACATATACTAAAACGGACTGTGTCCCTTATACGGACTTTTTTCTTTCAATAATGTTTTCAGTTGCCAATCTGTTAATGTATCTACCAGCAGTGCAATTTTTCGTAGCTTGAAACGTTTTTTAGACCCTCAAGACCAGGGATGGACAAACTACGACCATTGGACAGAATCCGGCCTATTGAGAAATTCAATCTGGCCCGCCCGATGATGCCACAACGAAAACTAAAACCAAATTGTGATGTTTTAGCTAAAAAATAGCTCAAAAAATTTGTTGGGATTGCGATGAAACTTTGTTTTATCACGGGGCTTATTGTTTATTGTTTGCTTACTGTTTGTGCAGATGAAAGTAGTATTATAACAATATTATATTTAAACAATACAATCGAGTTGATTGATTTGTTTTTTGTTATCTTGATTCATATATTTCTGCTTTTTACAAATTTAAGCAGGTAACCCAAATGATTCCTAATGTATGTATGCCTCGATATAAGCAAACTACACTTCCTAAATTAGGCATAAACTATAAAAAAAAAAACGATTCAAATGTCATGTTCTCTAGATATTGTATCAGATTTTGGCTTTCAATTGTTGGAGTAACCTATATAGGCGAAAAACAACAACCAGACTATAATGATAAAAAGAGGCGATTTGACTGCATGGCCATGGCTAGTTGTCGTTTGACTTGTTGTAGCAACCAGACATTCTTTCGCTGGAGGAATGTATGGAGTTGTTATATTGGCTGGAACTAACGCAGATACGACCTGAAATGCATATGCCAAATGTTCTTAAATAATCACATGCAACACACTTTTCTACCAAAATGTTCTTGAAAAAAAGATTTTGCTCATTTTCCAAATTTTGTGACGCATTTAGTATATATACAATGGAAATAATTGGAAATTTAGAATGTAGCATTTGTAAGTGATTCAAAAAAAACAAAAAAACATCGAAACTTACTATTTGACTCCGGTTTGCTGGAATACACAACGCCAGGTGCTGTGCTGAATTGTAAAAACTTTCAAAGTTTGTGATGTTTTCCTGATTCCAGTCGAGCTGTAATAAAAGATTTCTGTGACAAATGAAAATATTTCATAAAGTACTCATATTCTAGTTAGTTATATATCACCTCGCTCATATATTCTGAAAGCGTCTTTCCGGCAACCTCTTCTGGACCAGTCAAAATGAAATGAGAAAGATGATCTCCGGCGGTGTTGTTTATTCTGTAGGATATATAGGGCATTATGAGTAGTGCAGTTTTATGTATTTTGTTGCGTCTGAAGTTGCCGCAAACCCAAGCCGGCTGACTTTTTAGCTGCCACAAACCAATGGCGTGAGGCGGGCTAACACGGCAGAAAATTAAAAATCTTGTTGGGTAAAATGCGACAAACCAGGGCACATAGGCTTTAATCAAAGTACTGCCCTTGACGGTGACAAACTTTGGGTAGGTTTTTCATGTGGATACAGTTCTGATGGATTTCGGGTTAGGTTTCAGGTTTATGTACGGTAGATATTATTGCGCATGATAAACAGAAATCTGGTACATGACTTTGTGAATATAGCGCCATAAAACCATGGAGACGCCGCGGCTCGTTCGTGGCAAGAGCCGCCTTGATGTGGTGAGAATTGCGCCTCTATGAAGAAGTGACTACTGTACTGTATTCTTGAAAAACAAACATTGTAATATACGAAAAAAATGATCTTACTGCTGTATCTGTTTAGCATTAATTCCGAGGTATGGCCACGAAACGTATTGACTGACAGTTGATTGACAGGACGTTAAATCAAACTTTGGATAGTACGAAACAAACCCCATACACATCTCCTCCATAGTACCATATCCTCCCTAAAAATAAAACTATATTTCAGCATAAAAAAATATTTAGAAATTCTAGTTTTTGACAACCCACTTAAATATCGATCGTCAATGTAAATTAGATAGAGTGTCGTTAAACATTGTTGGGTTCGTAAATTGTAAAGAGGTGAACGGATGCAAAAGATTTAAGAAGAGATTGCAATAAAACATTTGTTCTCTATGTTGGGGCAGTGGTATATATGAAAAATAATCATCGTAAATGGCTGTCGTATGAAATAACAAACCTCTGTCATTACAGTTCGAGACTTAGTGCTATAATCACACTCCATTTGAAAATAGTCAGTATTTTTCATGATAACTCCTGGATTGAAGAATCGTGCCTCTTGATAATTGAAATCATAATTCTCATCATTGCCTAAGTACGGAAGTTCAACGCCACCTCTACACAAAAACATTTGCATTGGTTGGCACAAAATTTTCTATGAATTTTATAGATATAGATAGATAGTCAATAAATTTTACTTATTTGATGTGATATCAAGTCGCATTGTATAGTGTGTATAAGAAAGTGCTTTGTTTGGATATGACTATACTTTTTGATCTACACATGAAGAAAAAATTGACACTAACAACCCATTAATTCTATATATATATATTCAAACTCTCTACCTCATGTGTCTCAATCTTAATTTTCTCCCAGCAAGATGAGAATGTAAAACAACACTGAACACAGTAACGTTATCAACACCAGACGCCGCCATTCTCTGAAATAGGAAATATTTTGATCAAATAATTTGGAAATGTCTCTTGATTGAATTAACGTTATTTAATACAATAAATGAATATTAACCCAACGGTAGATTTTTATTGTTAAATCTGGTAACTTACATATGTGACACATTCTTCTGTACAATGACCTATGCTGTTGAAACTTTCGGCTCCAGGAGGAATGAAATGATGAAGACTATTAACAAGAGTTCCAATTTGAATGATGCCAATTTCATATTTCCTTAATGTCGAAGTGTAAGTAAATCTGATTCCAGAACTGTCACGTACTCCTTTAAAGTAAACTTCTGTTACGACTTACGACAAATAAAATTAGAAATTCTCAAGTAAACATATATTAAATTCCACTTTCCTATACAATTTCAGTTATTCATAAATTTTAAAATATATACATTGCCGACTAAAGAATTCACCAGATAGCACATTCGGATTATCGTAGTGTGTTTCCAACTGTACGTACACTGGATCTCCCGGTCCACCCACAGATAAACCAGCTTCCGTTGGGTATATCATTTCCTGAAACGGATCGATTTAAAAAAAATTGTTTTTATAACTTATTTGTGATTAAATATTTTTCAAAGTGAATATAAGAAACGAGGACAAATTGAGTAAAATACCACATGTTGCCCCACTTTTTACAATACTTTCAGGAGGTACAAAAAGTTTTATCACTCAATTACGAAAAAAGACGAATGAAAATGACAATGCATGGTGGGTATGTATAAAATGTGTTTGAAATCGTTGAAAATATATGATGAGTATTTCAGATCTTTAAATCGTTATTTTGCTATTATCAAACTACCCATCGAAAATCACTTAGCAGTATATAATGAATAAGTTTACCTCTGCTCCGACTGCCCATTCAAGAATAATAACCGTGCAAGAGGAAAAAAGAGCCATATTTGATGTGTAACAACGAGCTTCTGTTTCGTTCTAAATTTGTTTTCAAAAAGATTTTTAAGAAGGAACACTACAGTAGAAAAAATTGTAATATGTTATAATATTATCATAACTTATAGATAACTTGGTTTATAGCACGAGTGGGACAAACTAGCATTTGTCACTATCGAAAACGAAAATTGCATGGACATCGTTTGCTTAATGACGAATAATAAAGTAGGCCCACAGTATTTGTTTTATATTGCTTATTGATTACCGGAAAAGGAATTCAAATAAATAAATAAATCACCGTTTGTATGTCTCCACAAGTGTAAACAATCATGTGATGTACGAAAAGTTCATTTCCAGGTTGGATGATCGGTTCCCACTGTAGCGTGAAAGAAAAATTCGTGACGCACAAAAATGTATCAAATTACAGCGATAAAATTAGCAAAATTCACGCAGGCCGTTTCACAAGTAAATCGTGAAAACTCAATGTAAACAATTGTTAATAAAACTTGGGGAAAAGTCCAGAGGAATTAAAGTTATAAAATTTATATGTTCGATTCATTGTGAGATTGAATAATGAGTGGATTTTAACTGTGTATAAAATATATATAGAAAATTGTCATGATAGTTTGTGAAGATAGTGAATTGTTCCGACAAATAATCGGAGATTAATAAGATATTAACATCATATTTACATGCAAAAAGACCCTGCAATGTCAAAATATAGTTAGATGGTGACACGTCAATGTCTAATGTAATGTCTGTAATACCTTAACAATATGCTGTTTCCCACCGAAGTCCGGAAGCCTAAAAAGTTTGCAATTGTAATATGTATCTTCTGATGGAATAGTAAATTCTGTTGCACGGACTTCGAACGTGTTGTATTCAGGCCCTACTGGAAAGCCAGATGGAGTTCCGGAAGATTGCAGAAAATACATGCTTTCAGCTCCTTGAAGTAAAATAATCAGAATCAGTAATTATGAAATTTATAAAAACAAATATTAATCAGAATCATGAGTAGTTTGCTTTTGCGAATACAAATAAACTAAAGATTTAGTTGAATAAGTTGAGTACGATTTATTTTGTTTTTACAACAGAATAATACATAATTTGTTGCTATTATACAGCATTCGCATCACCCAACATTTTTGTCCAAAGTCGCCCCATTTCCGCATGCGTGGTTTTTTATTGTTTTTATGGCATCGCACAATCTTTTGTAATCTATGCCATCCCTAGATCCCCAGCTTCACGTAATTTCATAGAAGAAAGTATAATTATATAGTTTAAAGTATCCGTCCTATTCGTTCAGTAAACCTTCAGTAAATTATTCAAATATATATGGATATTACCTCTTTTGGTTCCATGGTAATCACCTGAAGCAAGATCGTCTCCTGATGGATCAGTGTCGCCATACGCCCAAATTATTTTTTCTGTGTTGGACTATATTTAAAAACAAAACTGTTACTTATATCTATTATAATATTGAAAAACAAGAATTAAAATTTATACCGTGATTTCTCTATCGTAATCACTCTCGCAGGCAGCAATCTGACGTGAAAATTTGTACATTGTCCACCCATTTGATTCTGCACCTCCCAGTACTTCAATATTTTGTTCAGGATCAAGAGGTGGGTAAATGTTAGATGAGCCTCCGTGTCTGTCCTGCAAAAGAGAATGGTGTAAAAACTAATCTATTTCAAGACTGTCTCCAATATTAAAATGATCACAATGATAGATTGTCTTTGTGTCGTTTGAAAAGAGAAAAGAGATAAGAATAGGAGTAAGTGTTTTAGTGAAGCACAAAGTGTCCAATTCAAAAAATGATATATTACCGTCACTGTAGCGATTCCATTTTTTACCCATCCTACTATAATGTCAGATGCTGTCATAGCTCCGTTTGGTGAAAATCCGATCCCAATCCATCCTGTTGTCTGCCCGATTACCTGAAAAATATTAATTAGTAACAAACAAAATTAAACAAAATAACTTTTTGGTCATTTGTGGGCATTCGACAGATTAGTTTCAATTAAAAGAATCACACAAAGATTGAGTTTTAAGGTAAAAGAATACGTATAAATTATATTTATTTATAAACCACATATACATTTCCTGCCAATGAAAAAAAAATTGCGAATTCTGGAATTCAAAACTAACCCTTATAACCTTATTCAGTAAATTTAAAATTAAATTTTATTTTAACGATACTTGCTTCGAAAGTAATATAGATGTCATCAAATTTCCAATACAATAAAATATTCCCAGATCGCAGCGTTGCTGAATGTGGATAACTTTCACTTGGACTCATTTGACATTCTACACTCACCACCGTCAATAACGCAATGCATGTATAAAAGAGCATTAGCTGTACCATTTTTATGCTGCAAGAAATAATATATACATATCGTAAATCAACAGTAGTGAGTAAGTGTACTCTTGAATATTGCATGTAACTGGGGTTATTGATACTTCATAATTTAATCTCGTTATGGTCACCAACCTAGCTATCAACTTGAATAAATATCGGCAGTAAACAGATAGCAAGACACTTGAGCAGTCAAGCATTTGGCCGCAATTGCGTTTTTTTCTCAAATACTGTAGCTTGATGCGTGTATCCGGCTGGTTTGGACAGTCTCTTTCAGAAAAAAAGAACATGTGAAGCATCTGCACAGATTTATTGGTCCCTATCAAAAATACGCAATTACAATCTGCTCTGATTTCCGTTCATGATTGTTTGTGACTCTTCAAGGAAAGCAGTAATTACTAAATCTGCAATTGAATTCTTCGAAATACATCAAAACGGATTCGAAAAAAACGGCATTAAATCGTTTGCTAAATTAACAATTCTGATATCACTTAATACAGTAGGGTAGTCCAAAAGCTCACTCATTAATTAAATGATAATTACAAACACTTTTTACCTTGTTCATTTTAAATACAAAAATGCGAAATTAAAAATTAAATACAGTAAATACGATACCCTGGGTAGCTGCAGACTTATATGGTGAAAAGTAGAATATTTCTCTATTTAAATATACGATTTTTATGATAAAAATGATTATTTTCACATGATTGTTGCTTTCGTAATTAAAAGTATGCGACAAAGAGGAGAAATTCTCCATACCACAAAGATAGGTTGACCGATAAACTGTACTCGGCAGTGTTGTTCAGCAAACCATACAAATTGATAAAATAATTTAACAATACGGCCTCGACTCGAAGTATCGACTATTCAACTATTTATTATTAACCGATATGAAAAAGTAAATGCAATAACTGTCCTCAAAAATAACCCCGAGGGCTAATACAAAATTTTCAACAAATTTGTTTTATTTTTTGCGTAAAAATTTTTATAACGAAAGGCACCGAAAGTTACACAGCGTAGCCAAATATCATGCGCATAGTCGTGAAAAATATGAGATCATAGTCACGAGATCTTAAATTCACCAACGTCACTAGACGCCAGTAAATGTTAGGTGTTATATTTTTAGACGGAAATAAGGTAACGGTATGTTGTACAAGTCATTCAAGTTTAAAAAGAGCATGGCAAGTATTCTGATATCAAGATCACGTTTGGTCTTGTCTAAACGAGATTCGAAAATTTGGCAAACATTCAATAAGAACAGAGTCATATGCTTATACATTTGAACTATGACACACTTTCGTCTGAACTTCTTGAATATCGCAAATAATTTGTCAATACAATTTTATTTGGAAATATTTCTACCAAACTGAACTAATATTCACTAAATTATTTATATAAACAGTTGGTTTACTGTTCACACATAATTGAGTTAGTTTGATAGACTCAACTTTGTAATTTGCTGATTTCAGAATAATTTTATACCACCTGTTAATGACATAGCAAGGGGAACATGAAAGACTAAAGATGAGAGCGTGTCCCTTATTTAACTTTTCAATAGCATGTTTGTTATATGGAGGCATTGAGACTGGCAAACGATACAATAGGTATAAAAACAGTACGTTTGATAATATTTCTGCAACATTGATAATTTCCGAAAAAATACGCTTTACTTTGTGCCAGTACCTAATCTATTCCATGCATATAGCGAAGAAATAAAAATGTACGAAAAGATATCTAATTTTTATAAACGCATTTCCTCTCCGTCAGTACTATATTGTGCATGCTATTCCTTCTGAAGCTGTGACCCCACGATAATAGGCCATATAGGCCGTATGGGTGCTGCTGTCAATGTTCGCATTGCCCAGCTGAAGATAAACCGTTACGTATACTTTCTTTGGGGTCTCAAATTAGGAATATCGGTTTGCTACCCCATGCCCAGTCACACTCAGCATGAACTAAATTGGGTAGTCTTTGCTGCTTCGGGAGAAATTCTGACCTTTCCATAACATACTATGTAGAGCTGCTTGTTTGGAACCTTGTTATCACCGAGGGTGTTATGTATTCCATAAAAATAATTCGTTCAAACAAGATTTAAAATTACTTCTGAGTCGGTTCATCGCCTTATTTGCGCGCTGTATGCCTTCAGGAGAAAGTTCTCCACGGGTTGGATTCTTTAACATTGTAGTTGTTGCATAGCCAAACACATAAGGCACATATATAAGGAGGCTTTATATATTTTTCAGCAAGCATTTATTACGGATGACTTTTAATCAACTGAAACTACCAGATTAGAAAACAACTACAACATCCTATCACAGAAGCAGAATACTACGACACAACCACACATCATGTCAACACAGTACATATCTCTGAGCGTGGAGGTCATCTAACTAAGTGACCATCGACCTAACATGATGACTTTTCATAACAGTTGTGGACCAATTTGGTTCATTGTTGTGATATTTTCTGTAATGACTATTTGAACATGCACAACATAGAAAATAACTTCTTATAAATTTATGCGCAGATGAAAAATTATAGTAATATAACAATATGATATTATAACAATACAATCAAGTCACGTATTTCTTCTTCATCTTAATTCATATATTTCTGCTTTACAGAAATCTAAGCAATTTTTTATCCGAGTAACCTAAATGTTTCTTAATATATGCATGTATATAAGTAAATTGTATTTTCTTAATTAGGCATAAAATGCGAAAATTATTTTTCTAAAAAATGAATATTTCCGGATGTCATGTTTTTTCAGCCAGAGAATAGCTGAAGAAAAAACAACCATATTAGAATGATAACACGAGACGATTTGACTGCATGGCCATGGCTAGTTGTCGTTTGGCTTGTTGTAGCAACCAGACATTCTTTAGCTGGAGGGATGTATGGAGTTGTTATATTGAACGGACCGAGCTCCGATACGACCTGAAATGCAAGAGCAAAATGGGCCCAAATAACCACATGCAACACACTCCTTTACCAAATAGTTTTAGGAAGAAAAGATTTTGTTTATTTTTCTATATTTATGACGCAATTAGTACATATATATAAGTAGAAAATAAATCAAAATTTAGCAATTTTATTGAACAATGTAACTGACCTGATTTTCTCGTGATCCCAGGGTTTGTAAGTAATTTTGTTAAAATATATACATCGAAACTTACTATTTGACTTCGGTTTTCTGGAAGACACAACGTCCAGTGCGGTGCTGAATTATAAAAACTTTCAAAGTTTGTGATATTTTGCTGATTCCAGTCGAGCTGCAATAAAAGATGTGTGTGACAGAGGAAAATACTTCATAAAGTCCAAATTTTTTAATTAGCTATCTGTCACCTCGCTCATGTATTCCAAAATCGTCTTTCCGGCAACCTCCTCTGGTCCAGTCAAGATGTAATGAGAAAGATGATCTCCGGCAGTGTTGTCTTTTCTGTAATATATAATACGAAAATATCGGTCAGAGACCGAAGACTTATCGATCGAAAGTTAAGGGATCCTCCAAAACAGCGCTCTTACTCCATAGTGACACCTTGTGTCCCATCACTAATTAATTAATAACTCGCTAACTATACGACATAATCCATCCAAAATCAATAGGCTTCTGGTCCGAAATATGATGAATGCACATGCAAAATCTGGAGCAGATTCAATTTCGCTTTCGTGAGATATCGCGTGCATCTAACAGACAAACAGACAAATACCTATCAACATACTTACCGATTAAAATTGATAAGTAATAAGTCATTATGAAGGAAGCAGTGACTATTATTGAAAAAAAAATGGTATATATAAAAAATATAATCTTACTGTTGTATGTGTTTTTCATTAAGTCCGAAGTATGACCACGAAATGTGTTGAGGGACAGATGATTGACAGGCAGTTAAATCAAATTTTGGATAGTATGAAACAAACGCCATACACATCTCCTCCATAGTAGCATATCCTCCCTACAATTAAAAAATAATTCAAAATTCAAGCATAAAAATAAATATTCATAAGTTCTAGTATTCGACAAAGTATAAGGCTACTTCAATATCCATCGTCACTGCAAATGTGATAGAGTGTCGTTAACTAATGTTGGGTTCCTAAATTGTAAATATGAGAACGGATAAAAAAAATATAAGAGTTTGCACTTAACCTTTGTTTTCTATGTTGGGGTATATGGAGAATAGATATATGAAGAATGATTAGCATAAATGGCTGATTCCCAAAATAACAAACCTCCGTCATCACAGTTCGAGACTTAGTGTTATAATCACACTCCATTTGGAAATAGTCAGTATTTTTCATGATAACTCCTGGATTGAAGTATCGTGCTTCTTGATAATTGAAATCGTAATTCTCATCATTGCCTAAGTACGGAAGTTCAACGCCATCTCTACACAAAACGTTTGCATTCATTGGCATGGATTTTTTTATTGATTTCTTATATATTTATATATATATAGTGAATATTATGAAATTCAAAATTTTGGACTTTATCGATGTAATATCAAGTTGCATTAGATATGGTTCAAAAGAGGGTGGTTTCTTCTGAAATGTTCTGATCTACTTTCTTTCTGACACAATGAATAAAGAAAAATCGAAATTAACAACCGCTTGGTACTATAGCCTACTCAATCCCTTTCCAAAATATATGGACTTCGCGAATTAGTCATTAGCAGGGGAATTGGTCTGATTTTTCCAAAAATTCCAACTACTCTACCTCATGTGTCTCAGTCTTAATTTTTTCCCAACAAGATGAGAATGCAGAACAACACTAAACACAGTAACGTTGTTCAGACCAGATGCCGCCATTCTCTAAAAAAAAATCAAATATTTGGATCAATTGATATGGAAAAGTATCTGAATGCATACATGTTTTGTCTTATTTAAAACAATAAAATGAATATTAGCCTAGCGGTAGATTCTTATTGTTAAACTTGGTAACTTACATTTGTGATGCATGCGTCTGTGCAATGCCCCATGCTATTGAAACTTTCGGCGCCCGGAGGAATGAAATGCTGAAGACCATTAGTAAGAGTTCCAATTTGAATGACGCCAATTTCATATTTTCTCAATGTTGAAGTGTAAGTAAATCGGATTCCAGAACTGTCAAGTACTCCTAAAAATAAAACTGCCGTTACCGTTACGACAAATAAAAGTAGAAACTCTAACTAAGTGATTTATGAGCCGTGGTGCAACAAATATATTTCTTAATCTGAAATAACATTAGAAATAATGAAGTATAATCTAAATTTCTAAAATACTCACAAATCTTTTTGAGTGGACTTGGCAATAAAGTACATATCATGCCAATATTATTCAGAATGTTCAGGTAATCATTTCAATATAGTATTCTCCATCGAATAAAGTTTTTTGTCTCGAAAGTAAAATCGTTTTTTAAATGGGATCAAACTTGTTTCGCCCCACTTTGTAGGCAATGCAGAACAGACACAAGTCAAATAGTGAAAATATGTAATTAAAACATTATTACGTTTTTCATTTTTTTTTTCCAGCTCAACTGTCATTTCAAAAGTCTACATATATTATATTGTAAAATTTTGTTTCTGATACTCATTTAATGACAAATAAATTTACCAGAATCCACATTCGGATTATCGTAGTGTGTTTCCAACTGTACGTACTTTGGATCTCCCGGTCCGCCCACAGATAGTCCAGCTTCTTCTGGGTATATCATTTCCTGACAATGGGCCGATTAAAAGTTTTTCTTTGTGGTTGAATATTTTTAAAGTGAATATATGGAAAACAGAGACTAATTGAATTATACACCACATGTTACAACACCTAATATTTTTATGAAAAACAAAGTTTATTACTTATAGTTACGAACTCAAGACAAATAAAAATTACAATATATATCATGGTGCGTATATGTAAAGGGATTAATAAATTAAATTAATATTAAAGATTAATATTGTTGCAACTATAGGAAATGAGAAATGAAATATATATATATGAGTATTTCAGATTTTTAAATCGTTTTTTTTGCTGAGTAAATAAAAAGCGTTCAGCAATCTAACTGCCTGTAGAAAATTACCAAACAGTAAAAATGTTACTTCTGCTCCAACTGCCCATTCGAGAATGATAACCGTGCAAGTGGAAAGAAGAGCCATATTTGATGTGTAACAACGGGTGTTTTGTTCCAATTCTGTTTCGTTCTGAAATTAATTTCGAAAAGATTTGTAAGAAGTATTATTATTATTATAAAATATTATATTCATATCATCCATACAATGGACAAAATTGTATTGGGTTAAATTATTATCATAACTTATAAAATGATTTGTCAATGGTATTGCCCAAGTGGAAAAAATTAGTATCCGTCACTGTTGAAAAGGTAACTGAGGAAAATTGCATAAACACCGTTTGCTTAATAAAGACGATCAAAGTATTGTATCAATATGTTTTATATCGCTTATTGATTCACTTGAAAAGGGAATCTAAAAATTTCAAATGAAGGAATAAATCACCGCCTGTATGTCTCCACAAGTGTAAACAATCATGTGATGTACGTAAAGTTCATTTCCAGTTTGGATGATCGGTTCCCACTGTAGTGTGAAACAAAAAACTCATGACGTACAAAAATGTATCAAACAACAGCGATAAAAGTTGACAAAAATAACGCTTGCCATTCTACAAGTAAATCGTGACAACTCAATATGAACAACTGTTATTAATAAAACTGGGAGAAAAAGTCGCGCAAAGAAAGTTATAAGATTTATAGGTTTGATGCATTGAAAGATTGAACACTGAGTGAACATAAAATATATAAAAAATTGTCAAGATAGTTTGTCTTTTGTAGTTTGTAGTTTGTCGTGCATATTCTGGAAGATAATAACCTCATGTTTAAATTTACATTTCATAAACCAAGGCTTTTGCGATACCAAAGTAGTTAGGTGATAATACGTTAATGTCCAATGTAATGGCTGTAATACCTTAACAACATGTTGTTTCCCACCAAAGTCCGGAAGCTTGAAAAGTTTGCAATTGTAATATGTATCTTCTGATGGGATGGTAAATTCTGATGCACGAACTTCAAATGTGTTATACTCAGGCCCGACTGGAAGTCCGGTTGGAGCTCCGGAAGATTGCAGAAAATACATGCTTTCAACCCCTGAAGTGGAATAATTACATTCAGTATAAGTTGGGAGTTTAACAACAAATATTAATCATGTGTTATTAGCTTTGGTGAATACAAATAAACTCCGGATTTATTCAAGCACCTCTCGCAGAGATTTTTGGATTAGAGGTGTCGATTTTAGTCTACAATAAATTGTAATTGTTTTTTCACAACGGATTTCGCACTAAGTTATTGAATTATTTAGATTATAATGTCATTTGGTGATTTTCGTTACTTCTGCTATATTTATGAATGCTTTTTTTTGGATCCTTGAAATATATGGGCTTATGAAATGTTTGTCTATTTGTGGTTGATGCATTTTTTGTTTTTACGCCCAAAATAATAACGAGAATATAGGTCGGAGACCGAAGACTTATCGATCGAAACTGCGGTTTCGATTCATGACTCTATAGTGACACCGCGTGTCCAATCACTAATTAATTAATACCTCGCTAATTATACGACATAATTTATCCAAAATCGATAGGCTTCTAGTCCGAGATATGATAAATTCACATGCAAAATTTGGCAGATTCAACCACGCCTTTGTGAGATATCGCGTGCATCTAACAGACAGACAGGCAGATAGACAAACAGACAAATACCTATCAACATACCGATCTAAAGATCAATAAGTAATAATGTGTCACTATGACTAAGCATTCGCATTGCCCCACATTTTTGTCCAAAGTCGTCCCATTCTCGCACGCGTATTTTTAATTGTTTTTATGGCATCGCACAATCTTTTGTAATCCATACATCATCCACAATTTGCGGCTTTACGTAATTTCATAGGAGACAATATAGTTTAAATACCGGAATAAATAAACCGATCTGTTCAATTGATCGTGAACCGAAGGGAAAACTGAGACAAAGTTGAAAAATATAACGAGAAAAACATTATGAAGTGCGATTCATTTTAAATCACTTCTTGCGTGAATTATACGCCATATCCGCGCTATCCGTTCTGTAAACATTCAGTCAATTATTCAAGTAAAGAAATCACCTCTTTTGGTTCCATGGTAATCACCTGAGGCAAGATCGTCTCCTGTTGGATCAGTGTCTCCATACGCCCAAATTAATTTTTCCGTGTTTGACTACATTTTAAAACAAAACAACTTGTATCTGTTTCAATTTTGAAAAAAAATATATGAATTAGGATATATACCGTGATTTCTCTATCGTAATTACTCTCGCACGCAGCAATCTGACGTGAAAATTTGTACATTGTCCACCCATTCGATTCTGCACCTCCCAGTACTTCAATATTTTGTTCAGGATCAAGAGGTGGGTAAATGTTAGATGAGCCTCCGTGTCTGTCCTGCAAAAGAGAAGGTGTAAAAACTAATCTACTTCGAAGCTGTCTCTTCCATATGATTTCAATCTCTTACATTACATTCAATGTTCAATTAGGCGCAATGATAGTTAGTCATTTGAAAACAGAATAGAGCTAAGTATACGTGAAACACAAAGAGTACAATTTATAAAAATATATATTACCGTCACTGTAGGGATTCCACTTTTTACCCATCCTACAATAATATCAGATGCTGTCATAGCTCCGTTTGGAGAAAATCCGATTCCAACCCATCCCGTTGTATGTCCAATCACCTGCAAAATAATAATTAGTAACCAACAAAATATGATTCTTGGTCATTATTGTGGATACACAACAGATTGGCTTTAATTAAAAGAATCACACAAAGATTGAGTTTAAGGGTAAATGAGTACTTTTAAAATGAGAGTACTTCAAAAAAGTTTAAATTAATTTCAATGATACTTACTTCGAAAGTAATATAGATGTCATCAAATTTCCAATACAATAAGATATTCCCAGATCGCAGCGTTGCAGAATGTGTATAATTTTCACTTGGACTCATTTGACACTTTACACTCGTCGCCGCCATTAACGCAATGCATATATAAAAAAGCATTATCTGTACTATTTTATGCTACAATGTATAATATATAAATAAACAATAGTAAATGAAAGTTCTTTTGCGTGTAACTGGGGTTATTGATACTTTCTGATTTCATCTCGTTATGGCATTTTCAACCAAGCCACAGCTCGTATATCGGCGGTATAAAAGATATCGTGACAATTGTGCATTCAAGCTTCAGGCCCAGCTGCCTTTTTTCAAATATTGTAGCATGATGCGTGTATACGGCTGCTTTGGAGCGTCGTATTCAGATGAAAGAACAAGTGAAGCATCTGCACAGATTTAATGAACCCTATCTGAATCTCAGCATGTAACAGACGTGAGAAATACGCAATTAGAACCTGTTCTGATTTTCATCTGTATTGTTTGCGACTCTTTCATGGCTAATCACTGAAATTAAAGTTGAATCCTTCGACATACATCATAAGCGAAATTGGAAAAATTGGCATCAATTTGTTAGCTAAATTGGCAAATGCGACACCCTGGGTATCTGCATATGCATACGGTAAAGAAGAATTTTTCTCTATTTATATGTACGATTTTTATGATGAAAATCATATTCTCACATGATTGCTGCTCCAGTAGTTAAAAGCATGCGTCAATGGGAGAAAATCTTCACATCCTACATTGATGTCTTAAGTATCGCTAGATGAAAGTATATGCGGGATAAACTCCTTCAAAAATAACCCTGAGAGTTCCTAAAAAATTCTCAACAAATTTATTTTGCGTAACAATAATGATAACAAAATGCAAATTAAATCGACTGGAGGTTAATTAAGAAGCGTGACCAAATTTCATGCGAACATCAAGCGACATATCCGTGATAAATATGAGATCACGAGATCTTAAATTCACCAACGTAACTAGACGCCAATAAACATTCGGAGCAGGTGATAAGGTAATGGTACGTAGTATATTCAAGTTCATAAAGAGTTCACAAATAAGTATTCTGATATATCACGATCACGTTTGCTTTATTTTTACAAGTGATTCAAAAATTTGTCAATTATTAATTACGATAAGAGTGGTGTGATTGTACATTTGGACTATGACACACTTTCGCCTGAACTTAGATCTAGAAAATCGCGAAAAAAATTTTCAATATAATTTTATTCGAAAATTTTAGAAACAAACTGAAGTAATATTCACCAAATTATTTCTATAAAACATAACTGAATTAGTAAATTCGTTGAGCCCAGAATAAATTTGTACAGCCTGTTGAAGACATAGCAAGGGGAACATAAAAGACTAATAAAGAGTAAGAGTATGTCCCGTGTTTTACTTTGGGATCGCCTGCTAATTATATAGAAGCATTGGGGACTGGCAAACTGTACAGTAGGTTTTAAACACAGTATGTTTGAATAATATTTCAGCAACATTGATAACTCCTAACATTTTTGAAACTAGGGTTAAAATACACTTTATTTTGTGCCAGTATCTAATCTATTCCATATAGCGAGAATGAAATTAGAACATCTTTTAAAGATTGTTGTTCGCGCTAGAAAACTATTAATTTTTTTAATTCAAAAAGTCATTGATGACGTCATCTCTAATAAACATGAAACTCAGACAATGTAATTTGCCAGTCTTATGATGTTATGCTATTTCAACATATTTCATCTAAAACAGTGGTTCTCAACTTTAACTGACTGTGTACCACTTTTGTGTTTTTTACCGTGGCCGCGTACTACCGACAAAACCGCTTTTGTGGCGGGGAACAATGACACAAGAAACGCTCTATGGTCGTATTTTATGTGGCACTACATTCAGTTTAGAGCTCCGTGCAAAGTTTCAACGTACTATTTATATTCAGTAACAACGTAATAATTGCGTGCAAAATCACGAGAGAATTTGCGTCGTCTACCGTCAGAGCTGGAAGGCTTAAATCATCGCCACCACTGAATTATCGAAAAACTCAGACAAATACACCTTGGTCGGCGCTAACCGCTATCCGGAACTGCCTAACCTAATCGTCAAATTGTTTGGCTTCAAAAGTTAAGATTATGCCCATCAGCCAACACATACATTAGGTCAGGGGTCGGCAACCTACGGCTCGTGGGCCGGATCCGCGGGCCCGCGGAGTAATCTAATCCTGCCCGTGACGCTTCAATGAATCATAGTAACAAATCTGCTGTTTTGACGATTACATTCCTTTCGTAACAGAATTTATTGTGAGACACCTGTAGACTAAATTATAATATAACCTAATAAATATGTAATTCACAATTACTCGTTTAACGAGGCTATAATTTAATTATAATTAGACAAATGGCAACAAAATGCAGAAAAGTTGAAAGGGTTCAATGGCGCCGAAAATATTCAAATGGAATTTTTTGCAATGCAATGAGGTAATAAATCTATGTTCTATTCGAAAGATGTGTCACTGTTTGATTTTTATCATAAAAAGTATCTTCCGTTCGGTCTTCAACTTTCTAAAAATATGTGCGGCCCGCCAATGACTATGGAGTAGATGCACGCGATATCTCACGAAGGAGTGGTTGAATTCAAATTTTGCATGTGCATTCATCATATCTCGGACCAGAAGCCTATTGATTTTGGATGATTTATGTCGTATAATTAGCGAGTTATTAATTAATTAGTGATGGGACACGCGGTGTCACTATAGAGTCATGAATCGAAACTGCAGTTTCAATCGATAAGTCTTCGGTCTCCAACCGATTATCTCGTTTTATTACTTATCGATCTTAAGATCGGTAAGTATGTTGATAGGTATTTGTCTGTTTGTTTGTCTGTCTGTTAGATGCACGCGATATCTCACGAAAGCGAGGTTAAATCTGCTCCAAATTTTGCATGTGCATAGCTTGGACCAGGAGCCTATTGATTGTGGATAAATAATTAGCGAATGATGTCGTATAATACGCGAGGTATTAATTAATTCGTGATGGGACACACGGTGTCACTATGGAGTAAGTGCGCTGTTTGGGCGATCTAACTTTCGATATTCTTGTTTTAATCTTGTTTGAATCCCACTTATATAAATACTGAGAATGACAAAATATTAGTTATTGTTACGATCAACCTAATCTATATGTGACCTCAGTAATGCCACGGGTTATTTATTACTGGTTCAATTATGACATAACTCACATTGGGTCCGATTGAGTCATGCGTCTAAGTCATTTCTAATACTCTCATAAACATAGACTTATGAAGCATTGCTGAGCTGGAAAGATGGAGTTTAAAATAGTAACACTGCAAAATGACCTCCACCTCAAAGCATATCATGCTGTGCCAAACTTTTGACGCCTAGTTGACAAAGAAAAGTGCAGTGGTGTATGAATAGCAGCTTCGGAAGTTGCAAGCTTGTTTGGTTCAACCCATCATGTTGAATCAGTCTTTTTTGTCACGAATTCATCAAGAACAAACACAGAACACGCTTCACAGATGAACATCTGTAAGACTCACCAGAGTTGCGGTGTCAAGTTACATACCTGAGTGCATTGGTGCAACGCACTTGTGAAGAGCCTGCAATGCCAGGTTTCCAGTTAACTGGCGAGATATTCGTGATCCGATAAATGTGTTTGTAAAATGTAACATTTGGTAACACAAATGTGAAATTCATTTCATCTTTGGCTGGTGCACGGTGTTTGCGCATGGACATTGTGATTTCCTACGATGTTATGGAAGTGATCATTTTAAAAACACTAAATTTGAAAATGTGATATTGATATTATAATATTTTCTATGTTAGAATTGTTGATAATTAAAAAAAATATTTACATTATCATCTTTTCCGTATGGCTAAACACCATTAATAGTAATAGTTAAAGCTTGATCGAGCAAATTGGCTCTTTAGAAGAGTAGCGTACATCAAACTTGTACCCCTTAGCTCAGGGGTTTCCAACCCCCGGTTCACGAGAAATTTCGTTTTGTTGAATTTCTGCCATCTCAATCGCTTTGTCGAAGTCGAAAAGACTAAGTTACGTTGGTTTATCGCGCAATTTCTCTTCCGCCGTCATATTACTGTTTGATTAGTGTCATCGCGAAAGCGCTGTGGTAAATCTCGCAAGATTCAGAAACCTGACAATCAGCACGCGTGCTTTTTCCGTTCTGCATGATTTTTTTCATTAATATTACCATCCAAATAAAAGGTTATGAATATTTCTTTGTTTGAACCAAAAACAGTATAATATTCCACAGCTTCGCTTTGGCTTCCAGCAAGATATGAACTTGTTGCGACCCTGCAGGCTGACATGAGAACCATGGGCCGTTGAGATCTTTTCCAGGTGATGCGCAGCAGGATTTTGACCCTGTTGTCAAGTTAGCAACGACTTTATCATTGTAATATAAATTCGTTTTGTTTAGGACATCGATCAATTGCAGAGAAATAAATATGATGAACTCTACTTTACAGATTTATAAAAGAATCACAGTTACAAGTCTTAAGCTCTCTTGATAACGAATACCCATCGCTAAGTAATCGAGCAATCAAACTGTTGTCCGAGTATTCAACCAGTCACTTGTACTAAAAAACTTTTTCACTAATAGCTTTAAGCAAAGATATCGATCGTGAGTCACTGCAGAGCTTTGTGTTTCAAAACCTTTTTTCATGCCTCGTTTGCAATCCTGTATTGGAAACGGAACAGCAGCAAATTCTCACTAGAGGTAATTGTGTTTGTTCATGAATTGGCATGTACATATTTTATGTGAGATATTTTTTGGGTGCTTTTTTACGCATAATGGGTGCCCAGCACTGCATTTTATTACGAAAATATATGTTAATATTTTATGTTCTAACCATTTCAAGTTTTGGCCTGCACATCATTTAATATTTTTTCTTCACGTGAAATAATTTTAACAATTTTTTTCTAGAAACATTGAGAGTGCCCGACATTGCACCATATTGCGCAAATATAATATGGTATTATAATACGTTGTGTTAGTTGCAAACGTTTTATTAGCGATAAATATATATTGGTTGAAGGCTTTGAAATAGGAACACAATTTCAAAATGTTTGGGGAATATTTACCACCCATGCAATAATGGCAGAATTGCTTTGTCATTAGAAATTGTACAACAATGAGCCTAACCCTTTTGTTTGACGAACCTGTTTGCCTAACGCATGGTAACAATACCGAAACATGTTTTTGCGAATTGTTCAAATATGCATAAGAAAGTAATCATTAACTAACTAGACTCAATAGTTCTGTACTCAACTGCGCAACAGAATCACGATAACCAGTGGAATGTTTTAGGAATATGTTTGCACACAAGTGAAAAGTCAAACTCGGTCGTGGTCTAGTTTTTAGCTTATTCAAATTAGAGTAGTGGCAGAAATGTTTTATGGGATATTACTAAGACCTGATTTATAAATTTTTGTATATCGATGAAACAAGACACGTTTGAAATTTGTATGAATATTTGGATGAGATGAAATCAAGAGTATACAACAAATAGGATCAGTTTCTCGCTTTCTCTAGCTTTTGTCAAAACGTGCTTTAGCTAATTTAATATTATCCAAGATGAAATCTTACGAATATATTGATTCTTATCAATAATTTTATAGGGCGTAAATGTGACTAATTTTAACTCCGAATTCCATCTTATAAGACGGTGGCACCCCACCTTCCCGTCTACAAAAATCACCCACGAATCAGGACGACGTTAAATAGTTTGCAAGTGTGAATGAAAAATGTTTGTGAACCGAAATAAACAACCATACATCTCAATGTACTTTGAATCATTTCTTATTAGGTTTTTGCAGAAATAGAGTGAAGAAAATGAAGAACTATATTTTATTCTTAACTCTGATATCTGTATTTACAGTGTCTACCAGCGCTTGTCCTTCACAATGCAGGTAAATTGTTATTGTTAACTTATGAAGTTCACCCTCTATTGTAAAAATAATGTACGAGCGCAGTGAATTACCTTCGTCAAATAACTTATCAAAAATAACTAGGTATGTTTAATTGATTACAACCATCTCTCATAAGAGTGCAAATTAAGAAGGTTTATAACACTGAAAGAGAAAGTATACCATATAACTAATAGAAATTTATATAACCCGAAAAAATTCTTCTACTGTTTCAGTTGCTTTGGTTGGGTGGGAGAGAGGATCGCTGACTGTGCTAGAAGAAGTTTGACTGAAGTAACGTTCAGCGATTTCGATGCCGATACCACAGAAATTCACCTCCAGTATAACAAAATTGAAACTCTGGATCCAGCGACGTTTGCCAATGTACCAAATCTAAAGTAAGATATATATATATATAACAAATCTTCAATGTTGGTGAAAATCGTCAAATTAAGCGATAGACCTCATAAAAATAGTAGTCTCTATGGATCAAAGAAGCAAGATGGGAAACGAATACCGAAAACTCACGAATTTGGGTGCTGGCGTCTATCGAGCACTAGCAATTGTTTACTCGCCCATTTTGCTTCTTTGTTCTTGCGCACCGGTAGAGGAAAATTTTTGTATTTGAAAGCCAGATGTCCGAACTTTTATGTTTCAAAATGCAGATTTTGACAAGCTGATTTTACAAAACTAATAGCTGCATGTACAGCGCTCGAAATAGCTATTAAAGTATATATATGATGCTAAATACTCCAAAATACAATACCAAGTTTTGTACAACGGTGCCAGCTTGGTGTAATTTGTTTCAAAATATGATACTTGCTTAGATTGTCTGGATGGTATGGGTGTCCTCATTCTCCCGGCTAAATTTGCTTGCTAATTGTACCAATGCCGTATCCCAATTTTATAAACCGTAGGCAAAGTGGGAAACAGTAAGTAATTTTAAATTGGCGCTCTAGTGACGACATACTTTTCATTATATTAATTTACAGGCATTTGTATTTACAATCCAACAAAATCAGCGCACTTCCCGATGGAATCTTCGACAATTTACCAAATCTTCAAACTTTGCGGTTAAATGGTAACAGGATCGCTGACATTGGTGCGAACAAATTTGCCAACTTGAAAAAACTCATTTTACTTTATATTCACGACAATGATATAAAGACTGTCGATGCTAGTGCATTCAATGGACTGGATTACGTAAGTGCGACGAGAATTTACATCGATTTTTTCTCCATTATTTTGTTGTACTAGTTAACGAATTACCACATTTCCGATAGAATATGTGCTGAAAATTAGTTGCCTATCGCTTACTTATAGCAGCGTTCGCAACAAATGAGAAATTCAATGATGTCAGGTCATAATTATCACTTAATATTGGAGTCAAAAATCACACATATATATTATTGTTCTAAGTGATTACTCAAAAGCAAAGAAGAAGGATAAGTAGTTAGTCTCGCAGAAACCAAATCATTAGCACAAGTATATATTGTTCTTCTTGATTTAGCGTCATAATATTCATTCTAAAGCATTGTGACGAACGCAATTACCCCTATTCAACAATATTTTAGAACAAAAATTCAATTGAATCAGTTATTGAATCAAAAGAGTGATAAGTTGTATAATTCTGTAAAGATTAGGATTAGGAATGCAACCTACTCGAACAGGCTCATCGCATGCCTAAATAACGCCATACTTTTCTTCTGATCAATGTTACCCTTTGTGACGTTCGTCGCCTCCATAGTAACCAATTGCAATAGTACACGAGGAACCCTCATGCGGTTCATTATATTTCAATTGATATTTGTGATACATGTCGAATACTGAATGTTCTATCTTATATTTCCTCATTGTAAGATTAATATTTGTTCTGCACGAAATGCATTCAAGACGAAGTACTTGTGATATATCCATATATTAAAGAAAAAAAAATGCTAAAAGTACCTAAATATGATGTGTGTTTTTATCCTCCGAGCTTACCAACATGGAAATATTGTGTGACTTTTAGTTTTTATTCAAGTTTGATATTATTTAACAGATGGAGCAAGTATCAGTGGCAGGAAATCCTAATTTGAAAGATATTAATGTCGACGCTTTTGCTGGTAACACCAATTTGACAATGATTGACATGAGTGGAAGGTTAGTCATATTTTACTCATATCTAATAAAAGCTACTCATTTTCTTTCAGTCAGCATCACAGAATCAGAGAATATATTTCAACAAACTGAAAACTTGAATGATGTAGATAAATCTCATCAACTCACAATACAAATCCTCTGAAAGCATTATTCAAATAAAATAAAATAAAATAAAAAGTTATGTTGACTGTACTACAAGGGATTCAAAATAAAAACGGTCAAATCTATATTTTCATATTTCACAGCGCCCTGACTGGAATTAATCCTCGACTTGTTAATAGAAACGATAAATTGGAAAAAGTTTATACCTATGACATAAATACATTGATATGTGATTCAAGTTTGCAAGTATATCTCACGGTAAGGTTTTTTTCACATTACTCAGAAAGTGTTTTAGCCGTATTTTCATAATTTTAAGCAATTTCCAATTTAATTACCACGAAAACTCATTTTTGTAGGGAAATCTGCTACTTTATCATCTGATTTCTATTTTGTTACCACGAAAACTCATTTTTGTAGGGAAATCTGCTACTTTATCATCTAATTTCTATTTTGTTCCGTACTCAAGTCATATAAATGACTCTAAAACGAGAGTTGGTCATCTTCACCGCAACAGCATAATTATATTATCTATATGTATAGAGATCCACTATCCACAGATGAGTAGTTAGTCCACTGTACTCTTTTCATTGCGTTTCTTTAATAGTGGATGAACACTCATCCCCGTATTGCTTTTGGCCGAGCAACAATGGTGTGTGCAGAGCCAGAAAATCTCAGGGGGAGGTCCGTTCTTTCGATTGACCCAGAACGACATTACACTGATGAAACAACGTGTCCGACTGAATGTAATTGTATCAAATCAATGAACACAACAATTGTTGACTGTTCAAGCAGAGGCAAGAAAATATTTTATTTTTCAATTAGACATCCTTTGATCTTTAGAAACAACATCATTGCCCGATAAAGTTGGAAACCCGCTGTCAGATTTGTTACTGCTATGTGGTGTCACGTCGATAATCCTATACTCACAACTAGTTTTATGCCTTGCCTTAACAAAAATGGCATTACGTGACATGTTAAATACAGTTAACAGTACTTTTGCGTAACCAAGGACCAACTGAATAAAGTAGACAGAAATTGAGAATGGGTTTTATCAATCTTTAGCAAAACTCAAGGCAATCTGTTAGATTCGGCATAGAAAGTGGGATTTGTGGACAAATTGGGGTTTCGCACAAATGACTTTTTGCGCAAAAGACGTCCAAAAATCGCTCCAAAGAGTATACTTTGAATACTCGAGTGGATGAATAAAGATTATTTTTTCAATTTTAACTTATGTACGAAATGTTTAGAGTTTAACGCGGTGCCTGTTGGATTTCCACCAAGTACAACTGAAATTTTTCTGCAAGGAAATAATATTTCATCACTGCGTAATTACGACTTTCTTCATCTCACAAAACTTGAGTAAGTACATGTTAAATACATTTCGTAAACAAAAATGTCTCGTGCAAAACAACAAACGATTAGTGCTTTTTGTGGTAATGATAATAAAACCAATGATACTAATTTTTTTCTAATTGGTTGATATACGGAATATCTTGGTATTTATCAAGTAATTCCAATTACCGTTTACAGAAAGTTTCGCTCTGTAGATAGACCACTTTTGATGAACCCAACTATGGTTCATATCTTAGGCTTTTATTAGCTGAAACGAAGACTACTATCTTAAGCAGCACAACCAAGAGAATGAATTTCACATCAAAATACCATATTGTCAAATGACAGGCCGAATGCTTCAGCAGAGTCAATTGTCCTCGACATACATGGCGTTGCTATATTTTAACACACACGGCACCATGCCATTTTGATTAACCAGTTCAGCTGATGAATCAGCGCAGTAAATTTATTGAATATAAACTTAGAAAAACTCTTGCCACGTTAGCGCTTTCAAACCATAGTCGATGCCGTAGACTTTGATTTTACGTAAATTTTTTCCAGATACCTGTACCTTCATAATAATAAGATTGATTTCTGGGATATATTTGCGTTCACTGGACCCGAACAAACCTTAAAGCAACTGACTCTACATGATAATCTATTCGATAATATTCCAACTGGAATTTTCAGAGGAATGAGAAATCTTGAGGTAACGTCCGTTGTTTTGAATCTTTTTTTCGTAAGAAGAGTGTCGACAATGGAAATTCCTTTGGACCATTTTAAAGCAGCTGTAAAACTATATCTTCAGACTAATGCACATGAGTGCCAACCGACGAAAATAAATTCATCTATATATTTTAATTTTATATCGATGTTATATATTATTTCTGTGTAAGTATTACGGTTTTTGATCAAAACAGGTTTTCAACATGAACGACAATCAAGTTTCTGTTATCCTACCAAACGCCTTCTCAGATATGGTATCTGTTATTCAATTTTCAATGAACTATAATTCTATCAGAATAGTTCCTTCGGACACATTTGCAAATTGCTTGTAAGTTCTATATTCAGCTTTTTATTATTGAATTGTTATTGTGATGAATTATTATAGTTCTTTATTGAAGTTTTCTTTTACATTACAATGTTGTTTTCTTTAAACTCACTCCATACATAGATTTTGTAGGCCATTTTAAATGGCGATTAAAACCGTATATCCATCCCTACAGCTACTCTTAACGACTTGTTATTTACGACAGGTGTCCGTGCCTCGTAAATCCGGTCGGAATCTGTACAATTGAGCAAACATGCTTCTTTTAATCATCATTTTATTCTATACCATTTTTGTACAACATATATTCTTTCATCGGAAAATATGATTAATATTTTTTATTTGTGTTAATTTCACCAACTTTTAGCGTACATATTCATGCATTTAAGACAGTCGTTCTACGATCACGAGGCAAAATTAAATTCTGAACGTACTCACCTTGGCCGTTTGCAACAACTATTTTGATGTAGTCCTTGTGTTTGCTTCGCAATGGGCTATTCTTTGATGTAAAGTCGCGTACTCCTGATTAAATAATTACTACACGCGGTTTTGATATTTAACACCGTGTAACAGTTAAATATATAGGGAAGATTAATTTTTATAATATCGAGTATTTTTTATATTACAGGAGTTTAAAATATGTTGGGCTGGCATACAACAAACTCTCAAACATGTCAGAAGATGTGTTCAGAAATTCTCCGGATATTTATTATATCGATCTATCCGGTAACGAATTGGACTATCTTCCAATCATTCCACCAGGCGTAACCTTGTTCGATGCTCGAGAATCTCGACTGAAAGCACTCAGAGCCTCCTCTTTCCAAAATGCTAAAAATCTCGAAATACTCAATGTGACTGACAATTATATTTACATTATCGAGGATGAAGCATTTGCTGGAGCTCCTAAATTACGTGAATTGCATTTAGGCGTGAGTAGAATATTTGTGATATTCTTTTGCCGCTGTATACCTTTTTTATGGAGGGTATATACTTTTGTACAAAATCAGATAACGTACAGAGAACAGACCCGGTATCGCTTGTGATAGTCTCAATACTTATTCAACAATTGTTTTATATTTTGTTCAAAGAGCAACAATATGGAAATTATCGACGACAAGACATTTTCATCCGCACCCATTCTGCAGTATATCGATTTAAGTTACAACAGTCGATTGATGAGTTTGTCCGAAAATGCATTTTTCACTCAAAGAAAGACGTTGCGAGGATTGTATTTGAACAATGGTGGATTGAAAACGATGAGTGGGAAGACATTGAGCATTGTGGAAAATTCTGGATTTTACGCAAGGTTATCTGACAATCCCTGGAATTGTGACTGTAAACTGCAGGTACATATTTTCAAATATTCATGAAACTTATTTATTTACACCCGCTATTTTAGAACCGTGGCTACCCTTACTCAGTAAAACTGTGTGCGTACACCTAATTTGTGTACCAATTGGAAAAAATACGTGACTTGCACAGCAGAAGCCAACAACAATCACGAATTATCATAGACTCAATGGTGTGCAGAGTAAGTTTGGATGAAATTAGGGCGCAAAAAAGTTTGCATCAATGTTGTTTTTGAGCTTGAGAAGCGCTATTCTCTAATTAGGCCTCATAGACCTTTTGATTTTGAAAAATTCTTCAATATTAAAAAATTATTTATTTTCAGATTTTTTATATATGAAAATTAAACAGACTTGATAAATTACCGCACATAAAATTTATAATTAAAATATCACAATCGCAAACTGATATATGATTAATGTGATACACAAGAGCACAAATATTAATTTGAAATAATTTTTTCACAATATTAATTTTGAGTAGACTGACAACAGGACGTGCTCGTGAGGGGGCATTGAGATTGTCTCGCTTGAGGGTAAAGAGAATTACGCCAAGTTGCGTATTAAAAAGTCCCAATTTTATTTTATTTATGACCAATGACCACTTAGGCGGCCTGTGTAATTTTGTTTACTATTTTAGATTACGGTTAACTGATAAATCGCTACTGTGGTCGCACCTTTAATTTCATTTTCATCTTGCCCGTGTAAAGACACACTGCAAATGATAAAATCAGTATAATGACGGTTACTTATTCAGCAATATTGATTTTTCAGAATCTTGCAGACTACATAAACACCTATCCGGATACAGTTGATAGCCCAACATGCGCCGAACCAAAAGAAGAGATTGGTAAAGAAATATCACAAGTTACATTTGTTGAGGGCTGTGCCATTGCCACACCACAGGACGAGCATCGCGCTCTTATTATTTCACTCAGTATTGTTGGAGCAGTGCTCATATTTGTTGTGGTGCTCGGAGTCATTTTGTATAAATCACGAAAAGACACGAAAGGTAAAACTATTCGATATTTAAAAAAATATATCCTTGTGCTATAGGCCTTGGTGCATTTGCTAATTGTTGTGTAATGGGCGATTAACCTCTGTATGTAATAATTTGCTTTATTTCAGAAGCTATGATGTCAGCCGGAATGACAAATGGCGGTCACGAATCTAACGGAAAAGAAGAGATTGCCTATAAGAACGTCGCTTACGACAATGCCGATGAAAACCCAAGCGGAAGTGCGCTGTAACAGAAATAAAATCCACATATATAACATAATTGAATTTGTATAATTTTTGCCATTAACTATGTTTTACGTGTTGATTTAAACTACATCGTCTGTTAGAGAGCAAACTTTCAGTCTTCATGAAAATAATCCTTTTACTGGAAATCATTCATTTTTTCGTTCATCAATTAAACCCATTTTTTTTCAATTCAATTTTCGAAAACTGATTCAGTTGTAATTTTTCACAATGTATTACTGGCCAAAGGCAGAATAAATCGTTAAATCAGTTTAGAGTAGTTTCTGTGTCAAGCATTTATGTTTACGCATATCTTCCGCAATGCACTACGTTCCGAGTTTTGCAGCTTTAAACAATGTTAGAGATAACAAACCGATTGTAAATGCAATTCTGATGAAAATGGATGACGGAATCATTACTTAAAAGCAGGCTGTTTATCTATAGATTTATATTCTCTTCCTATCTTTTTACTTCAGTTATAATTGTACATTGTTCAGAGTCTTCCAACTCTGAGGACCATGATGGTACTATACACTAATGCAGAAATAAGGTGAACATTCAGAGGTTTCTTCTAATCACTTGTGGTAATGAAAAAAAGATTAAACGTTAAGTTAGTAAATTTTACGCTGATTGCAGTGGTGGCTTGTGGTTTATCTATATAGCTATAGGGTCGATGCCCATTAAAGTTCACGGTACAGATTTTGCAGTTTTTAGCAGCCCAACTCAATCATTTGAGCAGTACCGAAGGTCATTTAACTTTCAGTCAAAGATTTCTGATCATATCATACTTCCCACCTATCTGATAGTACTCAATGAGTTATTTGCATATTATGGATCGATCACAGCAAAAAACGATGTATACAGTATGATCAGGATCGTGCCAAACTTTTCTACTACTCATGGGGTGTTTCTGATAATGATTCCTCTCATACCTAACTTCAAAAATAATTCGAGGTATAAATAAATTATAGATATTGTTATACATGAAAATAAATGAATTAAAAGTCAAGTGAGAGTGAAATATTTGTATTACTGCGCTACATCACGCAATGACCAGACGAGCAAATTGGCGGGAAAGTGCAGTCAACCATTGCTGACTAACTACCACCCCAACCAGTCACACAAGACTATACACGTAATGTCAGCCTTTAAAGACACATCGAAAAAACATGTGTAATAACGCGAACTCTACAGCTTGGATCTGTATCCCATTAAACAACGTGCTGCCCGGGCGGTTCCCCCTATGGCCCTCCCCTAGGCCCGCCCATGAGTAAGATTCATGACTTATGAAACCTGAATCTAAATTACTCAATTGCAATTAACTCAATATATCCAGCATTATTAATTTATTATTGCACAATCAATAATAACCCACTAGGGAAAAGCATGAATGCATTATTCATTTTTCATAATGCGTTCGATTAAATGATAAAATGTTTTTTAATTGACTGCTACAAGCAAGCACACATTCATTTTGGTATTTGCATTGAAAGAGTTTTTTCAATCCAATTACAAGAAGAAGCAAAAAATGGGAACGGCATGATCGATTTGAAATTTCTCCATGTAGTACATTACTTTTCATATTCGGACAAATGGTTGCTGGCGCCAACAATTCTTTTCATTATGATAAAATGAATTAAAATAACTGCGCTTTGATTTATTTACCAAGTATTCACATTTTTGGATCTTCATCATGAACACACTTGTTAATATAAAAATTTCTTTTAAGGTTTAATTCTATTTTCATTGCAAACTATCGATAGCGCGACAAGTTCACACCTTTTCTTTGAAATAAGCTGTAAACAAGCTGGCAATGGTACGTAAAGAGCCACAATTTTTAGAAAAAATGGAATCTTTTAGGTCAGAGTTGCGTATCCATTCATTGTTTATATAAATGTAAAGCTTGATTAAGTAGGGTGTATTTATAAAACTTACTTCATGACGACACTAAAAAGTAGTATATACAATTTATTTGAAACAAAGATCATCTGAATATCGTGTTTCATACAACCACTTATAAACGGATGGAATCGTTTTGTGAATTCGTGGTTTTTCGAAAATTTTCTTACAAAGTCTGCACAGTGTTGATTTGTGATTTGGTTCAATATCATATTCAGAAATTGTATTGTCAACTGGTCGAAATCTCCAAGAGTGATATTCTTTATATGCTGTATCATTTGTATTCAAATAATTCAAATATTTGACTAGCTTTTCTGGTGTTTCAAAGTCTTCAGTATGGATATACGAATGCGGAGGGGCTTGTTTAGCAACGTCCTCGCGTCGGGGTCCCCAAACTATGGGAACTGCTCCCCCTCGGAAGCCGTTTCTCCAGAATTTTTCCGAAACATAATCAGGGCAGTGAACTGAGTTTTCGAAAGATAGATAAAATCTATGCCGCATTATTTCTTGGGTCATAGTTCTCGATTGATATCTGTTATTAAAACAATCCCCATATGTTGTTAGATTCAGTCCGGCTTCAATTAATGATTTTGCGTATTTCATTCTTTCTGTAGCGCCATATGTACTGTTGCAATTGCTGACAGCCCAAATAGCAAGACCGTTCTTTCGCTTCATTATCTTCTTCAACCAAATCCCGTCCCGATTCTTAGTTTGAAAAAATCTTAGCTCGTACTCAATATTTCCAAAATAATCTATGATATCAGCATCTACACGAAAATTCATTGTCAGATTAAATATGGGATCAAATCGGGGATCTTGTAACGTCTTTCTGAACTTGTATGTTTTTGATGGAGTCTCACGAGACCAGAACGCGTAGATCTGGTCGGGATTTCTGAAAAAGAGAAAACTTATTTATTAGTTAAATAATAAAATAGATTTTAAAAGGGCTTTTTTAAATACATCTCGGGTTTTCAAAAAATATTTAGCCCCGTACGTATCTGCTATACATGTCAAGAGATATTTCTTATTACATTCACCTAAGTCGAAAATTTGTGTACAACAACGGTTTGGATTCTAGAGCGGAATTATATTTAGATTAATTCAACATTAAATATATTATAATAGCGGGGTGAGGTGTTTGATCTTTGGAAAAACAATATGAAATAATAATGTATATAACGTATGATCTCGTACTAAAGATGGATGGCTTTCAAGCGGGTGCTTAGGGCATTATTATCGAAAGGCACTGTGTCCTAAGTGCGCCCTGTCAGCATTCAAAAAAGTTTGGTGCTTAGACCTGCGGCCTGCGGGCGAAATGCGCCCCACGAGAAGAGTTTTTATTTCAGTTAAATCTGCTTCGTGCGAGCAATTCCAATTTCTTTGCGTTAAATGTATTGTCTATGCCTACGACGTTACAATGTCCTAACAGCTAGTTTGTGCGAAGCGAGCAACGCGATTCACAAAGCTGTCGCTTGCTGAGCAGCAAGCAGTTTGAGGAGAGTGAAGCTAATGAGATACGGAAGCTAAATGAGTTTTGGTTCCAGCAAATCAATCGATTTAGTCTAAATCTAATTTAGAATGAGACAGATTCAAGACAGCAGTATTAAGTATTAGGAAAGTAACCTTGGCGATTTTTACCGAAAACATCTCAACCAAGATAAATGTCCACATTTGAAAAAAGTCATGGCTTCAAATATGGCACTTTTTGGTGCATATTTCAGCAAACATATTTTTTTCTAAAATGGGCGCCATAAAATTTCCTCATCGATTAGTTTTGTCAGACTAACACTTGGAAAATGGACTTCCAATTGCTATCACGAAAAGTAGCCACGAAAATAAGTCAGCTGTAAATTTCTCACTGAATTTGTTTGAAGTCGGTGTGACAACAAATTCTAATAGCAGTTTTCTTCGAACGTTTATGCGTCTAACTCATCACTTGTGCAAGAACCCCTAATAATGCCATGAGATCAATAACAAATAAAAATTATTTTTGTGCCTGCTAACTACTATATATAATTCCTATATTTAAATAAAGGAGCGGCCCGCGATTCACTAAGTTATTTGTATCGGGATTTCCTGTAATAAAGGTTGAGAGCCGCCGGGATTGAGAGGCCATGCCCCCCATCAAAAAAAAACTTTAAGCGCTTTCTGTGGTCCTATATACTACATACACATAACCTTTTTCCCTCGGGTAGGTTGAATCCCATATAAACTATATATATCAGCATGACCCGAACATACGAATTCAAATTTTATAGTTTTAAACGACGACTTTTATACGCACGTCAATCAGTAGCCCGTTGTACATTCATTCTAAATGTATGCCCTATGTCCCTAATAGTTAATTATCACAAAATAAACTTACCTGGTTTTTGGATCAGGTACATCCATGTATTTTTGTAAATCCGGTGCATTGAAATGAACCAAGGCTGAACATTCTCTAACAAGTGATCTATTTGTCGTCACCTGGCATCCTCCACATTCTTTCGGAGAAAAATATTCCAGATGTTTCAGGTAATTTCTCATTTGATATTCCATGGCTTTCCACACTAAAATAATAGGCGGTCGGGTGTCTTTTAGCGAAGAAAAGTTCTCGACTTTTTCCTTTGCGCTCTTTTGCTTCATGTCAATATTTTTAATCGTTTTGGACTTTTCTGTTTTTATTTCTTCAATTATACCATCTTTTTTGTCTTCAACGATAATTTTCGGAGGTCGAATTACATAGTTTTCAATGGCGTTCATATTGTCTGATAAATCATGTTTTTCTTGATAGACTCTGGTTCTTCCAATTTCATTCCTTTTTAAATTTATTGATGGAATATCACCATGATTTCTAATGCTTAATTTCAGTCGTTTGCTTAATGCATAACATATAATTCCGGATAGAAATAGTGATATAATATTCCGTGTCTTCCATCCACGAGATCTAGCTCTGAAATGGCTTTTCAAACGTGGAATCTAAATGCAAAAATTTATATCTAATTGATCAACTTATTGGAAATCTTTTTACTGCACGTCGACTCGCTCATATATAATAGAATATTTTGACGTTATTGTCGACTAACCCATTATTTGTAGTGTTGAACGGTTAAAAACCATCAAATTTCCCATCCGGACAATAATACCTTATTTTTACTTACCTTTTTTCCCTTTTTCATTGCGTTTATTATTTTGAAGTTTGTCGAAACGAACAGAATCGTTCGCATGTGTTATTGAACACGTTTTATACCGAATCAACGTAATACACATCAAACAGCATTATATAAAAATAATTACCGCCTTGCCGGAGGCAGGTTTTGCGTTAAATCGAGATTTAAAAACTCGATTGACTCCGCATATTATCTTCAGTCAATCTGATTAAAAATCGTCGAATGCTAAAATTTATGTGTACGCTGTACAGAATCCGTATAAGTTTATACCTTTTAGGTTCTCATTATAGCGCATTTGTAATAAAGACCATATTGAATGTTTGATCACCGGGATCAAAGTTGATTTACTCTTCCTGGGTAACTCCACTCCATTTGCATGCGGTCCATTTTTGACTGACCTAATCACTCAATATGTTTTACACTTAAATATGAATGAAATTTGTTTTTATATTAATGATGTCACATTTGTACATTATACCAACCCAAAATATTAATAATCATCGATTCCAATAAAGATATAACCAAAACATTGCCAACGGCGACAAATTTTACTTGTTGTACCACTGTATATATTATCATAAAATGCTAATGCCATCGACTCCGACACTCTGTCGGATAATTGAGTATTGGCGGTGTATTTCAACAGCAGGCGTTTTGTGTAACCATTATAGATACGGCTACCCCCAAATCCCCAGTATGTTTTTACCTTTCGTGAATAATTGTAAATATATACAAATCAGTGCTATATTAATATATTCTCATCCCGAGTAATACCTTATCTTTAAACAATCTGAATGCCCCAGAAAATATTAAGTGTTTCGTAAATAATTGTAAAGCAAATCTGGTTTTTAGACAGTTTTTATAAATAATATACAGTAAAAACGATATAATCCCCGAGGTCGTTGTGGTTCACATACGTGGCGTAACCTCTTGACGGTGTTCAATCATTTACGTTCATGCGTATAGTCTTATCGTTTACTCGTCTACATATTTCAATGACAAGATTAGACTGGTTATTTACACCTAGAAATAAATAAGGTTAATTAAGCGAAGAACTACTACCAATGATGAAAGAAATACCGAGTTTCCACGAAAACATCAAATCCTCAAGTCTTCAACATTGCTTTGCAAATATTCAACTTCTATTACTATAACTAAAAATATAAATAAATTCCTAAACAAGCTGAACTTTACGAATCTATCCAACAAACAAAACGCAATTTGACCAAAATCATGAAAAATGAAAATTTGTGCTTTTTTGACCAAGCTTAATGTATTATCAATGTTTGTTTATTCCACATTTGCCGCGTGGAATGGGTTTTAAATAACAGATCTATTAAAGTTGGTTTTATTCAGTATTCTAACCACCGGAATAAAAGAAATCATACAAAAAAGGAATTAGGCCTAACTGAACTCTATGCCAAACGCAACCCTGAACCAAACTTCGTATATTTCGCGGAACAATTTTCTATCAAATGATCAAGCTAAATTGTTATTGTTACACACAGCATGTTATACAATAAACAATTACAAGATGAAATCGAGAATATAATTTCCGAATACCCAAATGAAAAGGTATCTCGAAATTGCATTTTTTTTAAATTCCGAGAAAAGAAATTAAGAGAATAATATTTTACCTTCATTTTCCCACTTTCATACTACTCCATGTGCTCTGTCTTGCAACATGTAACTCTCTGAAATAAAACAGATAAACAAACGTGAGTCATAAAATACCATTCCACATAAATTGCTTGAAATTTCCTTATCTCTTCAAAACTTTTGCCTCGGGGATCTGTTCGACGCATGACCCACGCGAGTCGAGCGATATATTGTGATTTACGTGCGTAATTTTTACTTCGCATCGTAGTGAATAATGCAAGGAGGAATTGCCGAACAGATTCAGAGTAAGCAATCTTGATATTATAATTTTCATACCTGTTTTTAAGAAATGAGAACCTCAAAATCCATAGGAGTCTAGATAGACATTTAATTTCGAACTATCATTCATTTTGAAATTTCAAGGAGTATTTCAAAATTCAACCGGTTTAAAAAAATTCTAAAACTGAATTTGTTTCAATTTTTTAATTAATTTAATTATTCCAAATCTTTTCCCGTTTAAAAGGTTAAAAAGTAAATAGGGTCGAATAAATGTCTGAATTTGAAAACTTTACCATTTCAACCTTAAAAACTAATTAAAATACTTTTTTAAATTAATTAAATAGTTTTTAATCTAATAAAAACTTACCTCATTGTCACGGTTCCGGTAATATTTGTCAAAATATAAACATAACAAAAAATAAATCAATAGAATAATATCTTACCTTCATATTCCATAGTGCTGCACATGCTCTTATTTGCAACAGTTTGGCGGTTGGAATAAAACCGATAAAGAAGCGTGAATCACAGAAGTCATATCATATAAATATCTTGATAGTTTTTTTTTTATCTACTCATAAGTTATGCCTAGAAGGCCTGTTTGACGCATGCGAGTTTAGCGATATATAATGATTGCCGTGTGTAATTTTCCACTTGGTGACGTATTGCAAAATGAGAGCCACTGTCGAACTGACACAAAGATGAAAATCTTGATGATATAATTTTCATATTTATTTTCATTGAGTGAAAACAAATAACTCTTTGAATTTTTTTTGCTGAATTAATAAAATTTGATTGTTGGAAAACGTTCACAAATATCTCATTCCCATGACAATATTATTTCGGCCCAAAGTTATGCCGTGTCATGAAAAATATAAAACACAATCACGAGTGAAAATACATGATACCTGTATTATTATCTGTTAAACCCCGTTCTACCCGTCCAGGAAATCGTATTCTTGGGTTAGCATCAAGGTTGCCAACTGAAACCATTTTGGGCTTCAAAATTATACAACCTAAAATAAGTTTTCTACCAGCAATGAATTAAATTGGAAAAAGATATTTACGTCGGTCGAATTATCTGCCGAATTTTATATTCTCTACCACACGAGCAGAATATAGGCAAACTCGGGTATCCAGATACACGATGTCAAGGAATACATTACAAACTCGATTGAAAACAATACTCACTTGTAACCAGTTATGTAACGTGATACGCAAGTTTGCATTTTTGCTTTCGTCGCAGATTAAGAGGACAGATAATCACAAAATTGAGGTGACGCGTGAAAATGGTATGCTGAACAGCGACCATATTGTAAGTACGCAATAACCTCTGAGACCATTGAGAATCAGAGTTTCAAGGCTATATAGTCGCCAGAGTTTCTTGCCGGATAGGGCGCCAAATGATATGGCGCGCATAGCAATACACGAATCCTGGGATTGCAATTATTAAAGCATATTTAAAATTGCCACGGAACACGCCGAACCTTCTTGTTACTTATCGATTTTAATCGGTAAGTATGTTGATAGGTATTTGTCTGTCTGTCTGTATGTCTGTTTGTCTGTTAGATGCACGCGATATCTCACGAAAGCGGGATTGAATCTGCTCCAGATTTTGCATGTGCATTCATCTTATCTCGGACCAGAAGCCTATTGATTTTGGGCGAATTATGTCGTATAATTAGCGAGTTATCAATTAATTAGCGATGGGACACAAGGTGTCACTATGGAGTAAGAGAGCTGTTTTGGGGATCCCCTAACTTTCGATCGATAAGTCTTCGGTCTCTGACCGATATTCTCGTTTAAAATGTTTCCAAGTTTTGAGTTTTTCAACTGCTTTTCTATTTCTTTACATTATGACTGTTCCAGAACTAACTGTTATTATATTAAACGTTTCGAAGATTTTGTGAATTTAGTTTCCACGTGTGTGTGTGGTATGGTAATATATGGCGCTTTTTTTTTTTTTTTGAGTCTTTTGCGCCAGACAATTTAAATCAAAATTTTGTATATGGCTATAGTACTCTCTTGGTAGATTTCACAAAATCAACAAGAGCAGGGGCAATGCTAGGGTCGCGTAAGATAGCTTTGAGTTGAAATTCAATGCCATAATCGCGGCATTTCATCTTTAGTATGCGTCTTTTATTTCTATATGCACGACAGTTCATTAGAAAATGTTCTACTGTCTCTGGATAATCACAGAAATCGCAAAGTCCATTATTATGGCATCCTATTTTATGGAGGTGCCCAATTAAACGGCAATGTCCCGTCTGAAGTCGAAATAAAATTTTGTCCATTATTCGTGGTGACCAAGTGGAATTCTTGATGCTGTCTTCAATTGAGGGGAAAATGTCTTGTAATGAAACGCTTGGTCACTGTGTATAAACTGTTGATCCCATTCATTAGCGCAAAATTGTCGAATTTGTGATTTGACTTTGTTTTGTGATTGGGATAATCTTTTGTCCACATCGACTTTCGCCGCTGATACCTTTGCTATTTTGTCGGCGACTTCGTTACCCGGAATGCCAACATGTCCTGGAGCCCATAGTAGTGTTATTTTGCATCCTTGTTCCTGTAACTCAAAAAGACAAGTCTGAATATTTGAAGATATATTACTAATTTGATCCGAGTTATTATTTATAGCGTGTATAGCAGACATACAATCCGATATGATAAGTATATTCCCTTTATAGTTATTTTTTGACCATGTAAGGGCACTATATATTGCAAAAACTTCGCAATCAAACGAGGAACAGTCTTTTTCTAGCCTAAAACCCATGCGAGAATTATTATATGGAACATAAACCGCAGCACCGCATTTGTCATCAATTTTTGATCCATCGGTATAGATATGCACGTGTGATTGATAGGATTCATTTATATATTCCAAACTTATAGCTTTTGTTTGGTCGGGCGTATACCAAAGAAAAAGTATATTCGATAATGCATCGTCAATATTAATTTCATCAAATACCATGGGGAAATTTCTTCGGCTTTAAATGTTAGCAGTTTAGCCTTATATAAGAGGCATAATTGTAGTCGTCGTACACTAAATGGCATCTCATTACAACAAACTTGTAAAGCAATTTTAGGCGTACTCATCATGCAACCTGCTGCGATGCGTAGACATTGAGATTGGATAATTTCGATTTTTCTTGTGGCATTCATTGATGCTGAAAAATAGACTTCCATACCATATTCCATAATGGGTCGAACTAGGGATCTGTACAATGACAAAAGGGGTGATTTGTTAGCTCCCCAGCTAGCCAATAAGCAAACGCAGCAGATTAATCCGTTTACTACATTTTTGTACAACATATTCGATATGTCTCTTATAATTTAAGCGCCTATCGAAATAGACTCCGAGGTATCTTACTTCATTCCTGACTGGTAGTATTACACCGTTTATGTGTAGTTCTATTGGTAGTAATTTTCTCTTTCGGGTGAAGAGTACAACTATCGGTTTTGTGACCGAGATCTTAAAACCCCATTGATTGCACCAGGACTGAATGCAATCCAACCAGTTCTGAGAGGAAATGATTAAATCTACAATTTTGAGCCCAATGTGCCATAGAGCGCTATCGTCTGCAAACAATCCAACATTATCTGATGAAATAGTACTAGGCATATCGTTTATCATTATATTGAATAGCAGTGGACTGATTACGCTCCCTTGAGGAATTCCGTTTTCTAATGAGAATATACTTGAAAGACGACTGCCTACTCTAACCTGAAATGAACGATCCGTCAGAAAAGATGCATTTTTCCGGTGACACCAATGTTATATAGTTTGTATAACAGTCCTCTTTTCCATACCATGCTATAAGCTTTTTCCATGTCTAAGAAAATGCCAAGTACAGATCTTTTATTTGGTAAAGCTTTATATATGTCATCGTGAAATTTTAGATATGCATCAGTTGTAGATCTCCTCCACCTAAAACCGCTCTGTTCTCTACATAATATGCCATTTTTTTTCAACAAACCACTTCAGTCTGCGAACTATAATTCTTTCCAAGACCTTACATAAACTGCTAGTTAAAGATATAGGCCTATATGAAGATGGTTGGTCTTTTTGTTCATTGGATTTAAGAATCGGAATTACAACAGAGCGTTTCCAGGTATCTGGAATACTCCCTTTGTTCAAAATCAAATTGAACAATTTGAGTAATATGTCTTTACATTCTGCGGGCAATTTTATAAGCATCGCGTAGCAAATCTTGTCTATTCCTGGAGCAGTGCTTTTTCTTGGTTTTAAAACTTGATTGAGTTCTTTCATTGTGATATTTTTATCCAATTTGTGATTAGCCTTGAAGATTGTTACGTCATGTGAGGATTTGAATGCGATCTTTCTTTGAAGAAATTTCGGGGAGTAGTTTTCATTGCTACTGACCTGCCGAGAACGAACTCGCCAGAAGCTCAGCTTTTTCGGAATCTTCGATTGCTGTTATACCATTGTGTTTAAGGCCGGGGATTTGTTTCCGCGGGAAAAACGTCATGATAATTATGCAATCCTGTCAGTAATCGTCACTACTTACTTACGATACTATCTACCAAGAGTTAATATCCTTTAATTTATTTATATTTATTTCTGCATTTGCATGAACTGTTTGCGTCTTTCGATATTCAAATAGGAATTTAGAATTTTTTTACATCTTCGTTTATTAGTGCCCAAATGCGGACTTGAAAAACAGTTGATCCGAACGATGCAGAAGCAGTCTTATTCGGGTGACCTTGTTGGTTAATGTGAGATTTATGCCGGTTTAAGTGCAGTTTAATTTTTTTTCGAATATACTGTCTGTTTTTTGTTTAGTTGGAGTACGTTAGCATATTACTCAGAAGTTAGGATATTGGAGTTCTGATAAACATTCGAGGTAGTCTGTAAGTGTAAACTGTAAACTATTAGTTATACAGTTTTATGGTCATATATAATTGAGAGATACACGACGGACTAGGCTAATTCCGTGGTTCTTAAACTGTAGGTGAATATTTTTGTGGTCGCCTATTTCGCTGACAATGAAATACGGTACACGCAAAGTCACATACGGTAACTTAAAAACTGGAAAGTGAAGTTTGTGGAGAACGGGTAGTAGTAAATGCATTAATCAATAGTGTTACGAACTTCGGTGATATCATTTCACTGTTCATGGCTTTTTTAAGTAGGCTATACTGTATCTAAGATTTGAATAAGTAGTTGACCTTGGTCTTGATCTGGAATCTTATTTTCATGGGTGGCTGTAGCAGGCTAAACTATTTTTTCGGCTGTCTGTTATGTACTGGTAACGTTAAGACATAATACCAGTAATTTGATTGACGATTTCATCCCTTCTTCTAGCTACTGACAGTACTGAGCTATTGTTTTTTAGAAATAGAATTCGTTTGATCACACCATATTCGATGTGCACTCCGGCAGTCACATTTCCAAAAGACCCGAAAACGACAGTACCACTTCAGACAAAAACGTAAATGGGTTGCCAGAAATATACCAACAAGTCTTGTTTTCTTGGCAAAGTACAGTTGCAAGAGCACAGCAAATGAATCCAAGTCTGAAAACAATATATTCCGGACTCCGGTAATATATATTTATGTGTTCATTTCAGAAAAAAACTTCTTTAATTTTGTATTTCATCTCTATTCAACAAATGATAGACCAGTGAAATATATTTCAACACTTGTACATGGCATGCAGATAATGGTTATTGAGATATTCAAACTTCCCCATAAGCTTACATATTTCTCGAATAGAATTGAAAATCCTAAAATACAGTAGTAAGTAGTGATCGCGATTATGACTATTACTTTTACAAAGATGGTTAACGATTCATAGGAAAAGTTCATCGCTAAATTCAGCTAAATTCAGCGCAAGCCCTTTCAAGTTCTAACTATAACCGTATGAGATGGATCTTATCTCTCAACTACAACATTAGGCGGGAATAAAATAATGCGAAAAGTACCTGTACAGGTATATAACGATGCATAGATTTAATAAAGCATTTTAAATATAATTTAGCCGTTTATTTGAAGCATTTATCATCAACATATCCAGTTTCATAAAGCCACTTTGTTACCGAAGGAATTGTTTGATGAACTAGTGGTTTTTGAGTAACTTTTTTACAAAGTCTACAAAATGTTGAATAATGATTAGGTACAATGTCTTCTTCTGGAATGGACTCATCTATTGGTTCAAAACGCCATGCATGATATTCCCTGTAAGCTGTGTCATTTTTATCCAAATAATTCAAGTACTTTACTAAATCTTCTGGAGTTTTAAAATCTTCGCTGTGAATATATGAATGTTTTGGAGCAATACGAGCAACGTCTTCTCGCGTCGGTCCCCAAACTACGGGAACTGCACCTGCTCGTAATCCATTTCTCCAAAACTTTTCTGAAACATAATCTGGACAATGTATAGAGTTTTCGAGAGACATGTAAAATTTATGACGCATTATTTCTTTGTTCATATCAGGTCCAGAGAAGCGATTATTGAAACAATCGCCATAAGTTGTTAAACTGAGACCAGCCTTGATTAACGATTTAGCATATTTCATTCGTTCTGCGGCTCCATAGGTACTGTCGCAGTTGCTTACTATCCATATTGCAAGAGCGTTCTTTTGCTTGTAGATTTTGTCAATTGCCATGTTGCGTTTGTTCCTTTGTTTAAATATTCTGAGTTCGTATTCTATGTTTCCAAAATAATCAACTATATCTGAATCATGACGAAAATTGATAGTTAGATTGAAAATTTTATCAAATTTATCGCTCTTTAATTCATCCTTGAAATGTTGAGTCTTCGCTGGAGTTTCGCGAGACCAAAATGCATAAATTTGATCTGGATTTCTGCAATATAGAAGCGAATTTTTATATGAAAATAAATGTGTTTTACTAAACATACAAACCAGTTTGGTTTCACTTGATCAAAATAATAGATCAATATCAGCTCAATTATGATTAAATATGTTTGTAGGACTTAATTAGAAATGTTCTAAAACTTAAACCTCACCTATACTTTGGATCTGGAACATCAAGAAATTTCCTGAGATCGGGTGAGTTGAAATGAACCAAAGCAGCACATTCTTTTACCAATGATCTATTTGTTGTCACCTGGCAACCTCCACAATTTTCTGGTGCATAATATTCCAAAAACGTTTTATAGTTTTTCATTTGGTACTCCATTGCTTTCCAAACAAGTATTATAGGTGGTTTCGTGTTTATTGTGACGTCAATATCGTTTTGAATAATTTTTTTGGGACTATCGTGTTTGACTTTTCGTTCCTTTTCCGCTTTTGAAAGTGATAGCTGTCTAACAGAAAATGGAGATGGCGGATTTGTTGTACTTGCTTCCTTTCCAAAATGTCCTAAGCGATAAAATAATCGTAACAGGCTTTCTTTATCGTCGGAAAATTTTCTCCTTGTAATAATTGCGTACCAAACAAAACAGATGATAAATAGCGTTGTCAAATGTTTCATCCTCCACTTGCTCGTTCGCGCCTTGGCCATCCTGAAGACCTGCATGAAAATTGGGATCGATTACTAGTCTTTTTTTATAGAGAATAACTCTATTTTTTAGTAGTTGGGCTCGCTTTCATTCAACAGTACCCGATAATGCGGGCATACATGCATTTACAATGGTTACAAAGTTAAAAATGATTCGAACACGAGAAAAAATTACAACAAAACGTACAAAACCCAAGAAGCTCAATGCGAAGAGCTAAAATGCAAAGTATTCTATCATTTTTTCAATATCATTGCGTGCTGTCATTATTAGAACAATTGTTCACGCTCCTTCGAAGTCATAGATGACAAACTTTAGTGTTGAGTTGAGTGTTGATAGTTAAAGATATTTAGCAAATGTTTATTTCTGATTCTCAAGGGCATTAACATGATATCTACATGCTTATTCGAGTAACATTATCCTCAAAAACTCTTCAATACAACGATTCAACCTTCCTACAGAGCGTGTATATGAACGCTAAAATGAAAACACTGCCCGAAGCGATTTAAACTAGATCATTTTGAATTGTGGCAAAAATTAAACCCTATGGCTGCGTGGAAGTTCGAAAAATATCGACTTAAACGGATGTTTTAAAAAGATAAATGATGTCCTCAGCATTTGGGATTTTCGAAAATTTGGTATTCTTCACATAGGAAAAAAAATCCTTTTTTGGGGGTTTTCGTGAATTAATGCCAGTCGAAATACGTCAAAAATATTTTCAAACTCAAATTGATCATATCATTTCAACATCTAAACATCATGATACAAACATACAGCTTTCCAAGAAACAGAATTGAGGTCTTGTCATATTACCAGAATGGGTGTCCAGTTTATAAACCAAATTGAATAGTTACGATCTTTAAATATAAGTTCTGTTAGAAAGCTGTCGCCTGATTATGTTTATGTATAATTAATTCTGGAAATCAGTGCATAGCAACGCTATGTATTTTTATTTAATCAGATTTCATATTCTAATTTCGTTGAAGACTATCATCTAATTAGCATTTTCGACCCTATAGGGCTTAGAGTACATAAATATTTCGTATCTTATCAAAATACCTAATTCCATATACATATCAGAATAAGTACTTACCCTCATAAACGCTTACTGGTGAATATTTTCTCATTCAAGTCTGGCTGAATTCCAGTTTAACTTTCACCTTGAGATTAACTCAGACTGACCTAGACTAGCGCATGTTATCTCCGTCTACTAATAAAGCTAAATTAACGCTATTGTGTCGAAATTGACCCAGGTTAAGGCGAGAGGATTAAAAAAATAAAAATGTCCGCGAGCGCTAAACGTCATCTATACGTGTACAGTCTGCTATTACCGCTGATTGCGGGCTTATTCCCAACGATCAGCTTTACACGTTTCATTCTGCGTTACCAGACTTCGTTCTTATTGATTATGCGTATGCAAGGAAATCTCGCAAAATCACGATTAAAATCAATCAATAAGGTTGCCTTGTGTTATCATATCCCAAATTATGCAAGGTTGGTGATGTTATGTTGGTTGAACACAAATTATTCATGAATTTTTATTCGCGTGCGAATGCGAGTATTTACTTGACTTATTGCATGGTGTTACATGTAACATATAATACTTGATGCAAAAAAATGCATTTCTTAAGAGTGAACTAATGCCATTGCCCATACCTAGCCTTCATTTGAACCACCATTCATTCTCTCATTGCAGTTGTGGTATCGTACCCATTACAGCGATAAAACAAAGATCAAAGGAACAGCCACATGTGGTTGATGTTGAAGTTAAAAGTTGCTACTCGAAGCCTCAAGATTCATGTGTGTAATAAATTAGGAGAATGAACCAGAAAGAGTCGGATTTATCAATAAATAGTAGCTCCTTACACATCAGTATTCTCTTGTTTGGAATGAAGGTTCAGAAATGGCCAATAAGAACAATAACGTTAGAAAACTAACTCCAGAAAACACGTTATTAAAATAATTGGCATGTTTTATTTTCATCACAATGTTCTAAATAAACTTTTACGATCGTCATATTCTGTTAGTAATAGAGTGTGACCTTTGGTATGGTGGGTTACAGCACAGGTATCGTTTAAGACCCCAGACCATGATGCAATAACTCTGTCGTGACAACAGATTCATACCGTCTGAAAATACTTCCTAAAACAGTCAATAGACCTTATTCATTAAAAACCCATCCTACGCGCAAAAAATAAAAGTGATGTAAAAAATTTTTTTTTAACAATTGATAATTTTCTGGATAACTTTCATTGTATACGTGAGCAGTTTGAGGATAGAAGATTTTTTACATTTTTTTGATATTTTTATCATGATAAACATGGTCAAGATTTTTGATAATCGTTCATTAAAATTTTAATGAGCGCGGTGTTTCCGATGACGTCATTCTTACTAGACCATGAGATTCTGCCAACGCGCCGTGCTCTGTGGGATATGCGCTGCAAATGCGGCCCTAATGTCGCTTTGGGTCTGTGTCCGTCCGGTACTCCGTTTAACATTGACAATCTATAACCCGTACCATTTCTATCACGTTTGTTTACTGGTTTCACGCATTTATACCTGTACAGCTAGCAATCATTTACTGAAGGCATGCTGACGTGTTATTCAAACTACCGGTACCGTACCAAGGCTGCAAGAGGTGAAAACTAAGTTAAAAATGAAGTCCATTATTAAACACTGCTTTTTTTTTGTAGATTTTCACATAACAAATCAGTAGAAGTCAGCTCGGGTATTCAAACGTGATGATTGGAGTGAGAAAAAAATTTGTAGTCACGTTTAGGATATTAAATTAAACAACAATAGAAAAGGTACATTGGAATCAGTCAAGCTTCAAATGCTAATGGCATTAATGAAAAGAATATGCGAAATGAAGACTGAAGTTTCCATCTGAGACATTGGAAGACGCTAAAACCTTAAAGACTTGATAGTGGGGAAAGCCTTCTCACAATGCAGTAATAATGAAACATATATTTATAATATCATTATACAGGCTTTAAGTTGAACTATATGTTTAATTAAAATATCTATCTTTGCTAATAAATGCTGAAAACCATTTATTTCAATCTGCTGAGTGATTAGGGCCAGAAATTTGCTGTAGGGACCATCACCAGGACTGGATTTACCAATAGGCTAGGCAGGCTGAAACCTAGAGCCTCGAAATTCGGTTTCAAAGTTTGTAATTCTTTTGAAAACTTGACAAGTTTAAACCCTACAAAAAGTATATATATCAAGCTTTTCAGAGTAGAAAATTCTGTACACAACTAGTTTCAACCACATTGTAAACAGCCATTATCGCGTCGTTTGCATCATAATAAGGGAAATTATTAATCTGCGCATTCTGCTGGAAGTTTCTATGTTGAAGTATGGCTGTAGCGGTTGTTTGATCAAAGAAATTGAAAGCAAAACTGCCTCAAGTAAATTATCATTCTTTTAATCAAAAATTCACACTCATGAATGGGGAGAATGAAAAGTTTATTGCTTTCATATTTTTAAATTTTAAGCAATTAAATGTGGTGTTATTGAGAGAGAAGTTCTGAGCTCAAAAATATGAAGGGGCCTCTCATGGTCTAAATCCAGCCCTGAACATCACCAATTTTGGGATAGGTACCGTCAACATATGAATTGAGTTAGGCCATTGGGTTTTGAAAGGTGTACCAGAAATGTACATGGAATTCATGAAATATATAACATCCAATAAAAACCAAAATAGGTCTTTCGTTAAACGCCAGTTGTGGTCCCGGCACCGGTATTCCAGTATTCTGTTATCACAAGCAGTTGGAGCACATATCCCACAGAGCACGGCGCGTTGGCAGAATCTCATGGTCTAGTGAGAATGACGTCATCGGAAACACCGCGATCACTAAAATTTCAATGAACGATTAATAAAAATCTTGACCATGTTTATCATAATAAAAATATCAAAAAAGATGTAAAAAATATTCTATCCTCAAAACTGCTCACGTATACAATGAAATATATCTAGAAAATGACATAAAATGCGAATTTCTGCTCTGGTGATCACATTCCCCATAAGAGCTAATGTTAAAAAAAAATTTTTACATCACTTTTCTTTTTGCGCGTAGGATGGGTTTTTAATGAATAAGGTCTATTGAAATGTACCCACTCAGTTTCCAACTAATCAGGCATGCCCAATGCCTAATAGAGTACCAGCCGCTCAAGCACCATTCCAACTCAGAAGAATTTTGAAACATGGTTCTGAATATTGATTCGTTTTCTCCTTTTTCACTTATGTATTCCTAATTTAGATATGAATAAAGTAACTCAGCGGTCATAGGTCTGACATGAGCAAACAACGGCCCGCGGGATAAATCCGGCCCGTTGAGTAATCCAATCTGGCCCAAATTTTGATGTTTCAGCTAAAAAAATAGCTAAAGGAATTTGTTGAGATTGCGATTAAATTTAGTTTTGGCACGAGTCTTATTGTTTTCCACTTTTGCTTTTGTAACACTGTAAATATTGTTCTTAAAATAAAACTTTTTATGTCTCACTTTCATGTCCCGCAAGTCTAAGTGGGCAAAATTTTAGGCCCTTGGTCCAAAAACCTTGCCCACCCCTGATCTAGCTGTTCGTAGAAAAATGCGAAACGACATTTTCCGGATAGTATCATAGCAGTGATAAAATCCTTATTTACCAGAACATTAATGTCATTTTTTAATTATGTAATGTTAGAGACTATGTATATGTATTCTAGCGAGTCAGCTTTGAACAAAAGTTATATTCTCTCTAAATATGCTGCAAATGACCTTCTATACGTTGCAGACAGACTTACATCTGTTGCACAAAATTGACAATCACTCACTTGTTTTTTTAATGAAGCACACTTTCTGCTGTCACAACATGTTAATAGCAAAAATAATGTTTTTACAGGCACAGCTCCTGCGGAAGAAGTCGTGCAGATACTGTTACACTTATTACATTCGGCATGAGTAGCCAATTGCAACAAATGGCATAATCGGTCCATGTTGGTTTAAAGACGAAAATGAAAAGGGCTCAAACGGTGAATACGATCGTTATGTGTCAGTGCTGAGGTAATTCTGGATATCATTTGGGCGACGTTGAAAGATTGCTAGAGATTGCATGTAGTTCAAGAAAGACGAGACGGCACCCAACACACCAAATCACACTCTTGACTGTCTGAGAGAGCTATTCCAGAAAATGATGATATGCAGGAAGTGTGAATGGGCACCTCATTCATCGGACTTCAACCCCTAAGACTAGGGGTTATATATTATATAAATCCTCAAACAATAGGTAAACTCAAGGCAGCGATTCCAGGGTGAGTGATTGACAATTTTATGCGAACGAATGTAAGTCTGTCTTCAACGACTGGACGATCATTGGAACATATTTTAGAGAGAACATAACTGTTGTGCAAAGAGTCCTGGATTACTAAAACTTTTGGGTACAATCATACACTAACAGAATGTCTTTACACTAACAGAATGTCTTGTGTGAACAAAATTGAATAAATTTCCTTCATTTTCTCAGAAGTAATTAATAAATTTATGGGTTCTGTTTTTTGGGTCACCATTTATTTTTTTAAATCCAAGCGATAAATGCAAATTGAACTTTTGAAACTAGGCCAATTTAAAGATTTTATAGAAACTTTGGCTGCTCCTTTGGTTTGAATTAGAAGTTTCATAGATATTTTAACACGAGAATAAATTCACCATTTTTGACTAAGCATGAATTTTTTAGACGTGCAGATAAATGTTTTTGCTAATGAAATAGAAAAAGAAGGTCGTCGAAAATGTAAAACATATTCATATATATATATCGGTTCTGGTGACATTGCAACTTGAGATCATACATTTTTACCGATTAGCTTTGACGGGAATTTGTTAACACGATATTTGTGAATTTTGCATTTTATGAGTAGACAGGATGCCGCCGACCTATCTGCCTGACCTACAAGTGCTGATATATATATAGTATGTCCAAGTCCAAATACCATTCTTCGAAGCGGTGACTCGAGTCAAGTCAGACTCTCGAACTCTGATCGATTAACAAAAACCTTTTGAGAAAGATAATTTTTATTTTATTTCTCATTATAATTATTGCGCAAGCATATATATAAGAGCACGTTGATATATAAAAAAAACCTCATAAATTAGCAAAAGTAACTTTGAAAAATTGTAAATACATGGCGACCTTATACCATGGCATGTATCTGTCCATTCAATGCTTCGATAAACGTGCATAAATTTATATTCATAATAGTAATAGAATATTTGACTCTTCTTTAGACAGTTTTAATTAATTTGAAATTTACTACGAATTCTCGTCTGATTCCTAATTCGTTCGTGTCATTTTGATCAACCTTCTACAAAAACCAATCAAGCACTAGCAGTTGCACCATATATCATCAGATTGGTCTCAATGTAATGCAAGGCTAGTGAACTATTTCGTGCAGAAATTTTGTTCACGTTTATATTATTAAATATTAATTATACAATTAAAAATTTCATCGAAAACACAAATCGTCTGGATATCGTGTTTCATATAACCAGTCATAAACAGAAGCAATCGTTTTGCGAACAATTGGCCTCTCATTAATTTTTTTACACAGTCGACACAACGACGATCTGTATGTTGGTATGATGTCTTCTTCAGGTATCGAATCGTCTATTGGTTTAAAACGCCAAGCATGATACTCCAGATAAGCTGTTTGATTTTTATCTAAATAATTTAAATATTTCACCAGCTTCTCTGGGGTTTCAAAGTCTTCGCTGTGAATATAAGAATGTTTTGGGGCAATTTCTGCAATATCTTCTCGAGATGGACCCCATACTACTGGCACAGCACCAGCGCGTAGACCATTTCTCCAGAACTTTTCCGAAACATAATCAGGGCAATGAATCGAATTTTCTAGGGACATGTAAAACTTATGTCGCATCAGCTGCTGTAACATTTCGCCACCAGTGGGTCTTTTACCGAAGCATTGTCCAAATGCCGTTAGCTTTAGACCTGCCTTCATCAGTGATTTTGCGTATTTCATTCTTTCCGTAGCTCCATAAGTGCTGTTGCAATTACTGACTGCCCATACTGCAAGGCCGTTTTTCTTTTTCAATAATCTCTCAAACCATTTGTTGTCAGTGTCTCTCTCTTTTTCCCGATAGAATCGAAGTTCGTATTCTCGATTACCGAAGTAATCAACAATATCTGCATCCCGCCGAAAATTGATTGTAAGGTTGAAGATTGGATCAAAACGTTTGTCTTGAAGTACATTTCTGAAGGAATAGGTTTTTGCTGGGGTCTCACGAGACCAAAAAACGTAAAATTGGTCCGGATTTCTAAAAATAACAAATAAAAGAAAAGATGATAAGTGAGTATTGACCAACCGAGCTGCCGCAGCAATCGGCGGTTAGTTGCATTTCCCTTACAAATGATGTCTGACATGTAAAAAGAAATAAGTTGAGTGGTTTTTGTAACTTGTTGGCGATAAAAGTAAGAGAACGATGACAAAAGCAAAGCTACGTTATCATGGTTTACTAGACATACATATACATATTCGTATATATACGTATAGGAAATTTTTACCTGGTACTGTTATCCGGTACATCCATAAGTTTTCGTAAATCTGGAGAATTGAAATGAACCAGGGCTGAACATTCTTTCGCCAGCGCTCTATTTGTTGTCAACTGACAACCCCCACATTCCTCTCCAAAATAAAATTCCAAATCTTCTTTATAATGTTTCATCTGGTGTTCCATAGCTTTCCACACTAGAATTATAGGAGGCTTTTTCGTCATAGGAGGAGGTGTTAAGAAACCTCCCAATTTCGGTCTAGTTCTTCTACCAGGTGCCTCAACTGGAATAAGCTCAGCCAATTTTGGGTCATTATTCATGTTCAATTTTTTTCTGTTGAACGGATCGTCATCTTCGTCTTTATTTCTGGACTTTTGTTTGGGAGGCACAAGTTTGGGTGATTTATCAGATTTCTGTTTTTCATGTACGGACGGTTTCTGTATTGCTCTCAAGGTGGTTTTAGTTGCCGTGGTTGTACTCGTCATCATGGTGCTTTTCGAAGATTTTTGTGAAAATACTGGCTTCAATCCCTGAAGTTTTCTGATCAAAGAAGATTTATCTTCTGTGGGAGACCATTTGGAAACCAGAGTGTACCAAACAAAACCTACCAAAGACAGGGCAACGATATGTCTCGTCTTCCATGAATTGTGCCGTGGTCGGAAATGCTTCGTCATTCTGTGGACCTACAAATACAAAACCAATTCATAGTTATGATCGGACGCTTGTTTAATCTTTTTTATTTTTATCAATGGCTATCCGAAGTACATCGTATATAATAATTCTATACATGGATCCAACACAACGAACAATAATGCAGAACGAAAATTCGTAGAGCATAGCGAAAATTGACTCGATGTCTAGTACATAAAGTGTTTCAATGTTAGGTTTCATAATAAATATAACCTTATTTCAAAAATTAATTATAACATCCTCTTCTGTAGCTATTCAAAATCATCACGTTATTTGAACTCCCTCTCTAATACTTTTATTATCTTGATCGCATCATTCTCTTTTTAAGTATGTATCTATTACGCTATTATCATAAGTGGTTTAAATCGATCATTGTCGATTTAATAACTAGAAATTCCTGGTCGAAAATGTATGATTTGATATTTGCTTTTTTTAACGCCACTCTGGTACTCATTTTTTCTTTGGAAATAGTTTATCATGAAGCACGGCAAAATGCAAAAGTTTTCAAACGTGTGTCAATCAATATCGTATTATCCAAAAATAAATTAAACAAAAAAATGCTAAACTGAGATCCTAAAAATTTTTCCTCTGCATTATGTGTTTTATTGGTCACATTTTTTGCATAAACTTGATCAAAAAATACTTTGGTGCAGTTTTGCACATACTTCAATCGTACATTTCATAAAACGTTTTCATATGAGGCTAAGTTACCTTCATTTCGTCGTAGCTTTTGTCCGAAATATCAACAGTTTTCAGACTATACATTAAATATATTGCTGTCTTCTCACCAACGAGCTTATATTTCACCGCCTGCGTAACTTTAGAATTAACTGAGACTAAAAATCGTACTTAGCTAAGACAGCCTTCCGCGATGCCCATAGGCGACTTTCTAAATTGTGTAAAAACACGTACTCCGTCTATAATTACAGGTACATTGACTCATTAATTCTCGCAATGATATAATCAGAAGGTTTCTCACAAAGTAATATTTTAAATTTTGTAATTGCTATCAAGAATATTGTAGCTGAGAATTTTAATCACTTTTGTAATCAGTTTGCACTTTGCACAGATTACAAACAAAACCGTAAAACCGCACTTTTAATGTTACTTCGATGGTGGCAATGACAATATAAATATATTTTCGTCAAATGTTGAGAATAACTGCAATTGTTTTACAAAGTTTGTCAGGTTTTACGTTGCCACCGAGAAATATTTTGTACTTTCCAATCTGGATGATACTTTCCAAATGCTTCTGATCGGAACCTTATTGAAAATGAAGGTTTTAGCACATATAACTAATCATGTATTATATTATCACATCCTTAGAAAGATATACTTGCAATCAATCTACCTTTTTGTACTCTTTCCTTCGTTCAAATAACGACAGCTTCAATTTGGCGATAGGTGTTTGACATGACATTTGAATGCTCCTCTTTGAGATTTTCACGTTTTTGTAAACCAAATTGACGTCAAACGCCTTTAGTTAAATTCTGATCCATTGGCTAAGTTTTCACGCCTAAGATAACTTATAGCTGGGGGCGATATTTGTATGAAATATACAGTGCCTATTCAATTTAAAAAAAAAAAAACTACCATCAAATAACATGTACATGCGACCCTGAGTTGTAGTAAAGTATGACTTGTTTATAAGTTTTTATTTCAAAATTGTACCAACGAAAGACTGCCTTATAATTGTGCCTGCGGGGATAATCGACGTAGCCTTGATCATATACTGTACATGCTTCTATCTACAGATTCAATCAGTAACTGTCCAGATTTTACAATCATAACCAATATGACAAGAACGAGGATAGAGGGTCATTTTGCTTAACGCGATACACAGAATTGCGAATCAACACGGTGTCCACGCCTGATCCTTGGCGAGATAGGCGATGCCGATGCGGAAAGATTTTAGTCTTTCCCAAAATTCCAGATTTTCAGTGTGCGATCTGTGACTAAAAAGCAACGTCGATTTATTTATTGAGAAAATTTATCAGCATTCTACGTATTCACATTTTTCAGAATTCTTAATTTTTTGAATTCGCCGCGTGTCCCATCACTAATGAATTAATAACTCGCTAATTATACGACATAATTCATCCAAAATAAATAGGTTTCTAGTCCGAGATATGATGAATACACATGCAAAATTTGGAGCAGATTCAACCACGCCTTCGTGAGATATCGCCTGCATCTAACAGACAGACGAACACAGAAATACCTATCAACATATTTACCGATCTAAAGATCGATAAGTAATAACTAATAATGCCGACCGTCCAAGTAAAACAAAAGCCTCGAACTGACAGACATGAAAATGCTGATTGTATAGAAATTCAGGATAATGTTCGTCACAAAATTGTGCAGTTACGCAGTCATTCTGATTTTCGCAAAACTCGGGACAGCTTGATGACGAACTCATTGCTTTGTTTGAATCTATATATTTTGAACTTATCTCTTTAGTATTTAAATGATGCCTCATTATTATGTGGTATCCGCGGTATTCTAAGAACAGGTTGTATCTTTTGTGGTGTATCACCGCAAAAGATACAGTTTTGTCATATGAAAATGTTGTCTCGCATTACCTTCAACTTGAAATTCTGCTATTTAACTCTGATCTTTATCTTAAATAAAAGACACCAGTATTTTAAAATAAATATTCGCATTTTTGTGCGAATTCGAAGGTATCGTAAAACATTTGGTACCGCCTGTCGCCTGTTCACCAAAGAATATACCGTTGTATCAGATGAAAAAAAAATTCAGAAATATAACCGGTTGTTGATTTTTTTTATATCTTTTAGTTGCTTATGAATAAATGCTGAAGCTACAGATTTTCTGAGGGTCAAGTATATGTATACTGCAAAAGTACAAGCAAGGCGCTTAATAAGAAATCCCATCATACGTGTGGTCAAAAACTGATTTTTTTTTCGTTCATCTGAATTCTTTATGCTTTTATATGATACAATTCTTACTTCTCGCTTGTTTTTTACGTTTTGATAATGCATATTTTCTTAGCTGTATAGTTGTTTCTTAGTTGTATAGTCGCTTATTTTACAAACCAGAGATTCTAACATAAAGCTCTATATATATAGAGATTTAGCGCCATATGTAAGGAGAAATCAATACTATTTGTTTATTAAATGCACAAGATAGGGACTCACCCTACCCCTTCACACACTAAAAAATAACTTACCTTTATTCTCCACTTTGGTGTCGACGGTGAATAAAGGTGATATGCCATTCCATCAACCGCATAAAAATGTTTTACGACTAATTTTCCTTCTGTACATGCCCTGCGGCTCACAACGAATACCTTAAGTTTATATTTCACCTGGCATTGCTAAGTTGTTGCGATGCTTTTAACTTGACAACAACCCGTAGCGATAGACCTCATTAAGGACGTAAATATTTGTTTTAAGTGTTTATGCATTTTTTATGAAGTTTTGTGAACACCTATCAGAAAAGATGCCAATATCCGAAGGCGTATATCTTACATTTAAAAAGTGCGTGCTCCGGAGATTAAACAGTATTTATTCGAGAAAAAATGTCTGTTTATATATATATATATATATGATTTTTTTCAACACAGCTCGTACAAATGTGTTTTTAATTTGATTACCTAAAATTTCTTCTTGCTCAGTTTACCATGTCTCTTTGTTTTTGTATTGCATTAAAGATTAAGAAAGATAAAGAAATAGCATAACTCTTAATTAAGGTTGCCATATTGCCAATAGCAACATTCCAGACAATTATTTTTGCCTGCCGCGGTTTCAATCGACAAAAAAACAAGAGACGATTTGCAAAATATCGAAGTTGTTTGTGGCAAATAACACGGTGAGAACAATTAAAAATAGAGCATGGGTTGTATTTGGGTTGTAAGCAATTATGATCCTTCAAAATTAAATGGATTCGTAAGTACAACTCTAAAAACGCCAATAATTATTTCGAAAGTACTGGCTTATAGGATACAGAATATTAGACATATATCACGCGCTTTTACATTCCGCTTGTTATAATACACTTGTGAAAAAAGGCTTGGCAAATTTGTTTCTATATAGTTTTTTAAGATTTTTGGCGTTCACCGCTTGCATAAAGTGGACTTCGTTTGCGAGACTCAAATATTTAAAAGTCAACCCTGCCGAAATCGAAGGCAAATTAGTATGTCCCGATGATGACATAGTACGTGAGTACTCGGCGGCGTAATTTTGCTTCAGGTCAAAGGCGGTTTTTGCGTTCTGTTTCTTATTTTAAACCGTTGTTGCGCCGTGCATTTAGCAAACGCTACAGTGGTTCAAATAAATACCAATATCTTCGAATAATACCGTTGCATTAGAAATTATTAGAAGAATTACAGTGAACTTAACGAATCGAGGTCAAGATATACTCGTTCTATGTCGGACCTTCTGCTGTAACATATTTTTCAGTGAAATAACGCATACAGTACCAGGCTATTTTTTGTCCCAAATTATCTAGATTTTATAATTTATGTTTTTTATTCTGATTCTGTAGCCAGGCCTATTGCTATATTGGCGGTATATAGGAACTATATTAGATTTGTCCTATATGTGCGCTTTCAACCGCCAGCGAATGTGCAGTTGGTGGTTACTGCATAATTCACAGTGATGGGTCTGTCCCAAAGCATGAAACAAGAAGAAAACTATGAATCAAATTTTCTCAACTCTGTTCCGATGCTTAAAATTATGTCAAAGTCCATGCTAACTCCTGCCCACAGCCCAAAACAACAATACCTGACGCAGTTTATCAAATCAAGTTTTTATTCATTTTCAACATTTTCTTGTCCTTTCTTGTCATCATATTATGTAATTTATTTATGTCTATAAATGTTCTCCATAAATTGATGCCTCGTGTTATAAATATTGCATTGCCCTTAAAATGTGTGCTTCGTCTTTCTAGGCATTTCGTTCCAAACAAGCCTCAATAAAAATATCTATTGACGCTTTCTTGGTAGACCATCACTCTCTTGATAGTGTACCAGTTTGTACTACTCAGACGCTCAAGTTGCAACATATACCGTGTGCATAGTTGGTTTATATTACAGTGTAACCTGATAGAATCATACTTTGACTGAATATCAAACCAAACAGCCGAAAAACGAAATAAAGTGGAGAAACTTGCCCTAGAACCAGTTCTTTAAAGCCAATTGAAGTACGGTCAGTACCGGTACGTTCATCAAATAAAACAACAACGCTTGATCCCCTCAAAGTCAGAGCTTCCTATACATTATCATTTCTGTAGCCTACATTACACGAATATTTCAATCTTTATGAAACAACGTGATGAGGAACCAAGAACAGAGGTTAACCATCCTACCCGCGAGTGCGCTATGAAGGCAAGTTCTGGTATGAGTTCTCAGTATTATGTCATCAAAGGCCATTTCCGATCTGCGGTCGATTTTCGTTGGATGGGTTTTAAAAATTCTTAGATAGAAAACTTAGTCGACTTTATGTAAATTGTAAGCGTCACCATTTCCTAAAAATATATAGAATCAAATTCATCGAAAAAAAATTTCCGTGATAATCCACCTTTAAGCATTACAAATAGAAATGTGATGTGAGATTTTTATGATTTAAAAAACATCTGTCTGGCGTGGAAGGAAATTCTTGACAGACACGTATAGCTAAAATAAAACTCACTTAATCATCAAGCAGGTATGTCCCATGGCAAATAGGGTACCCATAGCGTTCCGCACGTGACTTTTATATGACATAAAAAAAATTTCGGCAGTATTTATACATCACATTTTTGTTTGGCGTTATTTATAGCAGCTCCGATGTATACTTCTTTAGACCCACACATGGAATATGATCCTATGCGCACTAACTAAATCCCAAAACACAATTTAAGTTTCACCACAAGCATCTTGAATCCAGTTTCTCAAGTGTATATAGTTGCATTAGACCAGTGGTTTGCAATCTTTTTGGTGGAGCTAAACCCGAATGAAACATCATTCCAGAATAAAACCCACGCAGCAGTTTAATTCTATTAAGCAAAAACATTCGATTAATTTTCACAAGGCATTTTGTAAAACAGTCAGATATAAATCAAGATAATATTTCATTTTATCATTATCATTCATGCACTTTCCATCTTTTGAAACAAGGAATGGATAAGAAATTGAGATTGGTATATGATTAATCTTTACGCTGGCCAAGTCGTCCTTGTTTTGGTCAACACTTGCTCGTAGAATTGCCAACAGAAATAACCTACGAAAAAGTGAAAGATTTTGTTTTGATTTATCGAACAAATCTACCCAAACCTTGCGTTCAATATCTTTCCTAACTTGTCGAAATTCGCGCAAAACGTCAGGTTTTTGTCTGATCCAAGCAAACCCAAGATAAACTTCGTCCATTCCAGACGCGGCGCTCATTAATAAAAAATTTAAAAACACAGTTGCCACATTCTTCATTTTAGGATCTCCATGCTTTTCTAAGAGTCGCAATTGATTTGAATATCGTTCAATCATTATATGGCTATCCAATATCTCATCGCCTTTAGTCATTTTACCGATCACCACTATATTTCTAGCAATAGTAAAGCGCCATAAACCCAAAATACAATGTAATAATGTAATGCAATTTTCGTTCGTTTCTTGCTTATACAGATCTTGCCACTTCACTTTATACTCAGCATGGTATGTTTTGAAAAATGATAACCTAGTTTGGTCAGGCAGATTCTCCAAAATAGCTCGCGCGTTTGCGAGAGTTTCCAAGCCCTCACCAAGGGAGACATCAAAGAATTTGGATGCCGCCAACGCATATCCAATTTGACAATTTTCATTCATTTCTTCGTGGTCCATGTTTTTGTATAGTCGAATTGCCCGTTCTATTTGTTTTGAGGCATTGTCGTAACGTTTGTTTCGTTGTTCCTTGTCGCTTAATAGTATGTACGTATTACCTTTTAGATTCAAAAGTCCAACTTTTGCATCTTTACCTAAATTTTCATCGGCTAAGTATTCGTCGCACTTTGCCAATGCTTCCTCGTTTCGACCGAGCTCATTGAGGCACCATATTTTGTTACACGGGATTATTTCTACTCGTTTGTTTTCGTTCTCGGACATGTGACCAAGAGCAGTCCACATATCGGCAATCTCGGTAATGTCGACTAAGTTTGTCAGCTCTTTGGCGGTCGCAGCATCTCGCCGAAGCCTGTCAATGATCCATATCAGAACATGTAACTGTCCCATTACGAATTCTTCAGAAAAATTGCTAGCATAATCTCTTAATTTCCTCCTTGCTGAAACAGCTAGCTTAATGGCCTCAGAGGGCTTGTCAAAAACTCGCATTAGTTTTGCCAATGTTACTGTCTTGCATATTTCTTCCGCTTTATTGTTGGAAACTTCCCATGTTTGGATCAAGTCATGGAGGTCCCTAAACAATGTTGATTCGCTGTCAAATTTCACACCAAAAAAATTGTTCATGTACATCAAAAGGCTAAGAAAATGTTTTGCTCCTCCTACTGTCATTGGGACGAAAACACGAGCGAATCGCCTTATTGTACTGTTCAAATTAGAGCGCAATCCAAGTAATCCCTCTGCTAAGCCTCTAAAACGACAAACGATGGTCCTTACTTCGAGAGGTATCGAAGAGTCACCTAGATTTATTTTTCCGGCGCTTTCAATGCAGATTTTTAGCATCGCCTCGTCAGCTAGAGCGTCTTTACAAACTTCGGCACAGACTTCGCAAAATAGTGCATACATTTTCCATTCTTCCATAGGAATCACGGGACAGATCTGTATTGCTTCGAAGTACAAGCCGGCATTCGCCAAACCTCTCGCCTCTGCCATCTCAAATTTTTCGCCAAAATATTCAAAGCCCTCGAAACGGTAAGAGTTTATAAGGGAAGCTCCTATTTTAGATAGGTTGAGCTCAGAACATAAATGATAATCATGTCGAATCAAGAGCATGTTCTCATAAAATTCAATAAAGCTCGGTTTACCAATGATTTCAAGTAAAGTTTTCATCGCTATTTTATGTCTCTGATTTGCATATTTTACATATACTTTCATCCGAGCTTCACAGGCTATTGTTAGAGCAAATCTGTATTCCACATAGGCCTTCGCTGAAAGAACCCCTGTTTGGAATAAATCCTCAATAATTCGGAATGACGAAAAATCTCGTATGCTATGCACTCGAGCATGACAAGAAAGAATGACGGTGATTGGCCGATATACGTCTGTTTTAACGTTTAAAATTTTATCTTTCTGGAAATAGTCTTGGTTATTCCTCACTTGTTCAAGAACGTTGGACGATATTAGCTTTCCAACATCTTTATATCTTTGGACTTCCTCCAATTCTTTCCAAACAAAAGACTGAAATTGGTCATAAACCAGCTGACTGCCATTTACAAAACAAGGCCTTGATATAAGTTCACTGATGTAGTAACCGTTGTTCAAATCCTCGGTTGAATTCACGAGTTTTGCCATCTCACTCGAAGGCTTTATAAGTTCAAGGATGTGGCGACATTTCTCCGTTTGGTACTGCCTTCCTAAGGGATTGCCGCAAGCATGTGGCGCCATGCCATCAAAGGAAATGCCACACGGGGTGAATATGTCATAAAACCAGTTCATTTCCGGGTCATTCGAATAAAAATCGTTCAAACTTTTTATACCAACGCTCCGAATAAATGTTTCTCCAAAATTTATCATTATTAACTGAAAGAGAACTGAATACCAACGAAAATATTCTTTTATGTCTTTATAATCCTTACGGCATTCTACGCCGTCTTCCAAAACCAAAACATGTTCAAAATCCGAGTACGGAGTGATTTCTCCACGGGCAAGAGAACCCAGTCCTACGGCGGCAAAGTCACAGGGACTTTCACCGAGTATAATCAGACACTTCTCTGAAATTGTTTTCATTATAGACTTGTATTCATCTGTTACCTCTTGCAATAGTTCTTTTACATAAAACACTTTCATACTTTTGAAAAATTCATCTCCAACTTCGGGTAAATGAGGGATACGTCGCACTTTACTGCTATACATCATCCGAAACTTTTTTATTCTTTCGAATAATTTATTAGAGATTTTGACCAAGTTCTCCGTTTTATGAGCGCATGCAGATTGAAGAACTTTTATTCCCATTCTTTGCAAAAGGTCTTCAGTTGCAACGGCCTCCTCTTCCATGTTTTTCAGTTTGAATCTAACTTTTGCTCCGTTTAACAGCGTGCTGCATCGAATATAGGTTAATTTTTGTAATATTCCGGACGTGTGGTCAACCTTCTTCAAATATATTTCACCGAGCTTAAGAAGAACGTCGGCACATTGTGCTAATTTGCTGGCTGACTCTTTTCGGAAATCACTACACAGGTCTCTGAGCTCAGATGCCAATGAATACTCCTTTTCGTCGATTACTTCATTCTCTGGATCTGGAACACACAAAAAAATTTGCACCTAAAACGGATAAATTAATTTCATCAAGATATTAGTCGAATAGAACGTATGAAATTTTTTATCTATTTTAAGATATTGGCAAAACTGACTGAATGATTCCGATTGCTGATGATATCAGTCGTTCGGGTTTGAGATTAAAAAAAGAGCAAAACTTTTATACGCTGTTTTTTCTCGTCTATAGTCTCTATGATGGATCAGTGATATACGTATATATATATTTATTAGGGCTGGGAATGGTTAACCGGTTAACTTATTTTAGATGGTTAACGGTTACGATTTATTTTAACCGTTAACTGGCATCTCAGGTACTAACCATCTTTATAATGTACAATTACTTCAAAAATGATTACGTCATCGCAAATTTGTATCACGTGGCGTTTAATTCAAAAGAATATCACTAACTGTATTGATAAGGACCCAATAAATGTGAAAACTAATTAAGTACCAAGATTGCTGATTATGAAAGTTTGACAATGATAAATTCAGAATCGGTTTTTGGTCGAAATATATTGTTCACGATTTTATTGCAAAATCGTATAATTATTCAATGTCATCCAACAAGTGAGCAGTTGATGTTGTGTTTATTTATGATGAGTAGATTTTCCCATCCAACACTAAATATTTGTCCCATAAGTGACATTTAATATCGGAAATGGCCTTTACTAAAATACTTCCTTATGTCTGAACCACGCTGCACATCTCCTGTAGTAGAGCGACCAGGGAACTATCTCGATTCGGGGATAATATAGAGCGACACCGCGATAAGATCACGCGAAATGTCTTTGTAACCATTGTGACGCAACAAACTAATACGTCACGCTGCGGTTAACCGGTTAAAGTGTTTTCCATGAAATTCCCAGCCCCAATATTTATATATACGTATGTGTTGTGAATGTACTAGCTTTGTCCTTGGTGGTTCAAAAGTCTTGTATCAAACTTTCACAAATTTTGTTTTTGCGTACAATTCTTTACAAGTGGCATCTAATGTCATGCTTTAGTCATAGTGCACACTAACCGACAACATATATCGTTGTGTTTTTTGCAAATATTAGGGTAGTGTCAATTCTCCGCATAATAAGAGATTGAATGTTTGCTCAGATCGCCGTTCTAGCGTTTAAATACACATAATATTACGCATACCACCCACAACTGGCATGTTAATACGATAGGCTGGACGATGCTGGACTAGTCACATACTTAGTTGAGTGGAATCTTTTGCATTCGTTCACTTAAAATCGATATATTCAAATATATCATTTTACCATGGTAATTGAATGTTTCCCCTTTAACAGTCCAAAACTGGCATCATCTCTTAAAAATAGGCCTAAGGGTTTGAAAGCAGAAGCTTAAACACACCGGGACAACGAGAGTTAAATTGATATTCACAGAAACATTGAAATCTTAGTTTAGTTATGGAGCGTTAACTAATACAAAATGCATTGAACAAGCAAACTTTTTCAAAAACTGCACTATTTCATACAAACCTTCCATAGTTGTGATCGCCTGATATCCGAGCTGTTCTATCAGTGAAATAATTTGGAAATATGAACGGCAATGTCTACTTTGTCGTTTTCCTTTTATGTTAAAGCAATCTTTTAAATATTCACAATTTCAAAAATGTACCACTTCTTTCCGCAACACTATTTTTACAACGTCGCCACTTTCTAATTTTGGGCACGGAAGGCCCCCTGATGTCAGAAGCAAATCGTATAGTTCTTCTCTGTATTGAAACACATACATGAAGAAAATTCGTCCGTGTTGTGTTCGTGTGACAACTCAACCGTAAAATGTCTTTCAGCTTTACTCAATATCACTTTACCATGAAAGAAAACAATAGTTATAGTACACAATTGAGCCTATTGTAGACTTTTACGACAAGTGGAAAAATTACATATATTGTACTGTATATCTCAGTTTTTTAAATAACGATGCAGTCTAAATTTAACCGACACGTAGATAGAGAGAGAGAGATTTTATTATCACAAACGAAGTCAACACTATGATAAATTTGAATAAACAGAAAACAAGAATATCGGTCAGAGACCGAAGACTTATCGATCGAAAGTTAGGGGATCCCAAAACAGCGCTTTTACTCCATAGTGACACCTTGTGTTCCATCACTAATTAATTAATAACTCGTTAATTATACAACATAATTTATTCAAAATCAATAGGCTTCTGTTCCGAGCTATGATGAATGCACATGCAATTGGGAGCAGATTCAACCACGCCTTCGTGAGATATGCGTGCATCTAACAGACAAATACCTATCAACATACTTACCGATCTAAAGATCGATAAGTAATAATTTAATATCTGGGAAAAGAAACGACAAAGGGGACAAGAAGCTGGTCTTTGGGCCTCGTTGACGACGTTCTTAAAGACACTGGAGCAGTGGCGTAGCAAGACTCTCGTGGGCCCCCCCTGCAAAAATATTTCATGAAAATGACCCTATGAACTCTCGGACATAAGCTAAAACAACGCTTTTTTATTTCGTCAAAAAGCATAACATGTCGCTATTAAAAGGCAATGATAACATAAAATCTGCCGTTATCTTGGTTACTTTATTTTTTTCATACGTGTTTCCTCTTCAGCCCCTTTTCTGCGTTTCTGTGCGCCACTGAGAGGTTTTGCTTTCGACATCATTCTGACAGCCTTCGTAATTTTGCCAGTGCGATCAAACCACAAGACGTCGAAAATCGACTACTCCCTGGCATTGTTACGTAACAAAACGATTTGAGCAGAACTAACATTAACGTTAGATGTGCATTACTGGTGTTGCAATGCAACTTTTGGTTTTGCGGATTACATTTCTAAATTCTAACCGCTTGGGCCCCTTTGCGCAGTGGGGCATCCCGCGACCGCTGAGGGGGTGGATGCTACGCCACTGCACTGGAGGTTCTGTCGACCACCCATTTATTATTCTCCCGTAATATTTTTATGCCCTTTCTCGAGCAATTAATCTCCCCTTTTCTGTTGTTCATTTTAATTTTTTCGGTTATTTTATGCCTTTTCTCACTCAGTCTGTGTTTTTTCTACTAACAGTCCCTCTCTTTTCTCTCCATGACTTTTCTCGAGCAGTTAACCTAATCTCTCTTTGCTGTTGTTCTGTATCATTTTAATTTTTTCGGTTCTTTTATTTTTGTATCATTATAATTTCTTCAGATTTTTTATGCCTTTTCTCACATTCAGTGTTTTTTTTAATAACATCTTCCATCTGTATCTTTCCGTTCTCTCCCAGTCAGTCAGTTTTTATTCTATCTACATCTTCGGTTCTTTTATTCTGTATCATTTTCAAACCATTTCGGTTCTTTTATGCCTTCATCACTCAGTCTGTGTTTTGGGACACGTCAGTGTACATAACGATCGTTTCAATATTATGTTGTTGTTGGACACGTCAGTGTACATAACGATCGTTTTAATATTATGTTGTTGTTCTTGTTATTATTCTTTTCTTTCGTGGAGATGAAATCGCTTTTTTCTTCGAATACTGGACCAATTGCTTTGAAAAGTTCAGTAGTTGAAGATTGATTTTTTTGCCAGAAGACTATTTCTTTTATTTATTTCAGAAATTTCTGTGAACTTTAGGAGATTCGTTTTTTGAGTTCGAAAATGTGATCAGAATAAAAAAAAATAGCGGCACTTTGTGGCAATTGCGCGAGGACAGCTGAGAAGCGAACGTAATTCGCTTCGTCTATATATTTGAGCACAGCTCTCTTGTTTCTATTGACATCTTTCTAACCCCCGGACTAGGGTTGGATTATCCGGATAGCGGTTAACCGGATAACCGATTAACCAAGAGGTATTTTGCTATCTGATAACCGGATATTATTGTAACGGTTAACCGGATAATAGAGCAGTATAAATAATGCATATGCGCATTAGTGATTTTTATATTTTTTGTTGAGTGGCCAATGACATCTCTCAGAGCATATAATATTCACTTATATCCACACCACTCCGCATATTTTAGTCATCCGTGTAATGCTGGAGTGAACTTGACTATAGTATTACATCACAAAACACGCAGAAAAATGTGATTATTGCGTATTTGCGGTATAGAAGAGCCCGACTTACCTTAAAATAAAAGCATTTCTACTCTAGATATGAAAATAAATGGTAAGCTGCACGAACAAATCCAATTTTTGCTATCTTGAAAATTCATCAAATTTGAGCTATTATGCAATTCCAATGAGTATAATTTATTTAGTACAATAAATGCAGATATTAATTAGCTTATAGTTATATATCAACATTTTCGGGAGAAAAGTCGGGTTCAGTTTCGTCGGTATATAACGCCGATAATTGTTTTATTTCGCCCGGAACTGAAATGGCCGCAGTATGTTATCTATCGTCGTATCTATCTATCGTTAAGAGAGTAGATCTGAAATACACATTTTTGACTGACAATAAGGAATTGAATGCTAACGAAAATACCACGACTCTTGATTTATGAGCCAGTGATAGATAAAACAAGACTCTATTTTAGGCGCTGTTGAATCGCCAAAATTTCGTAATAATCGTATTTACTGAATTTACAACAAGGGTAACTTTTCACGGGATGTATCTTTTTTTCAAATTAAAACTGGCATAATGCCGATGTTAATTCCCCAAATAATAACGCGATGCGGAAGAAAACGATCGGCGATGATAACACAATTACCCTGTAAAATTCGACCGCCTTTATTAGTGACGTTTTCGAAAATTTCAAAATGAGGAGGAAAGGCTGTTATTACATTTATGGTTTTCATGGAACTTTCACAAACAAATTTGTTTGCAAAATGGTCTATAATATTTCAGAAAAGTTTAATGTGACAGACTCTATATCGTGTCATGTTTTTCGTTTACTCATTCAGGGTGGTAAGTAAAGTTGTTCAAAAACTGGCGCAGCATTGTTTTGGCTCTGTTAATTTAGTTCAAAAGGTATTCGAATGGAAATAGATTTAAAGTTGTGGCCTAATTAGTACAAACGTGATAATATTTACAGTGACATGTTAAATAAGTGAAGTTTTCAAATTAGAAGAAATTTCTGACCACTTCGGTTTTTTCATAATCATCGATTTGCTTTGTTATTAAAATTTTTGTTCAAATGACTTATATTTTTCTATACACTTCACGGAATTTGTTCCCCCTATATTTTATTTTTTGGATACTTCTCTCACCGAAATAAAATGTTCGAAATGCACGATTTTTTGTGTTCATGATTTCATTTATGTGTATGCTCTTGTGGTATATATTAACAAAGTTTATTTCGTCGTGCAAGAAATCACCAAATATTATAGAAAACAAAATACTATACATGACAATATTAAATTTCATTGCAATTGATAGGAAGGTGCGGATGATCAGAAATGATCATTGTGAGTCTGCGACACTAAAATTTAGTACGAGTCAAAATTTAAAGAAAAGAGGCTCTAGACACAAAAAGAAACTTTTAAAAAACTTTACAATAAAGTAGAAATAATATAAATCTTTACATATTATTTGAATAGGGAAAATAACTTAGCAGTTGGGGGAAAAAAAATTAGGACACAATATTTTCAAAAAATGTTTCATTTCATTATTCCGCGTACATCGGTACGACTACTGAGCTTAAATTATTATTTATTGACACATGCAATATTAAAATGCACAATAATTCATATTCAAGAAAAATAATACATATGTGAGTATTTACAACAGAACTGTGTGGTGGTATTCGTTCAATTCACCGCGAAAATCCTGCGAAATCGTTTCTCTAAAATCAGCAGTAACTATCCGGTTAACCGTATATTTAAAATACGGAATACCCGGATATATCCGTTATCCGGATAGTGAAAATTATAGGTATCCGAACTAACCCTACCCCGGACCTTCCTTTTCTCTCCTTTCCTAACCTCTGGTTTTGCAACTTTAGTCGACCATGTGTGACCACCTGTAGCTTTCGTTCTTTCTCAGTAAGTCAGTTTTTTCTATTAACTTCTATCTTCCCCGTCCCTTCTCTCTCTATTCCCAAACTCGGTTCTGTCTGTGTCTAATTGACTATGTATCTCTATCTCTAATCGGGTGGGTGAGTATCATCTAATAATTTCTCTTTACTCGGTCCGTCTGTAGCTTTCGCTGTTCTCTCTCATTCAGTCAGTGTCTCCCTTTCTCTCTCTTTTCCTAACATCGGGTTCTGTCGGTGTCTAATTCCCTACCTTCAGCCGACCATGGTCGCTGGGTATCATTTAATTTATGTTTACTAGGTCCTTTTATTGCTCTTAGTCAGTATTCTTTACGGCCTGGGCTATCCTAGGTGCCTTTCCTAGGCATGGTTCTGTCTGTGGCACCTGAATACGGTCTACCATACCCACACGATTATTTTGCGCAACAGCTACTGATAGGTGCTGTCGTGATTAAAATCTTATTTAATTAACAGGTTTTGTCACACTTGCTACCGCTAACTAGGCAGAGAAATGCTGTGTCGGTTGCAACGTCGGTTGGGAGCAGACATTCATCCGGAATATCGCGTGTGCTATGCTCTTCCGGGGACGGTACCCATCTAATAAGATTTTAGAGTAATTAGAGCCGCGCTCTCCTTCGTGGTGAGGGAAATTCATGCGTTTTCTCAATCTGGCTTCATCTGAAAAAATACAACCTCAAGGGGATGGTTTCGTTAGATTGCGACTACGCAGAATGACGTTGGTGTAGGGCTGTGCATACAATCTTGCTTACTCGAAATTATGAAAATCAACACTAAAATGACCATTGTGATGTAGGCCTACCTGCTATTTATATTATTTATACGTTTATATTCATGTTTGTTTGTTTATGTTTGTTGTGATTTGTTTTCTTTCTTTCCTCGGTGAGTGAACGCGTTTAATAGGCCTACGTTATAAACTTATTTTTAGGTTTTGTTCACTTTTCAGATTCTTCACCATTCTCATGCATCCATCCACATGCTGTGTTGGTTCAAAGCGCGTGCCTGCCTGTATGGAATGCGTTAGTCTGGAACTATCGTATGTGTGTTGCTCAACTATCGGATGCGTCTTGTCTCTTTGCGCAATAGTATAATATTCCGTCCAATAACGCTTTCAACACATCTGTTTCCCCCGCCGCTTCTCATTTTCAGTAACGCTGTGAGCTTGGTTTTTGGACACGTAGTGGACATAACGATCGTTTCAATATTATGTTGTTGTTGTTGTTGTTCTTGTTCTTTGACACGTTTTTAAAAAGTCGCTTTTCTCTTCGAATACTGGACCAATTGCTTTGAAATTTTCAGTGGTTATTAAAGATAAAAATTTTCTCCAGAAGGCTATTACTTTTTTTTTTCGCTATGACGTCATCAAAATTCTGTGACTCTACGTGTCCATATATTTGAGCATTGCTCTCTTGTTTCCTCTCAATTTGCGTACGATTAACTTTTACTGATATAGGAATAAACTTGTCTTGGCTATACATCTTTTTTGTTCGCTTTCCCATTCGCCGTGCATTGTTATATTTCGGTTTGCTAGATGAAATTATATTGGAATTCAAAATTATTACGTGGAAAGTTTCCATCCTTATTATAATTATATTATACACGCTAGACACCATACAATTAAGTAAAAAGAAGTAGATTGAAATTAAATTCATTTAGACTCCAGAAGCAGCTAACAGCCGAAAAAATATTTGATAAAAGCGGGCACTGCTTTTTTGTATTTCCGGGAACAGAAGTCCCGGACTGTGGGAATGCCATGGTGATAATAAGTATAAGTATATATAAGTTTATTTCGACTCCATAATCAGCATAACAATACATTTAACAGATAAAAACAAATAAATGAAAACTGTTTATGAAATCAGGGGAGCAAACGAAACCTTAGATAAGGTTTATAACGTACAAAATATAAGATGGAAGGTTTTGCCAAGAGGAAGTGGTACGTGTTTACTCACCTAAAATTATTAAGTTATTTCACACAAGCTCACATGCACCCACCAGCCACACACACACACCCAACCACTGAGAAATTATTTAAGTAAGAATAAACACGATAAATTTAGGGTATACTATACAGAAAACAAAAAAAAAAATAAATAAATAAATACTAGAAAAAGAAAAAAATTATTTTTCACACCATATTGATAATTTTGTAATGGTTGCCATTGCCAAATTGATCGATCTTCTAATCGTTTATTAAAATATAAAAGGAAGATTCTATTGGAAACATATTGCCAAGCTGATTATAGTTGGAGTCAAATGCCAAGTTGCCCAACAAAAATTGCTAGAATTGGGTGCATGAAGAGGTGGGCGAGACCATTTCATTCCCCAAATTAGAGCCTATTATTGCCAAATTATAGTCCATATTGTAATAAGTAATTAAAGTTACCGGTAACAGTAAAATTACTAAAATTAAGTTAAGAAGGATATGAAAATAAATTGGTTACAAAGGGTGTAAGTGAGGTTTTTCATTCTTGGGTATTAATTTCAGACAAGGATATAGGAATAAGATTGTTATTTCACAGGATATCGGAGTCTTTGTTTGATTTTTTCCCTATGTGTTTTACTTCATTTAATCACTTTAAAGTAACCTGAAAAAAAATAAAATAAAACTGCGAGTGGATTCAAGGATTGGGTGAAGGGGAATGCGCTGAACTAATGCTTCGAAATGTCGAATACCCAAGATTTCAAGATCGGCATTGTTCGGAATCCCAGGCGTAACAGTAACATAACTGTTAATAAACATTTATCAAAAAACAGTCTGATGAACAGTTTGAGTGATAGTATTTATTCGATATTGTTAAGGATTTTAGTTGGATGTTCGGGATTTCATTTCTTCGAAATTTCAAAAAACTTATATTAAAGAGAACATTTCTTGCGCATGGGATCAGATTCACAGTATATAAGCGACTTCGCAATGTAATAGACATAGTATTTTTGTTTTTTCTGTCACACGTTGCGTTTCTGCGATATTGTATAACTGATTACTGGTATAAATAGTTCATCAACCTATTTGGATTATGTTGTAATGTTTCAAGTCGAAAAGTTGATCTGACGCAATCTGGATTGTGGTGTGCTTAACCACAGATAGCGCAATATTTCAAAAATGGATTCTGATAAGGAAATAGAAAATGAAGAGGAGGAAGTTGCTGAAAAGGAGAAAGCTGCTCCAGAAAACGAAGGTGATTAACGTTATATTGTTTTTCTGCTGTTCTAAGCTTATTTGACACTTCGACATAACCAACATTACCTACATTCTATCGTTTATCAGTGAATGAATAAGGCATGTCTGCCATATTTCTGTATTCCAATATTCAGATATTGCTGTACTGGCCAACATTGCAATTTGGGGTCTCGTGTAGTTTCGTACCTAACGTATTTCTAGTGGGCGTAGCATAACAATTTCTTGACATGTATGCATGTCAATCCTAACACTCACCTGACTACGCCATCCAAAATATATGTCAATACGACATCACAAACATGTCATAGAGCTTCCCAATTAGGGTGGCTTACCCACTTTGCGGCCACGACCTATTTGCGACCATCAACTTCATTGATTAAATTAATAACGAAAAAATTAACGAACCGCGACGATATTTCTCACACGTTATCGTCCACTTATCCCTCGTAGCTCTGCGAAATTACACTAAAATGCGGCCACAAACAAAAAAGTTACGACCGAAAACCCGACCGAAGAAAAAAAACAGACCATTTTTCAATGTCGCCAACTACCCATTGTTCCTTTGAAAAAGCTTGAAAATCCATACTAATATAAGAAATAAAAAGATGAAACTTGGCAGGTGGGTAGAGTTGTGTTTCTTTTAACCATCTTTAAAGTTTTGCGTTTCTATATTTAAAGGAGGGGGGATAGGAGGGTGCGCATTTACAATACGTCGATAATATCTTTGTCCACCAATTTGTGACCACCGTGTTTTAGTCTGTTTGATTGCTGTGATGCGGTGTTTTGTTTATAATTTGACAAGTTTTGTTCGAAATAACCGTGTTCTTAAAATATATGACGGTCAGAAATGCAATTAGAAGCCCATTTTTTTCACGCATGGCTGCGTATGCCTTAGTCTCGACGCAGCAGAAACGATGTACAAGGCTTGAAATCCGTGGTCGCAAATACGTCTTCAGTCGGTCGCAAATACGTCTTCAGAGTGTAGTACTTTGGTGGTTTGTATAGCTTCAACCCCTGGTCGTAGAAAGTTAATTCAAGTTTTAGCGTGTAGAATAAATGCCAATGCACCTACCGTGGAAAAATTAACGGGTTAGAAATATTGGTTTTTGTTTTATAGCGGTTTGAATGAAATCGTCCGCAGACTGGCTACACCACCCCCTATATGTTCGATCGCCCAAAATGGCATCGGCGCCGACGAAATAGAACTGACCAACGACAGTGATCTCTGTCATATCGGGATCGCTGCGACAAGAAAACGAGAAAAATAGTTGCTCGATTTCGGTCGCTCGTCTGCGCGACTTGGATGACAGTTCTTATAGTTTGAAGGGGTCTGTTGCGTCACTGTGACGTCGTATTGACATATTTTTTGGATGGCATGATAAGGCGGGGTGGGAATAAGGTGAATTTTTTTTAGGTCACGCCCACTAGAAGTAGGTTAGATACGAAATTACCTGACCCGCAAGTTCTAGTATCATGAATTGGGTCTTGGGAAATAAATGCCGTAACTGCTCAAATAACCCCAAACAAAAATGTGATGTGAAATTTTAATGTAATTAAAAAAAAGGCTGTATAATTCAGAAAAAAATTCTTGAAACACATGTTTATTTCAAATCAAAGCAGGTATGTCCCTCGCCGTTAAAGATATTGTGTTCACGCAAGACATACTTTTATTTTGAAAAAAAAAGGAAAATTTGGGTTGTTTTTTTCACATTTTTGTTTGGCATTATTCAAGCAGTTACGACGTTTAATTCGCAAGAATTTTCAGAAAACTATATTTAAAATGTATGTGAAATAATGCTGTTCCGATTTTGGAAAACACTTGAGCGAATATAAAAATGGAAGACAAAAATAGCTTGCCTCATCATGGTACATTAGTAGAGATGAATGCAAACCACAGAAAATTGTAACCAGAGCTGGAGAGAATAGCAATAGCTCTGTACCCAGCCATAGGGTCACGGTATATTTAAACTGTGGCTATGACTTGAGAAGTCAGAACCTCATTTTCTATTTTTGAGTCTGACTTTGGCTCCAGCTCTATAGCCCTTGAGGTTTATTGACATGGTCACTACTTTGAAGCTTCAGCTCAAATTCAGTTTTGTGAAAATGGGACTCGAAAATGGCGATTTCATGATGGTTTCAAATTTGAAATGCAAAAATTAAAATTATATATACTCAATTTCAACTTCAAAATTTCTGAGCGGGAAAAGATAGATTTTAATATTTCTATGAGGTGTTAGAAATCCCTAAATGTGAAAAAATTATTAGATAGAAGCTGGAGCCACTAATTTTTCTTCTAGATCCAGTCCCATCTATTTTGGTGAGCTTTGTTCCTAGCTACATCAAAACCTCACGGCTCCCCAGCCCTTCTTGTAGCTATAATATGTGACGAAAATCAGTCGATCAATTCTGCTATAGAAATTAACATTCATTCACACAAATTTTATTTTTATTCAAGATGATTCGCAACCTCCACATGAGCCAGTTACGGCTAAGAAATCATCTAGATCAAGTGTTGGATCATTTGAAAGGAGAGGTTCCAGAAATATTTATAATTTAAAGGTATTACGGATTTGAACTACGCTGATTTGGCATCAACTTTATTGCATGTGTTTATTTCTCTCAGAAACTATTAATAAGCCTCTCATGCCGACACAATAATTTGGATACTCATATGAAAATAGTTTTTATCCGCGCAAATAATTCATATTTCATTTGTTCTGAATTTATATACATGATTAATTAATATGCTAATAAACAATGTACCACACACAAAATTTCACAACCATTACATCCCTGTTTATATCGAATATTTAAAAAATTTTAAATTAATCATTATTAAATTAGATTGGCATTTATTGTCATTCATTGGTCTCTATGCCAAGTGGATGTAATCCGTTTCTATGAACAAAACAATCTTAAAGAATTATCTCTAATGAAATTAGGATTGATTAAAGTAATCAGATTAAATGAAATTCAATGATGTTATTAGTGAAAGGCTTATTTAAAAATAAAAATATTGTAAACATCTTGTTTCTGAATGAGATTTGCTTCATCCACATTGATTTTATTTCTTCTATCAAATGACATATGTTTCAGTTTGTTAATTTCAACATAGGAATTAGATTCAATCATTCAATCATAGGAATTAGATTAATAAAATGTTTTTGTACATTAGGCAAATTGTGTAATTTTAATTATTCTGTGCTACATCAATGATTGGCAATTATTAACCTTGTTTTTGATTATTAACTTATATCTTACTTTACTATTCAGACTAAAATGCTTTCAAGTTACTTTTCCTTGAGGTCTTGTTTGCATGGAATAAATTGTCTCAAAACTTTTTTATGTTTATATCTTTTAAACATTCTATGAAATTACTTCTCTTATGTGATTACTTTTATTTACTATTAAATGAACATAAATAGGCTGGTTCAATAACTTTTTTTATTTATTTTTGATATCGCCAAAATCTTAATAAATCACTTTCACGGGTGTGAAAAATACTTTTGAATATCCATTCTATTCGTATCAAAGTGTATTTTGAATACTACCATTTTGTTATTATGTATATATTTTCAAAATGCTGTTTCTCGTCATTGTTATTGTAAATGAATTGATTCTTTGCTTCTTTTATGATGAAATATCTTGAATATACTATGTCTATGAAGTATATTTGTAGTAATATACAAGATGAAAATTCGTCAATAATAACTTTCAGAATTTCTCTTGATTGCGTAATATTTGTTTGTATTGTTATAATTAACATAGTTATGATCTCTCATATAATAACATACAATCTAATATATTGTCATGCATGAACTATCAACATCTTTTCTCTTTTGCTTTCAGCTTGAAATTCCTAAACGTTCCGCATTAAATCCAGTCTCAATAACTCTTCCAGAAGCTCCTGAAACTTCAATACCCTCTCAAGAATCAACAATACCAAGGGTAACAGTTCATTTTATTTGGCCCCCACCCCCAGTTTGTATTTAGGTGTCATTTGAGAAAGTGTTCATTTCAGCAGTTTACTTGCCAAATGAGTGGTTTATTAGTCATTGCAAATCGCTTACTGTGAAATCGCCATGAGCAATGCTCAAATAGGGACGCAGAGGTCAAATGACTTAAATTACCAACATGATATCAGCAAAATTCCAGAAAAAAATGTTGAAAGAATCGTACCAAATGTCATATGGAATATTAGTACAATTTGAATGGGATATGAAGATGTGCCTGTAAATTATGAAACCAGCATCAGCAGAAAAACCCTGTTGATCTCCAGTGAAATTGTGAAAAGTACGGTACTAATGTTTTAGTCACTTCTTCTTTCTTTAAGTACTAAAAATCAGAAATTGATTAGTCAATAGTGATTTTTTTACAGCGAGAGCAGACTGTCAACCACCTTAAGAACAACACATATTTAGTAATGTCCAAATAATAAAATTATCGGTACCGTATGTGTTTTTTCTAGTTAAATCTCAATTTTTATAATCTGTTTTAGATTGCTGGAATACAACCAAGACCTTACGAAAGAAGCCAAAGTTCCTACACGCCTAACATTCCACAAAAGAGGCCAATGAATCCACGTCAACGAAGACAAAATTTTCAAAGGCAAAGTTCAATATTACAACGAGCAGCTATGATTCGAAGGTAGTTTCAAGAAATACTTATTATATATGAATTGGTATTGTATATACCGGAATATAGCAGAGAGCTGGTGCTTTGTTTGGATTCAAACCAGCAATCTTTCTGTCAGTGAAAAGTTCATAACCATTTACTATAATGGATTTTGTAATATTCATGTTTTCCAACATTATTGTTTTGTTGTAACTTTAATTAATCTTTTTGTTCAAAGTTTGCGTACATTAAAATATTTAGTAATTAAAAGCATGAGTTAAAAATTTCGTTTTGATTTAAAAAATTCGACATTTGTTAGTTGAGAGGTAAATTGTATGATAATTAATTATTAGTAACTTCTATTTTATATATGGTTGCAACAGAACCAAATTAGCTTATTTTAAGGTTTTGAGGAAATCGTATTTTTGTAATATTGTGGTTTCAACTTTAATAAAGTGGACGTAGGCATTATCTAAAATCAAAACGGTACTGCTACGATATTATGTTACTGCAATGTGCCTCTTATAAATTGAGAGTTTCTCAAATTTTTATAATGATCAAAATTTTGTTGTTTTACAAAAGATACTGATTTTATTACACATTGGGATATGTTTGGTGAATAAGAGCACTTTTTGCGACACTCACATAATTGATCCAACATGTCAACCAGGGAGCATATATCTTATGATATAATCAATCTCCATAATCATGAACATGTAATCTACTTGGCATGACATAATTTTAGTAAGTTAGGAGATTTGTGTTACAGATATAGTAAGTGCTTGTATTTTTGGAAACATTCATATTTAATGAGTCCTAGTCGGTCCTCGACCATCATGACTTGACTTTCAGGAAGTAGTTCAGGTCACAGATTTTCCAGATAGTTACACACTGTTGATGTAATTCGTTTTGGCCCGATATGATAAATTATTATCAATTTTTATATATTAATTGAGATCCCTTAATTTAACTTTTTTTAATTGGTATATTTGCAACAGGGCTGTCCAAAAATAAAAATAACATAATCTCTTTCCACGAAATATCAAGTAGGACTATATTTATGAGCTTTCGTTAGATCATAGTCTAACTTCTTCAGATAAAATAAGATATGGCTGCAAATGATAAAGATCAGTAAAAAGTTAAAAATTGTAGGATAAAAATTACAGAAATACATTATACATTGGTTGGTTAGGTCTATCTCAACTGTGCCGATTCAGTATCAATTTCAATCAATCAACGTTTATTCTACAATTTTTAACTCTTACTGATCTTTATCATTTGCAGCCAAATCTTATTTTATCTGAAGAAGTTAGACTATGATCTATCGAAAGCTCATAAATATACTTGATATTTCGCGGAAACAGATTATGTTATTTTTATTTATCTTTACAATACTATCTCAGTCACGCATCCTTGTGGCAACAGCCACATATGGATCCGGAATAGAAAGCAAACAAGGAGAAAGGACCTGCAGTACAATACACAATACCCTTGTACATCTCATATTGGCTGTCCAAAAAATCAACAAATATTCAAATTGATTTTTGAGTTGGCGAATAATTATAAAGCTTTATTTATTATTTATTTTGAACAATTAAAGCTTTGCTGTAAAACCAAAAAAGCCTTAAACTGTTAGAAATGAACAAATTTAACTGTCTTCATTTCCAAATTTGAACTCATCAATTAGGTATATATTCTACCATATGTGTTTTTAACATGAGTTAAAATGATGATTTTAAAAATATCCTTTTAGAATGTATACGGTATAGTACATTATTCAGTTTGACCATCTCTGGTATCGCAAATTTATTCAATGATCTGAATTTAATATGCGGTATGGTAAAATTATTATGCTGACCACTGACAGGAAATTGGAACCATGGCCCACCAATAACAAACGTGATAACAGGAACCTTACTCAGCTTATATTGCAAACAAATTGACTTGACTCAAAATTTTTTAACTTCTCGGAATTTTATTTTTACAGAACTGATATATGTACGGTATATTAGGTGTGGCCAACCTGCTTTCGACTAAAATTTTCAAAATAGCTCGCAATCGTCTGATGGTAATAATTTTTAATGAAATCGCCACAAAAATTGTATTGCACAAAACTTGCATTTATTAGGCAATTGTATGCTCTGTCGGGCTAGCCCAGACTCAAATACTGTATGTGCGCATAGTACAGTACTTCATTCGTCCTGTTTTAAAACACACAACAGACACCGCTTGAAACTGGTTCAAGACAATTTTTGGGGTATAATCAGACTCGATTTGATTTTACTCTGGGTGAAGTGGAGGGATTTCTGATAGCCTAAAATTTTTTTGGTATATAGTATACAAATTTGCATACTATTAAATTGAGGTTATGCATATTCTCGCATATAATACGACCCCATAACGGTGAATTTATAAAAATTCTCATTTGTTCATTTTCTTCGGGCCTTCTGTAATATTCCCATGTTTTCCAATGCTGGATGGATAGTGGTGAGTCACCCAATTGCTTTATGCTACTATGGCATGCATGAACCATACTCAATACATAGATACATTACTGACCCATTCTTGATTGGGGTTCATTCTTCGATTTTGGCATCTATTATGCATTACCTCTATCCCCTTGGGACGCAAAAGGCCTATCAAGTTTATCAACTTACATCATAGTTATCAACTTGTCTGACCACAGTAAAGCACTTGGAAATTGGATTTTGTAATAATTCTACAATATTGAATTAAGATGATCTCAATCTAAGTTACTAATTCAATTTTAAATTACTAATTCCCATTGATGCGACATTGTGGTAGGTAGACTAATATTGATTTTACTAACAATAAATTTGCATACATTAATACTTGATAATGTTTGAAGCGTGTATGTTTTATCAAGTATTCTGTAACCTTGCTCTTAAAGAGTCCATAAACAAGCAGGAATTCATTTACTGAAATACTGAGTTTTAAATCACCGAATCTGTTTGCTTTGGTGTAAAACAGTAATTTAAAGAGCAATTAAATAAAACTATTCAGTATATTTAACTATTGACTTGAAGTTACTATCATGTCTTGGGCTAGATTCATATATTTCATATATAATATTCAATTATTTTTTTATCACAGTGGATCAAGGCGAATGATGGAAGCTACTGGAACGTTTGTTGGAATAGGAAAAAATTGTAATGAAGATCATGAAAAATGGAGGTTACGTCATTTGAGGTGGGATGAGTGCAAGAATGTTTTGATTTTTCATTCTAAATGAAGAATGACTTTATAAATTGTCTTAAATCTGAATAGCAAACTAGTCTAACTAAATCTTGGAATATCCCACTCGTGAGGAAAACACTCTGATCAATAGAATTGTGATTTAGTTAGGTCAACAAAAACCCAAAAATTTGAAAAAACTTGCCATATCATGAATTTTGATTGAATTTTTCAAATCCTTCAGGGTTATGATAAAAAAAATACAAAAACCAAGCGATTTGATGTTTGAATCTGGTATCTACACTAACGCCAGAGTCTCAAACTAAAGTCATTAATAAACGTGAAAACATGCAAAAATTGACTACCGGAGTATCAGTATAACATGAAACTTTCTAGCTGGACGAAGGAAAAACACAAAAAAACATGTGCCAATTTAAATAGACCATTGTTTTTTTAGCTAGTCCAAGAAAATTTTTAAAATAACGAAGTAATATAAATTTGAACGTTGATTCACAATTTCCCTTGAAGGGAAATTCCATCCATTAAACTGTCATATGAAAATAATTGATTACTCATTCTAAGGTGGACAGTGTGTTATATTGTCATGTCCATCCTGGATGAGAAACGAAATCATTGATCAATCAATGTAAAGTAATATGTCACATGTCAGGGTTTTGAGTAATAGATGATTCAAGGGCAAGTTATATCTACCTGCACTCTTGAAATTTCAACTTTGAAAATACTTCAAATTGTGCTTGCATGAAAATTAAAGCTGTTCATAAATTTAAATAAACCATGATTGTTGAACTGATTTATGAATATATTATATCACTGGATGTTTAAAAAAAATTGAATTCATATTTAAAAGATGTGTTTGTAAAATATTTAGATTGCAATTACCTTGTTTTTCATGTAGTAGAATTCACCATTTTTACAATGATAATAAATTAATTTTCTGCTATGATATCTCATGTAGGCCTACCACCTTGATTCTTCTATAAAAATATTACACATAGACAACCTGAAATATTTATAGACAATACTGGATTATTTAACCTTATACTCCATTGCCGTTACATATTAATTCACATTAATTTTAGGATATTCCTACTTTTTGATTTATTCCCATGGGCACTTTTTGATTAAGATTTTATCACGTTCGGAAAACAGGCGATTAGCGGGGATGCTAAAACCGTATAATCTGGTATTCTGAAATACATTCTAAAATAATATTTTAAAATTTGTAATTTTGTATAGGCTATATTGTAAATTGAGCTAGTCGATGAGTTTTAATTTGAAAATGCAGGAAACTCTAATTAAAAATTATTTGATTGAATTTCGAGTTTTTATATTTTCAGAAATAAAAAGCTTCTTTGTTCAAATAATATTAGATATCAATTGTTCAAAATAATAATATTTTATTTAAATGATTTAAAACGATTTCTAATATCGATATTTGAAGACCTAATACTAATTTTGAATCCATTTAAATATTCAATTCATTTTGGACTTCCCGAATTTGACTCGAAACATAACAATTCACTTTATTTTGTAATCTTGTCTGGATGACAACTGGCAAGTAATAATAAAGTGGGCTAATGAGAAAAGTACCCATTTTTTATTAATGGTTACACATACAAAATAAGAACCATATTTTTGATGTGAAATAATAAAATTATGAAGGAGCTAAAATTAAAAATTATGCTTCGTTTGTGTATTTGCTCAGACACATGGAGACCTATTTCTTTATAATTATGGTAATATCCATAGTTGCTAATGTTATGGCTGTAAGTAAAAACCGTAAATGCTATGTCTGCACAAAATTTGCTTCATTGCATGTGAAAGTCTCAGTTGGCAACCACTTTCAATCAACCGTAGAAATAGTTATTATCTAGGCATCTCAGGCAATTCGAAGACCTGATTTTTGTTTTTGACTATATAGACTATATAATGTCTTTGAACAAGACTCTTCTGGACAAACCGCTGTAATTACATATATGGGGGGACTACTTCCTCTGTGTCTACCAAGTTAAACCAATTATTCATTACGCGCTGTGTGATGTATTCGCCATCCACACGCGCCATTTTGTCATCGGCTCATAAAATAAAAATAAAAAACAGGGTGCTCTCAGAAAACATCACCCATAAATTTCTTAATAACTTTTATGAAAATATTTGATATGCCCAAAAGTTTTAGTCATCTAAGATTCTTTATACAAAAGTTATGTTCTATGTAGATTAGTCTATGTTCCAAGTGACATGAATTATGTTAGGGGGAGGTAGTACCTCCTGTAACTTGTGTCGTTGGCCAAGATTTTAATAAACTTGGTACTTTTTTAGGAAAACCACTTTCGTCTAGTCATAATTAGTTTTAGCTATAAATAGAGTTACCATATATACATCATGGATTATAATTGTTTATAGTACTTATACACTTATACAAGGTATTTTTTCTTATCAGAAAATGTAATCTGTTGCAGTTCTTTAGTTTTTATTTTATATTTTCGAGAAATAAAATTTTAATTTCATCATCGTAGGTACTGCAGTATGAAATATGGGAGACTCAAACCGCAAATTCAACAAGAAGTTGATGAACAGGAAACACAAAACAGCTTGCCTACTTCTCCTACGGGTTATTTTCCACAGGTATTATTGTTATTATCATTACTACCAAGTATGGCCGTATGGCCTGTGATAGGTCGAGCCGATGAGGCTCGATCTATCACATGCCATGCTCGGTCAAGTACCCAAGAAATTAATCAATAAATCATCATTATTCTTGATAAGATAGGTGGATGACGTAGTATGACATAAATTCAACATGACCTTATGGGTAATGGATTACAGTTAGGAGAAAATCTCTTTGTTATGGACCCCAAACTGCCAACATTTATTACACCGAACCACTAATGCGTTACACTTAGATTATATCAACTTATATGAACTTGTTCCGTCAAAAATGTTTTCAGCCGCCCATTAAGAAAGATAACAACGTCTTATTAACGCCTTCCATCGAGTAAATTACTGACTTTCACAAAATGAGGAAATCTAGATATACCTAAATGGCATAATGCATCATCTGAATTAATGAGAATATTAGTAGAAGGAAGAGCACATTAAGTCCTCGATCGAGTGTCTAGTGATACTCTCAATTTATTCACTCTTCCAGTAGGTAAAACTTCTTTTCTTTCGCCAATGAAGCCATTCGCATACCGTGTCACTGGTATCAGGATCTGTGTCGAGTTTCTCAGGTTTTTAAACTTTATCCATTGTGGTTGGTTCGTTAATTTCTGTTTAATATATTGTTATGAAAGGTAACTGGATACTAATTCTAGGCTTTATTGAACATAAGAAAACCACTACAACAATTTAACACTGTAAACAATATAATAACATGCAAACAGTAAATATCAGTATGACAGAACTAGGGTAATCGACAGTACATTGTGTGGTACTCCCGAAGTATTTGAACCAAAATGGACGACACTGGAACTGGAACGTAGTATGTCTACCAGGTTAAAGTTAGGCCATAATTTCAGGTACAAATACTATGGGAGTCACTTGGCTAATCCCCTCGTAATAGAACTAAAATAAGGAAAATTGGAATAAAATCATGGCCTCTAACTCTAACCTGGTACACATACTACGCTCCGGTGTCCGCCATCTTGGTTCACATACTACGGGAGTACCCGTTGTGTATCTAATAATTACACTGTTAAGAAACACTAACACCACACAGTCAAACTCTATTGATTCTGAGCTCTCACCCGTTTACTGTCAGTGTAACTACCAGAACATTTTTTATAAAGTTATTTTCCGAGAACTTCGATTGTGTGAAATTTACTACCTCATAGCTGTTTTCTTGAGTTTATTGACATGATCTGCTCTCAAATCTAGTCTATATTTAGTGATGCTCACACTCACTCACTCACTCACACATAATCTGCTTCTCAAGTCAGTCTATTTGGTGATACTCATACTCACTCACACAGAATCTGCTTCTGAAGTCAGTCTATATTTAGTGATACTCATACTCACTCACACATAATCTACTTTTCAAGTCAGGGGGACTTTAGTTGTCACCCATAACTTTGCCCCAAGATCAATCTCCTTTGTTTCTGAGTGAGTGCGTATGATCCTCACTTTGTGAAAAAAGTTTTTTAAAAAGGCTTGAAAAAGGTTTTGAAAATTTTATATACTAACGGAAAGTATTTCCTGTTTTTATAAATAACATTTGTGATTACCAGTTATAACTGTGTGCTAATGCTTCATCGAATCTTGATAAAAATCTTTTCATAATGTAAATATAAATATTGTAATGCTTCACTCAAGGACTTTATATTTTAAGTTTAAAACAGGCTGGGTCAAGATCAACTATTCCCGTAATTGATATCATTATTAAGCATATTCGAAACAATTTTTTTTTTAATTTTAATTTTATATATTTTGTCCCGCCTTTGTAAATGGGGTAATTATAATCAATTCCGGCGTGATATTGTTAGATAAATGTTTTTTGAGGTTTCGGTTAATGGAAAAATGTTTACCGCGTATCAGTCGACTTCCGAAATGTTTTATTTCGTGCCTGGGAGCTATTACTTAGTGTCAATAAGGAAAGTTTATCCTACTTCGAAATCATGTTTTACCGAGCATGGTTCTGTGTTATCCACGCCTTAAAAGTATTTTTCATGCATAGACCATGTTTGGTTATTATGACCCGATAATTGGTAGACTGCCACTCCTCATATTTTTATGTCTAATGTTAGACATTGTATACACTAAGGTCATTTCTAATCTATAAGATGAATCATTTTGGGACGAGGTCATATGTTTTCAAGTAGAAGATCCATGCCCAACGCAACCCAAGAGAATTCTTTACCAGATAATATTTTGAAATATGTGACAGTTTTCGTACACTTAAGTACTATCTGAAAAAATTCTCATATTTTATAAGATGGCGGTTTTATTAGATACCAGTACATTCCAAATCCAAATCTGATAATAGGATATCTACTTAAAAAACTTTATTCGTTTGCAACATTTGCATAAGCCAAACTACATTATCCTGTTATATTAAATAAACATACCATTTCACAGTATTTTATTATGATATTTTGTTGTGATATGCTACACCTGATTAGAAAATTGTATAAAAAAGTGGCGCTCCAGAAGTGTGTGTACCAATATGGAGGTAACTAATTTTGTCGGCCTACTTTACATCAAGTTGTGTAAAGGAACTGAAACCTATGGGCAGGGTATATTCACTTGGCTAACACAGACAGTCCCCGAACTGGTAATAGAACTAAGATAAAAAAAATCGGAATAAAATCATGGCCCAACCTTAACCTGGTGCGCACACTACGGGAGTACCATATATATTCCCTATTTAATGGGTTTGAGAAAGCAATGTTTTTTATTTCTATTTATTATGCACATTAACAAGTTGTTTTGTAAACAGTCGATGAAAAAGTTATTATTTGACAAACTCATTAATCGAATCAATAATTTCAGTCTTTTGTAATCTTAGAGAGATGTTTTATGATTTCGATAAGAAATCTATCATGTTGGATCAATAAACAACTACTCCATCAATTACAGATTATATTCTTCTCTCATAACTTGACTGGAATGAGTAGTTTACTCAATTTTTTAAGTGATTGAATGGTTTCTTGTACAAAGCCTTGTTTTGAGCTGAGTTGAAACTCTGGAAAAACTCATCTCATAAAAAAAAGTTTCCAATTTATAACCAAAATTTTTCAATGCTCATCAGTCATCATACATCTGCTGTATTTTAATACCTGTTTTTGATCAGTTGTCTTCAAGCCTATATTGTCATTATTAATCTCCATATTGACATTATCTCATGTCACATTTTAAGGTTTTGAGAAAATCACATTTTTTTAATAGTTTGGTTCTAACAGTCAAACTTTAAAGTGGATTTGTGGCACTTGGAATCAAAACTGAAACATGTACAGCTTAGAAACCGAAACTAAAAGATAGCCCTTGGTTCCTAATTGTAGAAGATAAAAAATTCAACTTCTGAAAAATGTCTGGGATCAGAATTTTAATCAGGTGCCAACTGCCAAGTCGATCATTTGACATTATGACATTGTTGACGTTTTCTGACATGAGTATTTCAATAATGTCTGAAAATTATTAACCAGACATATGAAATTGGAATTTCATTGTTTCGTATAAGCCACAGTTTGTATAGTAGAGGAAATTTGGTTATTTGAGAATTGACTTTTCAACGTGTCAGCATTATTCTTGAATGAATCATCAAGAATTGGAAATTTCTCTCTCTTCTAAAATTCCCAGTATCCAAATATGGAATTGTAAATGTATTTTACTTTAACAATATATGATGATGGGTACTTATTTACGCCTCTGTTACAATGTTTGGGTGTTTATTATGTTTGTTCATAGTCCTTTAAAATAGTTGAGCAATTTTATTCTTTAATTTTGTCGTACAATTATGGGCGCTCCATGAGTGTGTGTAACAATATGGAGGTAACTAATTTTGTTCGCCTACTTTACATCAAGTTGTGTGAAGGGACTGAAACCTATGGGCTTATATTCACTTGGCTAACACAGACAGTTTCTGAACTGGTAATAGAACTAAAATCAGGAAAATCTGAATAACATCGTGGCCTAACCCTAATCCTTAATAAAAGTAATCTCTAGTAAACTAACCATATTATACCAAAATTCATTATTTGTCATAAATCATGGTTTTACGGGTAATATGATAAATTTGTTCATAAATTGGAATACAAGGGAAATTTCGATACTACATGGAGCACTGTTACCAATAGCTCAGTAAAATATAATTTGAATTGTTATTTCATTATGTTTGGCAATCTTTACTGAATGTACCAAAACATTGTTTTTTATTATCTGAATTGAAAAATAAAAAATAAATTGTTTTAATTATGTTTTATTCGGAACTTGGTTTTAACTAAAGTCTTCCCATACTCCTTTGTAAATCTATTTATACATTATTAAATCTTTATCCTAAAAATTCAAAATCAGACACATTTACATTATTTACCACATAAATCTTCACATGTAACATTTTTCCAATTTATTGTCAGTTTGACAACTTATTGGCCATCACATCAGTTTAGGTTTTTGTTTTTAGATGGTTCCTCATAAATAGTACTTGATATATTTTTTATAGCTCTTGCATCCTGGCATGTTCGTTATCACTGGCATTTCTACTTTCAGAATAAGTTCTCATTTCAGTCCGGGCCATCCATTTTTGTCATTTCTTGTGACTTTCCATCGATCTAACATATTTCATTTCTAAATCACAAAATTTTTTTCTCAGATTTTTGACCCGTTATCGAGAGGTCGAGGTTCAAGATACTATGCATCAGCCGCAGGCACTCCGGATGGGTCAGAAATGTCTTCATTTGGAGGAAATTTGACAGGAGGTCCAATTGCAGTCAGTACACCTCCCAGAACCCCAGTCACACCAGGAGCTCGTTCTCTAGGAGCTTCAAGTGTCAGGTACGACATTTTCAGGTTTTTAAAAAAAAAAGTTTGCGCCAGAGATGCCCCAAAATTGAATTGAAATTAAGAATTATACGGAAAAGCTTTAATCGAACTTACTGTTTTTGATCATTTTTAAAATATTTTTTAGCATCAGTATTTGTTTCATATTTTATCAACTTTCCAATTTTTTCTACTTTTCTGTATTTCTAATTTTTTTCTTTACAAGTCTCTCGTTGATTAACAAAAAATTTCAGTTACTTTTACTTTTTTTTCATTATTAGTCTTTCATTGATTGTGATCCATTCGTCTTTTGGCATGATACACAAAGCACTTTTGTTTACCCGCACCCTGTCATTTTAAGGAAAACAACACGCCATATTTTAATAATTAATGTAAAATGTCTAAAGCTAATACAATAGGGATCTTTGTAAGCTTTCTTGGCTCAACTTTACAGCCATTTACGTTATTTTTGTGCGCCAAAAAACGTGACTTCACTAACCTAAAATCCTGTTAACCCTAGGGTTTCGGCCCTGCCATAAATGGCTGATCTGTGTCATAATTTGGGTTTATGGCTAAATTAAATGTATTTTGGGGGGTCAATAGTATTTCATAGTGGTCTGCATGTGAACAAAACCAATTTCAAAACTCAAAATGTTTGAGTTTAAATTACCCATGCTTGATCCGAGTGTTCTTAATTACGGTGATGTCATCATATTTTTTTTTATGTATAATTTTTATTTTGCAACAAGGTCAATTTTATTTGTATGAGTATTTCAAAGCTTAAAAATAACCAAATAATCTATTGTTAGTTGAAAACGAAGTATTTTGAACGCGCGAGCAACGTTCTTCGGCTCATAATAAACAAACAAAGATACCAGACAGCACGCGATCAAATGCTCTTCGATAAAACGAATATCACTTCACTTACAAATCCCAGTCTTGTTTTATCTTGAAGGTGACGTATAGCTCTTCTGAAAGAGAACTCTTTCTCTCGCATATCAATCACGTGTCGACCACAGCGTTAAAAGTGAGAAACTTTTTCTCGAAATTTTTTGAATTTTCTCTCTTCTTACTGGCATATGGTCGGACGCATTTACGCTACGTAATGTGGGCGCGTTTTAGTGGGAAGCGACGAAAATAAGCTTTTCAGAGACACATTAATGGTGTCTTTGGCATTTTTGGTTGGTGAAATATTAAAAAAATTATAGAAGGGTGTCAAAATGACCCAGGAACACCAGGGGTCATTAGGTTAAATTATCTGTAATCGAGTTAGATTACAGTCTCAATGTTCTGGTTACGTCTAAGGTCTGTCCACATAATTGAAGTATGGTTTGCATTTCTCATTTTTTATTTACGTAATTACATGCATTTTGCTCTGAATAAGGCTCTGAACAAGCAAGATAAAAAGATATTATAGCTTGGGAGAACTGTTATTTTTTTGGTTCAGCATTGTCTACTCGATTTGTTACACCATGGGTGAGGTGGTGGGTATGGGGCTTGAACCCGAGATTTGAACCTGTGACCCCATCTTAGTTAAGTCATTTTTAGCTTCCAGTCTAAACGCATGAAAAATGCTGTGATTTACTTAAATTTTCACTGTTGTTATCAATACATACAAAACTATTATTAAATTTATTTCTGCTCTCTTTAGGTTCGGCCCTCAGTTATCAACGACATTACGAAGGCAAGAAATGAGACATCGGAAAGATTCGTTTGCAAGGATGAGTTGGAAGGTAGTCAGTGCTGTTGTAAAGGTAAGAATTATGTTTGTTATAGTCTACTTCTTTTGGCTGTAAAGTGTGTGCAGTATTGTGAGCATGGTAGTCAAGTTCGCTTTCGTTTAATGTGTTTAAAAATGTCCAAGATTAGATTTATTCCATTTATTCAACCCAACCTTATATGCCAGTCAATAGCCTATTTTTTCAACATACTGGAAATACACAAATCTACAAACATTAAATAGAAAAAAGGAAAAATGGCAATGAAAAACCCTTGAGCATCGACACCCACGTACTGTGCCCGAATAATCATCATATCCAGAAAGTTATTCTCGGAAATTCTTTTCCAATTTTTTTTTTTTTTTTTGTGAAACCTCTTGTGAAATCTACATATTCTAGTATCTGATCATATTAAGAATGTTCAGTTTCTATTCTAGATGTAATAACTGTTCACAGAATAGACCAGTATTAATATTTAGAAAATCTGATAAAGCAGAAAATGTAATGGGATTGGTTGTAGGGTTGTTTGTTTCAACACATGATCGTCATGACCAGGGTTGTCCAAAACGAATCGAATATTCGAATGTATTCGAATATCAAAGTATTCGAATACCTTTTCGGCTGATTTTCGAATAATTCCGAATAGTAGCCACTTTTCGCCGTAAACGTGGTGTTTCGTTTTACGGGAATCATTAAACGACTTTTTACGCTGTCTCACGTAATGACGATGAAATAGAATCGGCACTTTGATTGTTTATATTCTTTGCGACCGTAGGGCGCATAGTGTTGCGAGACATTTGCACTTTTGCGAGGGTGGACATTGCCGACATACGTGTACGAGGCTTTTAATTTACAAATTCATTTCCATTACGTCGAAAAATTGAGAAAGTATCTTTATTTTATTTCTATGTGGCCTAATTTTTATTCGCATGAGTCTTCTCAAGCATGATTTGTGTAACCTTATATTTGGGTCTTAGGGTCTGCCAATCATGATATTTAATCGCAGGCCGGTTATCGTTACTTTAAAGAGAAACACGGCCACCGAGATAAAGTGATTTGTGACCCTTTCGTTTTGCTGATTCAGCAAAACACGACAGGGACAGGAAAACACAGCTGTTAAATAACCCGTGGACGTACAGTGTAGTACTTATCATCACATTCCAAAATTATTTCAACATTCGGGTTAATAGGTTGTCCAAAATGATTGCCGCTTTACAACTTAAATTTACTGCTCAATTGTTAAAAATAGTTAATTCTGTGAGTATGATTCTACCAAACTAACATGATCTGGTTCTGAACATATAAAATTATTAGCGAGTTTTTCTACCCGTCTTATTGGAGGTCTATATGGAAAAACTCCTTTTTTGAGTGCTAAAAATAGACATCGTCCTATTTGCCATATAGACTTATTAGCTGGGAAATACGGTATTTATAGCCGTCATTGTTACGATATCCAATAAATTGTCACAAGTTGGAAAAACAAGTCGATTTATTAGAAAATAATTTCTGGCAAATAATTCTGATAACGATAGTTAAAAGTATTGATCCTTTACCAGGATGATTTTTTGTTGCGCAAAATAATCCAATCCATGACTGGTACCAGCATTTAAAATGTCATGCCGTATTAATTTAATTCTGTTCAACGTAACTCATGGTTGTAATCTGTGGACATAAAATGTGTAGTAAACTGACCGATATTATTGAATATTGATTCCTATTTTTAAATTGATAAAATAATGAAAGTATTAATGCCAAATACAACGGGTATTTGTGGACATGAAATATGTGGTAAACTACCCGATTATAAATAGTTTTTGATTCCTATTTTCATATTTATAAAATAATAAAAGTATTATTACTCAAATATACAACGGTGATCTGCGGACTTAAAATGTGTGGTAAAATTCCCGAATATAATTAATTTTTGATTCCTATTTTTGTACTCACGAAAAAATTGTCACAAGTCGGAAAAATATCTCATACTTTATCCCGCTTTTTGACAAATAATTTGGATAATGGTTGGTATTTAAAAGTATGGGCGTTTTACTAGGATGATTTTGTGTTGCGCAAATATTCAAATTCATCATCGATACCACTATTGTCGTATTAATTTAATTCTGTTAACATGACTCATGGTATATCAAATATATACTGCAATAATCTGCAAATATGAAATGCCTGGTAATATAGCTAGGTTGTAACTTGTAGATAGCAGTTATTCCATTGCTTATTGTATGGAAATTCCTACATACATTTAGATAAGCTTCAATTAGTGGATTTTATTTTCGAAGTATTCGAAATTTCATATTCGAAAAAAATAATTTCGAATGTATTCGAAATAGTGAACTATTCGGTATTGGCCATCCCTGGGACTCATGACTTCTTCAATAACTATTATTTCCATACATCTGAAACTAATAACTGGACAACTATTCACATACCTTGGATTGGTAACTGGACGAAAGGCTGTGGCTCGCCATATGATGACATTAACGTCTTTTCTCTCCCTGAGATTAATTCGGTCTATCCTATCTTATATTTTGTATAATATTGAATATAAATTATGCGATGGTAATTCTTTGTTTTCCTTTTTTTTAAATTGCTTCATAAATTTTTTTGCAACATTCAGGGAAATTCAGTTATGAACGATCTTGTGCGGAAACATCCGGGACCTGACAAAAGAAGTTTTCAACTTCCAAGTTTAGCCGAAGAAGAACCAGAAACTGTTGATGAACTTGACACTACATTCTTTATGCAAGATGTTAGTATGTTTTCTTGATTCACTCGTATCATGTTTGATCAATATCTAATACTTTAATGATAGAAAAGAATATAAAAAATCATTCAATTAAGTAACGTTTATATGTGAGTACTGATAGAGATTAATAAGAATATGTAGGTAGCTTACAAATCCTAAATGAATTATTAGAAAACTTTATTAAAATTTTTCACTCTTATTGTGTGGATCGAACAAAGATAAAAATATTTTATGCTAAATATAAAAAAATGGTTCAATTCAACAGTAATTATTGGTTGGATGTATGTTTTCAGTCCCAGATAAAGTATATCATATGTTGTAACTTGACTTATATGCCAGCTACATAATAAACAATTCACCATGAAATAAACAGATATACAGGGTTCATAAAGTTCATAAAGTCCTGTTACAATTTCAATTTCGTTATGAAGTCAATTTTCGATATACTCAAACCATTTTTGTTTAATTTTAATCAGTGTTTAATTAGGTAAATTCCTTCATTAATGCATGAGCAAACAGACTACATATAATGATATGGTAAATACTTTTAATGAACACCCTGTACTTCTACTTTTTCCAGATGCCAACTATTGCCGAAGGTGAATCATTTGTTGACGAAGTTTTCATGACTTCACCTCATGAAGAAACTGCTCCTGGGATGATACATAGGAGGTAATACAGGCATTGTTTTAATTAATAAATCATATAAATCACGTTCCAAACTGCTTTTTCTATTTTAGGGGTTTAAAAAGTCCTGAAAAACCAGAGGAGAAAAGGCCTTTACCAACAGGACGTGGCCAACGAATCGGTGTACAAAGGGTGTTGTCAGTTGCTTTTCGTAGGAAAAAGAGACAATATGGAAAAGGACTTGTCGGAAGATGGTTAAATAGAAGAATGAAAAGAAATAGATTGAATAGTCATGTCAAACAACAATTAGATACTTTTGATGATCATAGGTTTGTTTTGTAACTGTATTCTTAAGAATCTGGCAACTGGTTTTCTGCAAGAATATCCGATTGCATTTTAATTAGTTATATTTGGTATAATAATGTGAAGAATATATATTTTCATTTGAAAATTTGTCAATGTTAACCATTCGACATTTAACTTCTATGCATAAAATAGACATTATTCACCTTTTACACTGCAAGAATAGGATTGTTTTTTGAGGTTCATTTGGCCATGTTCACTCACTCAGAAACAGATGAGACTACTGATCTCTGAGTGGATTATGAATAAGAGCTATTGAAACTATCAAGTATCGAGCAAAACAATATTTGTCTAAATTATTCAGCATTACCAAACTCACATTTGTATCAACTTACATTGCAAATTTTGACATGACTCAATTGAAGAGAATACATTAGATATGAATCGAAAATAGTATTTTATTATGGGTGCATGACAATATATTACTCGGTTTTGGCCATCTCTAATCGTTTGATTGAACTATTTTCTACTGGAAAAATAAACCAACCAAGTAAATCAAATAATAATAGCGTGCAATGGCCTAGTGGTTAAAACGTTAGACTTAACAATGCTGGCCTCACAGGTTCAAACCCCAAAGAGTCTGTTTTTTTTTGGATTGCTATTACTATTACCATCAAATACATTTTAGTTATTTCGTTTTCCAGGCCTTATTTTTCTTACTGGATTAGTTTTGTTCATATCGTCGTTACCATAATATCATTGTGTGTTTATGGCATCGCTCCTGTCGGATTTACAAACTTCAAAGAAAAATTTACGGTATGTGTATTATTAGTTATAATCATAATAGGTACTCCACTCAAGTGCTTTTGATACTGGCCTTTGTTAACATCTAATAGAGATAATATTTCACATAACTACATTCCTTGTAATTGTAAGGATTTCTTTTCTGTCAAATTTTTAAGTGGTGTTCTGCTCTTCTACTCTCAATGAGACCCCTCATCAAGAAATCATCAAATTACATATTGGTTGTTGTTTTCTAAAATATGTTACATGACCCGGGTTCTGTTTGTGGGCTTACCCTGTAATATCAAACATTTTTTTGACATAATTTATTAATGTTATTAAATTACATTTTCATTCAAATTCGTTCTGTTAGTTTGGAAAGTTTTGGAACCGCTGATGAGGCGCTTTCACTCATGATACTGGCTTAAAAAAATAAGTGAATTTACCTCACCACATTTTTATTTTTTTTCATTTGAACAAAAATTGTCTCATTGTTTTACGATTACGATTACGATTACAAAAATCAATTTTAATTAGCCTACATGGCCACATCTTTATTATTATTTTCCTCCAATTGAAATTGGATTAGCAAAGATTTAAAGATGTTTTTGCGTATTGTAAACCTTGATTGAAATTGTTTTTCGTTTAATAATTTATAACAGACAACAAAGAAATCATTATCAAGAGTCAGCGAGGAATTTGTTGAACCTCAAAATTTTTGGATCGGACCTAGAACGGTAAATAGTTTTTCCTTCAAATGATAAAAATAATGATGAAATAAAATTTTTGTGTTATTGTTTAAATTAAAATGATGAAATCGAAATCGAAATATTATAAATTATTTCTAAAATCAAGAATTTAGTTTATTGAATATATCGTAACCACTTTGGAATGTATTTCAACTTTTTTTATTTTTTTTATTGGCAAAATTAATATTCATTACCCAACGATGGTTACTTTGACGTTAGATTGATATTTACAGTTGGCGTTGTAGTTTGAACAACAGCTCTTTTGCCGTTAATAATTCAATATATGACATTTCAGTTTTCAGACACACACGACAATTTGTTGAGATTAGCCTAGTAAATAAAAACCACACAAATTCCATAGTCTTTGGTTTAGGATTTTGTTGAAATTGTTCTTTACCAAGCATGATGCAATGATGAAACGTGCCTTTCGGCACGCTTCATCAATGGATCATACTTGGTTGAGTATATAAGTCATGAATAAGTAAATGAATATTTATTATCTGTGCTTTGTGTACATTAATGTCGCTGATATAATTTTGATTACTACAAGCGAGGGTAATATTTTTTTAGGTGTTTTTTAGGAATTCTTTATTATCCAATTTGAAATCTGTGTGCGGTGGCCTAGAGGCCACTCAGCACTAACGGCATCTCTGGTTAAAATGTCATCTCCACCACCCCACCAAGAGTATAATAAACATGGTAGGCAATGCTGAACGGGCAAGATTCCGGTTCTTACCCAAGAAAAAATAGAACCCTCTAATTTCCTAATTACTATCACGAAACTATTTAACCCTTGAATTTTTATTTGTACATGATTGTACACAAAAGCTTCATTAATTTAGGACAGTGATTTCCAACCGGTGTACTGCGAAACACTCCCAGGTGTTCCGCGTCAAGTTACTACTTCAACTTTTTTCTGATTGGCATATTTTATAATATAAAATAATACAAATTAAGAATCAAAGATCACCTATTTGGTTTTAAGATGAGTCTGTTGCGTGATAATGAAAAAGCAACAGTGTGGGTTTTTATGACATCATAGTAGGCATTTAATTTATCATTAATATTTGCCACAACTAGGCAGTTTGCCAACGATATCACATTGCATACCACATGTTATATCAATTAATCTTGTTATGATGGATGTATATTTGAAAAGAGAAACAGAATCTGGAAAGTGGAAACGATTTTTTATTTGGTTTTTCACAAAAAAGGTGGTTCAAAAAAGGTTGAAAATCACTGATCCAGGATATTCGCACAAAAGTAATGTTCATTCTAGAATATGTTTCAAATGACCTGGGTCCTATTTTTTTGTTTGTTGGGGTACCTGTGATACACTTATTTGGAATAATTCTTGAACGAATGCTGTAGAAGTCAATTCATGTATGGTATTGGTCATAAATTGATTCGTGTCACCCCTTTTTTACAACAGAAAGATTTGATTCATCTTGGTGCTAAATATTCTCCGTGTATGAGACAAGATCCGAAACTTCATGCTTTTCTGGAAGCGGAAAAAAATATTGAAAAGGAATCAGCTTGTTGTGTTCGTAACGACAACTCAGGATGCATTCAGACTTCTCTAACTGAATGCAGTGTAAGTATTTTATTTGAAAAAAATATTGTTAATATAGGAATTTTACGGTATTTTTGTTGTTGTAACATTCTAGCTTCTTCGTTGACTTTAATTTCGATGAGGCATGTCACATTCAGATATAGTTATATTAATTATATTTCTACCAACTAATGCTTTTAAACCTGCTGTTATTTAGAAATAGACTCTATTGCCTCGCAGAATAGAATATCAAGTCATTATACTTATAGCTATTTTGCTCGTGAAATGTTTTCTTCTTTTTTTCAAAGGGAGTAAGACTTAAGGCACCTTACTTTTCTCTGGAAAAAAAAAATTGATATTCAATATCAGATCTTCTTACTAATAATATAAACGTAATTTTCTTTTAATATTCAGTCAACCTTTGCAACGTGGGTGAAGTGGCCAGACTTTGATCCTCCAGAATATACAAATGGAAGCTGTAAGTCTTTTATGCTCTTAATTTACTCTTCGACTTCAAACAAGACTAGACAAACAGCTACTTATATAAAGAATTGAGTTGGAATGTTGTTTAAAATTAATATTCTGAAACTGTGATTATGGAATGTTAATTAAAAATACCGTTTTTTTTTGCAGTTAATTCATGACACATTCATACATAAACAAATATTAGTGTTAAATAATTTTTTTTTTGTTGAAGTAAATGAAAAAATTTGAATTCTGTTCGTGAATTGTCTGTGAATTTATCCAAATTAAGCTGATGAAATAGTCTTATTACAATAAATTCAATATTTATATTCGAAAACGGAAAATAGGATTTCAGAATATGTCATATATTAGTAAATTATTCAGATTTTATTCACATTGGGATTTGGCCATCCCTACTCCGGAAAAACCCTTAATCTTTCTGTGTGTTTATCAAACCATGCTTCCTTTCCATGCTTAATAAGCATATAATGACAATATAATATAGTAATTTCCTTTTTCCTGTTTAATGAGTATCAGTGCCTTTTAGGTTTACAGTATGTGACAGGATATTGCGTTATATTGTTTTATTACTACATTGAAATTTATCACTGGTATATTGGTGTTTAAATTTCAATATATTGAAATAGAAATTAAAAGTGAGTGCAATTATTTTATTAGTTTAACTTTTAGCTGTTTGTGATTGGTTGAAAAAAATTGCTGTTGAATGACTCATGTATGAGTATCGAGTACTGTCTATGTTTTGTCCTGTCCGCAAGTATTTATGTCTAATGTAAAAACAAAACTAGTTTCTTTTGAAGTTAATTAGATTCGGTCGGGCATAAATGAAATCGTTGCCTAAATTTTACTGGTAGTGGAATTTATGGTAAGGTAAAAATCTCTCAGTTAGGACTTTCATTCAGATATTAGTCACATTTAATCAATGCCTTGTCATATAAATTCGGTATTATAGTAACGTTAGGGATTTTTGAATCAAATTTGTTTTCTATTCTGAAATGTGACCCAAACATTTTTTAAACTTTCTGCAGACTCATACAAAATAGGTCAATTTACAGAAACAAAATCAGGACTTTCATTTAGATATTGGTCACATCCAGTCAATGTCTTGTCGAATAAATTTGATATTATAGTATAATTACGAATTTTTGAATAAAATTTGTTTTCTATTTTGAAATACGACACAATTATTTTTTAAACTTTCTGCAAAAACCACACAAAATAGGTCAATTTACAGAAATAAAATCATTATTTTTTATTCTATTATTAACCCGTTTCAAAGGTAAATTTCTGATGAAAATTCTTTTTGACATTTAATTCTTGTGAATTAAACTTATCTTTGTATTAAAACAGGCCAAGTTTGAGTCTGGTTCTAAATTATATAGAGAAAGAACATAATTATCATGGTTCAAACTTGATCGTAGTAGTCTTTTTTGTTGTTCATATGACACGAATTTGACATATTATTGATTGTTTTTCAGACGGTGAAGTACCACGAACTTCCGGTTCAGTTTGCGGTCAAGATCCTAGATTCTGTCATTCTCACGTCACAGGACAAGCAGAGGAATGGCCAGATGATATTACGAAATGGCCGGTAGGTGTAACTATTAAGAGAATCGAAATACGGACCCCAATATATCCAACACACCGTAGTTAGATCTGTCGTTCTAATCAATAGGCCTTTTCTAATAACACTCATCATTAAATAGCTTATTGTATCGTATTTTACGGACCATAAGGGGATATACAAAAGATAAAATAGCTTTCATGTTTGAGGCTTGATGACTAATTACTATCTAAACTTACCACACCGGCTTATAAGACACACAATCAATTTTTGACAAAAAATGGATTGAAAGTGCGCTTTATGGTCTGTAAAATACGGCAATATATTACACTCTGGCTGATATGGTTAGCATTTGCTTTCTACTAGAGTGACTACTGTTCTGGTGATGCCAGTTATTATTTTGACCAAAATATTTTTTAAGAAGAACATTAACCTCCTTTGTATTTATGGTTTTTTTTTCTATTCTAGATATGTACAGATCCGAACAAAATTGCCAACAATACTCCATATACTCATTTAACATGTGAGATTGTTGGGAGGCCTTGTTGCATTGGCCAGGAAGCAAAGTAAGCATGTTGTATGTTGTTAAATTAGATTGGTTTTAAAGTTTTTCTTTTTGTATTTCCACAAAGGAAATGATTTGGATATTTCGGTATTTTGAATTTTAATTCTATTTTTCACTTACCGGTATATATCGGACTTTTTCACTGCCAAATCTTCTTCATTGGACCTCACCACTAGAATATACCAGTACTTCAATACATTAAACTTATTTTGATATCTGAACCAGACCAAGAAGTGTAACGAAACATGTGATGCTGAACAGAATAATATGGATAGTGGTGCCAGTCAAATTTAAGATAGGATCGGCTTAATCATATGGCGATCCACGGCCTCTCACAGTCCGATTACCAGTCCATGTTGGGTATGGGATTAGCCAGTTATTTGTTTTTGGAAGTATGGACTTGATGGTGGAGGAAGCCGTAACTAACCAGCAGTTACGTGAACCACCCTACGACGATGAAAAGTTCAGCAATCCTGTTGCAAATAACTATCCCCACATGGGATTCGAACCTGCGAACCCACGCAGGGTAACCAGCGATGTGGTGGCGAGTGTAGTCCTAACGCTTAGCAGAATGCGCCACACTGTCGAGCCAATTGGTATAGATTCATTTTAAAAACTCATATTTTGAGCAATTGAAGTCTCATAGTATTACCAAGTGGTCTTCATATAATTCCTGAAAACTGAATAATATAAAACCAATTAGCCTTAATTTTCTTGCAATAACCAATTCAAACTCATTTAACATACATTGACTTCTATATTTTTTTTTTGTTGAATGACCCAATCCTGAATAGTTTCGAAATAGTGAATTATTCAGGTTTGGCTGGCCATCTTTGATTCAGATGTAACGTGCTAGTGATTGTAGTGAAGTCATTGGCTTGGTTTAAATGACTATCAATTTATATTGAACCACAGATTTTTTTGATAACATATTATTAGTCCATTTCTGAACCTTACTAAATACTATAAAAGATACAAATATACAAATATTTTCAGGTGCGAGATTGTTACGAAAGAATATTGTGATAATAAAAGAGGAGTTTTCCATCCTGAAGCAACGTTATGTTCTCAAGTCAGTTGCATGCAAGATACTTGCGGATTGATTGAATTCAGGATACCTGATTATCCTGATCAATTATATAGATTGTGGTTGTCTATCCTTCTTCATGCTGGGTCAGTTGGTCACTTAATCATTTAATTAGTTCCATAAGGTTCTCTACATATTTGCTCTGAGCAAGGCTTCAAACAAGCAGCCATTCTTGTGTAGTGAAATACTATGTTATTGGAAAGACAGCAGAGCTTTCATATTCACAGGCCACCGTCTGTTGAAAGAATGACATGGTCTTGGATGAAAAACCTAATCGGAAACATCACAACCATTACCTTACTAAAAAGCCCACTCTCACGATGAACGATAACTAAAAAATATCAAATTTGTGCGCTCTTGATCATATTCCCCATATAAGCTAATTATAAAATTGTATTGTTTATGGTACTTTTACTTTTCCTTCCGGGTGGGATGGGTTTTGAAGGACTAAGGTCTATTCGAGTTTTGATAATTTTCAACTTTTGCAGCAGGCTTCATTATTCAATATCTCTAGTATTTTAACTTTCTTGCGATTTGGATGTTTCCCCGAGCATCGATTCCCTTGTTTATTTCCGTAACAATGACTAATCAGCAAAAAATCAAAGGTGACGTAAATAAACATAGTTTTGAGCATGTAAATCAGTTTGTAAAGCGTCTACGCTCCAAAACACTCACAAAATAAGCATTCAAAACTTTACGATTATAAATATTTGTCTTCCAGCATATTTCATTGTTGCATTTCTGTCATCTTCCAAATGACTGTTCTGAGAGACATGGAAAAATTAGCTGGATGGCTGAGGATATCTCTTATATATGTGTTTAGCGGAATCACAGGAAATTTGGGATCTGCAATATTTTTACCATATCGAGCTGAGGTTAGTTGGAATAGCTACATTGCTCATGTTGTATACCTTTTTATATAAAGCAGCAACCGACTGACTAATATTAGCAGATGCCAAGACGTTACCAACATTTTGATACAAATATAAAACAAACAATGAAATTTAATAGAAAATGAAAGCAGTAACTTTTAGGTTTTTGTTAGAAAGGGTATGTTTGTTTACTTATGGGGTTGGCAGACGAGGCTAGGCTAAGCGAAGACCGAAGTGGGAGGAGGCAGCAAACAGTTGATAGCTGAGAGAATCAGTTAGTTTTGAAGATGCACAATTAAAAAGTTTGCTTTATTTTTAGGTCGGTCCTGCTGGATCTCACTTTGGAATACTTGCTTGTTTATTCGTGGAAATATTTCAGAGTTGGCAAATGTTAAAATCTCCTGGTCGAGCTTTGTTGAAGCTTGTCGTTATTGCAATTGTTCTTTTTTTATTTGGTGCCTTACCGTGGATCGATAACTTTGCACATATTTTTGGATTTTTATCTGGGCTGGTAAGTTGAGCAATGTCTTTAAATTAGGGGGAAATTAATCTAACTATAATCAACAGTACATATATCAAGTTATCATAAGTGGATTATGGATATTGAAATGGGAAGAGTGGTTGTGACTAGAAATGACCGATGTGACAGAAAAAGTAGAAATTTACCTCAAAAATGTGTTTTGTTTGAAAAAAATGAAATGTGTCGTGCCACTTCATAGTTTCAAAATGTTAGATATTATGTTTGATTGTTATGCAAAAATCATGAACATCCACTTTTCACTCGAACCGATTTTTAATTATCCACCCCTTGGCTGTTTGAGTTTAAAATTTTGCTCCAGACTTCAGGGAGTTTGAGCATTTAACCCCAATATCAATAAAAGTTTTAGACTTTAAACTGTAATGGCCCTATTTCGATTTTTTTTAAATTAAGAAAAATAAGGCCAGCCTTTCTTGTGAATTGGTTTAGTTCTCCTTCCTTGTTTGATTGTTATGCAAAAATCATGTATATTCACTTTTTACATGAAATGATTTAATTTAACTGGTGCAGTATGAACTTTGTTTTTGTCGCATTATACGAGTATATCAACCACTGCTGCTACAGTGAGAGCTACCGATATATGAAAATTGTTCGTGCTTATAAGGCTTTTAATAGGTAGCGGTTACTTGGAATGTTATCTTGATCTATCAATGATTTTTTTTCATTGATTATGCCATCTACAAATTGCTTGTAATTCAAAATGGAACATTTAAATCAGGGTTGTGCCACCCTGGGGGCCAAATGTGGCCCACAGAGAAGTGCCAATTTTGAATGGTGTGCTACTCGCGGTTTTCGATTTCGTTTAATCTGGTACATGCAATCAATTTCAGTCCCTTTGCATTGCGAAGCTCATACCCGAGTCCAACTATCATCTATGTCTCTGACGTTACAATGCCCCAAATATTTGTGCCTGCGACTACTAGAAAGCCCCGTTGAATTAAGTTTCACCCTCTAATTTGCATCTGGCCCTCCTGTATTAAAGGTTGCACACCCCTGATTTAGATAGATATTGAGCTGCTGAAAGATCCCAGTGGCTTGTTTATTCTCTCAATCAGATAAAAGATATCTAATTTATTTTATTATTTCTTTTTCAGCTCTTATCATTTGTGTTCTTGCCGTATATAACGTTCAGCGATTTCGACCGGCGTCGCAAAAGAATTCAAGTCATTACGTGTCTTCTCATTTTCATAGCAGTTTTCGCATTGCTCGTAATATTTTTCTACGTTGAACCACTATCAGACTGCCCTGCTTGCCGTTACCTCAATTGTATTCCAATAACTGACTTTTTTTGTTCAAATCACGGTTTTCAACCAACGGAGCGAGAGTTGTGATCAGCATTTTCAAAGCTTGTCTTGATGGCAGGCAAACTTGTAGCAACTCCGCTTTTCTTAGTTCAAAAAAGAGGGAAAATGTATTTTCATTTTATTCCAACTTACGGCAGCAATATCATTGATGGTCACTTTGGCTGGGATGTTAAAAAACGATTATTGCATTGGTTATAGAATTCGTCAAGTCTCGTGCCCATGTATTTTTTTATTTTCAATTAGCTTCACACCACCTAAAAAATTGTCTACGTCCCCCGCCCCACTGTTTGGAAACCACTGGTTTATTGAGATAGATTCCAGAGTTATTTCATATATATCAAATTTTTTGATTTCAAAAACATTTGCACAATCAAAAAATTTGACTTTCAATAAATTAGACACAAACTATGCAGAATAGAAGCAAACGAAAACACTCGACAAATTTCAACTACCGGTAAACAAAAATCATATCCTCAGCAATTCTGCACTTTCTATTCAATGTATATGAAACTAGGTTTAATATTACTTTAAAAAGGTCTAAATTTACAATTGGTCCAATTAAAAAAAATTTCTGTACTTGATTTTTCATCAGCCATCATATTAAGGTAGTTGGCCCACATACCGTCCTTCTATTTCACAATGTTATTTCACTTTGTTGAGCATGAATTGTTTCAACATAATGGGATTTGGAATCTACCGATCATCATAACACTATAAATGCTACTGGAATGATAAACAGGGGGGCCAGGAGTGTTGGAAGCCTTCGAACGGGGGCCACGAGCCATAAAAGGTTTGGAACCACTGTTCTATAAGAAAGAAACATGTCTACCCCATTGGGTAGCTAATAATTACTTTAACTCGCAGATCTTTGCCATATTTCTGATGACAACCCTCGCCAAATCATGACACCATTGTCAACATTTTTATTTTTTTTAGTTAATTATATACACAAAATAAAATACCATAAATCTTTTTTTTTGCAATTTTTTTCTTTTTCATTTTAATTGAAATAATCAAATTATGTTGCATTTTTTGTCCATTTTTTTTTCTCTTTTAATTTTAGAGTGGTTTAGATTATTTCCAGTCTTGTACAAATGAAATATAATTGTTGATAATTAGCTTTTATACATCTTGATATTGACTTCTAGTTATGTATGGGTTACTTCTTTGCTTATTTTGTACATGCAGCTCTCTGACATCTCTAATTGTGAAACAAACTTTTCTATATTCATATGTATATTTTTTCATCTCACAACATCAGCTGATATTTTGAAGTAATTATAATTTATTTAACATATGTATCTTTCTCAGATACCGATAATTTTGTATAAATTCTATGAATTAATGAGGAATTAATTTTAGGAAAATTTGAAACTGAAAATCTGAAATTTTAAAATTTAGGACAATTTTTGATTTTCATCGTATGGGGACTAAATACAACATTTTTGCATTTGCAAATTATAGTTGTTGTGACCAGGGCAAGCCAGATATATTTTCACCTACTGAAGATATGATTTTCATTACGAAAATAGATGGCTTCTTCCATTTAAGTGAAATTATTAGACTTTCAATTCGTCAAAAAATTTAATATTTTCAATTTATATAAGTATAGTAATTTGGACTATTTTCCTCCATGGTTCATCCATGTATTTCCGCTCCAGGAACTCCTATTCTGACTACAAACATGCAGCATAAATTGCAGTATTTCAAGATAATGTACTTATCCCATCCTTTTTTACTACTTACTACTACTGTTACGGGACTTGGTATTATGAAGAAATATAACACAACTCAGCATTCAGTTTTCACATTCATCTTATCGGAGGGCTTGTCAAAAGACTTTTTAGGTATTCAGATAATTAAAAATATTATTTTGCAGTGGAATATGAAATTTGCATGCAACAGGATTCAATGCTCTAAAACAGACGTACATATAATTAAAGAAAAATTTTGAACAAAATTTGCTCAAAGCAAAGCCATAGACAGAATTAAAATGAGAGATTGATCTCTGAGCGAAATTATTGCAACCACTAAAATGCCAAGAGCTAATAAATCGATATTAAATTGTGAAGGTACATTACATCCATTAAATGCTGATATTACATCCATTAAATGCTGATATGTACTTAGTGGCTAGTCGTAAAATGATTATTTATTACATTTTTGTACTTATAAATTGTATTTTCCAATTTTGAATATGTCAAAAAATATGAAAGCATATGTATTGCATTGAACAGAGTTGTGAATTATGTATCTAAAAATTTTTGAAGGTCGACAATGCAATGCATGGGAACAAGACAATCCAGTTGCTTTGTGTAGTGAAATTTATTCAGCCTTTTCTGTTTTTTGTACACTGCCAATTTTTCTGTTACTATTTTCGAATACATCTTATGGTGATGAATGTTTGTGTTAGAATTTTTGTCTCCATAGTAGTTTATATAAAAATTACACAACACAGGAGATAGATGAGCTTGGAACTAAATGCGTTGTGTCACATGAGTCCGTGCTAATGTGATAGATTGTCTGAAGAATTTGTAATATTTGACATCGGTGACATTGCGATCGCCACGTTCTATTTAGGGGTGCGGCCCGCTAAGTCGTTTAGCGTGGCCCCTTTAAACACTTCGATTTTCCCACCGTGAAGAATAAAAAGACGCTCTCGTGGGTAAAATTTATAATGTTTTTTGCGCTTGTCACTGCTTTAAAATCTTCCGCAATTGTGTCCGGTGTCTCCATTACTGTAAGACTAAGTAATTTCATTCAGCTTTCCATTGAAAAAATTTTAATTTGTTGTGTACATGAAAAAACCATTTTTTTTGTGCAGCCTAAATGTCTGACGTTGATTATGTTGCCCACCGACAAAAAATGTTGCAAACGCCTGTTACAAGTAATTGAGCATGCGTTTGTGAGCGTTGTCACGGGTATTTTTTTGAGTGGGGCTCTCTACAAAATTCTTTCTACCGCTTAGCCAAAGTACAAAAGATGAGATTTCCAGTGACAGACTCGGACTTTTCTTGACTCATTCACACTTAGTCTGGGCGGGAATTTTCACGCCATCTGGAATAATCGTACTTATCGGTATTTACCGAGGGCTACGCTGCAAAATATTTTCATCACAACGAAAAATTTATGTTTCAATCATTTCAATAGTTCTTTTCCGATCCGTGAGTACATTGACTCAAACTTCGGGGGGCCGCGGCTTAATAAAATTGCGAACCATCGGTTTAAAGAGCACGGGACCGACTTCAAGACGGAAAGTCGGGAGTCCCGAGTGTTTATCACAAGCCCATGTATACCACTCTTCATGAGATTGAAGTTGCAAGAAAGAATGTATTTCGTCATGAGAAGAAGAAGGTAAAGAATCCCTGGGATAGAGACCTTACACCAGTATGCACCCCAGATTTTTGGGGGGGCGATAAAACTATTTTGTAACTGATCATCTGCATTGGTCCACATTCTGGATATCCAGATACAATTAAATTCAATTTAGGAATTAAAAATGTGGTGTCACATCTTGAAATTAGGAGGGGGGGGTGACATTATCGTGTGGGGCGGGGGGGGGGGGTGCATTCGACCAATATTAAAAGAAAAAGTCCTCGCGTGAACCTTGTACTTCATTGTTAATACACTTCTTGTGTAGCTCTCCAAAAACCGGCTATCAAAAATGGAAGCCTGGTATTCGATTAAACGGTTGGAGTGTCTGTTGATGGACTTTTGTGGCTACGTTTGCTGTCCAATGTGCAGAAGGCGAGAATTCTCTCGAATTCACGTAACGAGAGAGAATTATGATGACGAAATAATCACGATAACATGTGCTACGTGCGTTTTGTCTCGGCGGTCGTCCGTGTGTTTCGGTGTCAGTTGTTGCAGGTCATATATTACATTAGTGAGGAGTTAGTTTGAAATCAATATATGCCATTTATTTGAATGGTAACATCTTCTATGCCATGGGCATATAGCTATGAGACAGTGAACACAAAGGAAAGAGCAGAGAATGAATTTCAATAATTTTTTTCTTTGGATTTAATTGGTATTTAAATTAATGAATTATAACAAGCGAGAGAAATAAATTTGGCTAACACGTGTTTGAAAATTGTTAAAAGTTGGTCGGTCGGTTTTGGGACTTCAGGTATCAAGTTGGAAATTGTAAAGTTTGCTTCGCCCGCTATTATAAAACATTTACTGTAATCTTATAGTTTATGTGCAGAGTTGTCTGGTTATGAAATTTAACCTGTTTTCTTAACTTTTGATCGAAATACTGAAATAAATTTGTATGGAAAACATATTCTCAGATGCTTTTATTCAATTGAAGAATATTTTGAGTTTTTCTATTTTGTGTTATAGACAAGCTCCATTGCCATTTCATAAGTCTTGTACAATCAGACAATAGTTAGAAACTCATTCTGAATAGAACTTTGGTGGTTTCATGGTTTGCAACGGCAAGAGAATTTGAAAATAATCAGTCAGAATTACTAGCGATATCAGAATATTTTAATCGATTCGATAAATAAGCACAGCAGTTATGAGAATCAACACAATTGAACAGAATTCTTGACAGGTCCCCTTTTGTATCCAATTTTTGCACTTTTACAGAGGTGAGCAGATCATGACTCAGCAATGTGATTCATCACTTCTCAGTTTATGACATTTTTCGCTCTTTATTTTTTTATTTTTTTTATCGTAGCTACTACAGTCAGACAGTACTATCTAATTAGACCACTGTCATATCATCTATATAATCAAGATAGTAAGAGTGCACATAGCCTGGAATAGAGTTAGATTAGTTGTCTAAAATAACTTTTTAAACCAATTTGGAACATTTATTCTCAGACAGTTCCTATTTTAATTCAGGTTATAAAAAGCGAAAGACGGAAATACAGAAATAAGAGTATAAAAAAATGAAACAAGAATTACAGGCCAAAGTGAATACTTATAAATGTAGAATAATAACTAGTATATTCAATATACTCTGACACTGTAATATTTTTATAATCTAAAAGGAGAAAACGGAATTGCTTGTATCTTATATATGTTGGATAGGTCAGATTTATATATTCAATATTATGCAAATATCCTTGATTGCGCATATGACTGCCATTGGATTTGTTAAACAAGAAAATAAAAAATATATTTGATTCTATATTTTCAAATTTGTGTATGTGGACTGAAATTGCCACAACATTAAGAATATTACCAATATCCTGCATTTCAGAAATAGAAAATCTGAAATATTGTATCATTTATATATACTTTTTCGTATGACCATGGCTGGAATTCATATATATTTGAATCTTTTATTAATTAACTATTGGGATCATTATTAATTAACCAAGTTAAAGTCTGTCTACAATACAACTCATTACTATATTTACAAAAGGAACAATCAAAGTTCATCGATTCATTTACAGTGGAATGCCACTTGTTTTTATTATTTTGACAATTTTTTGGCAACTTCCAATGGTTAGCAAATCCCTCACAGCGTTTGCGGCAGTATTTTCCCCGAATTAGTTGTTCCAAATTATAATAAAATATTAAATAAAAAATTTCGTCATCTTTTGAATTTTATAAAAGCTGTCTGTTCTGATGTTTGCTCAGACAATATTTGCTCATTATATTCTGTTTAACTAGGGTCACCTCTTAGACTGTGTTCGTCTGCCAAAAATAGTATGATGGATTTGCCAACAAAGAGATTTGCAACAAAGATTACATTCCCTCTTTTGAATTCTGTTTTTTTTGTTCTATTGTGTATATCTATTTCTGTTCTATGTGATTTTGAATTCATTTTGCTTAAATTGGTGGTAACTAGCTTGCCAAGGTTAGCCTGTTGAGAAGTAGCCATTGTTGTGAAATATGCGAACGTGTATTGGGTCGCCATGATCTTTGCTTTATGTATGGTGTCAAATGATAATATCAATGTCTAAAATAACAATTTTGATTGTAATCAATACTTTCAAGTAAAAGTTATTTTATTGAAACATAAATTTAAGCAAGATTTTTTTGAGGGGAAATCAGAAAATTCGGTGTGATTTTTTTTTCTCAATTTTTTCTAATTCTAATCACTTTAAAATTCCAAACAATAAAAAGAAATGCACATTTTTTATTTATTACAGGAGTTTATACCTATCACTCAATATATTAATATATAATAAAAACATTCTAGCTATTACTGCTAATATGTGTTTTCTTGCCTGAATTTTATATAAACTTTCCAAGATTGAAAAATAAAATCTCGATTGTATATTGTTTGTATGTATCGACAGGGAAAAACATCGATCTCTTAGAGACTCGCTTTCGTTAGCGTTCCAATCTACAAATATGAAGTTGCCTACTTTATGACTGATAATGATGTCACGCCCCCTCTTATGATCCAATCACCTTCTTGAAACAAAATTGTGTATTTTGAGAAATGCGACAAGTTAGTCTTCGTCTTATGATATCTGGAACTTTGAAGATGTCTTCTGCTACTTTCAACAGATCAAAAGTGAAGATTGAATCCGAAACTTCGAAACTTTAGTAAATAGTTGTGAAAGGTTTTTTAATGATAACATTAAATTTTTGGTTGAATTACATAAATCTTTTTGAATACATTTTACCAATCTGAATTATTCTGTCTCCAGCTTTCACTATAAGTCCAAAAAAATTAATATGGATAATAGTGAAAATATGGAAGAAGAAAACGGGGGTTCTAATCACGAACAATCAATTTCTCAATTGTTTGCCACATCAAAAGAAACCAACATTGATTTTCCGTCAAAAACAAACAGCAACCCAATGCCAGAAATTCATATTACACCACACACAGAAATCATTGCAAATGGAAATGGCAGTCTGGAACTGAATGGCCATACTCAGTCAGAGGAGTTAGGATCTCAAGTTGTTCAAAACGGGAAAACTTTGGACGGAAATGAAAAAATGGCGAGTGATGAGGATTCGAAAGATAAAGATGGTACTTTTCTTGAAGAAGGAGAAATTCCCTTTTCAAATTATGAGAAAGATGACTCTGAGAATGATATTGACGGCACTGGTGATCATTCAGCTGAGAAAAATGACCTATCTAGTCCAACTAAGATGCCGAACGGTTTTGCTTCAGAGCTCAGAAGAATAAGTTCAAAAGATATTTATCCAGACCGGGAAACGGAAGAATTTGAGACGAGTGATGATGACTCGAGTGACGAGGAAGCGCAAGATGAGCTAGTTACATCTGGTGAGATTTGGAAACTTTTTTGTTAGGTTTATCTACTGACTTTATTCATGACTTTTGCTCCGAACAAGGCTCCATATAAGCAATCCTTGATATCTAATGATATTTGGAGAGCTACAATTATGTATGTGGAACGACCGTAATTTTTTTAGTTCAGCTTTGCTTATCAAATTCTCGCCCTGCGAGGTGGGCATGGGATTTGAGAATGAGATGTGTAATCTGTGATGCAAACACAGTTAAGACTAACGCTGTAACTGCTAGGTCATCATGCCGTCCTGTAAAGTGAACTAATCATTTAAGTAACTTCTGACTTATCATACTACTTAAATTATATTAGATACTGGTTATTGAAATATCATGCTTACATATTTTTTGGATTTAATTTGAATGATTTATACCTAATTTAATATAAACCTTCAAAACTGTCTTGATCTTGTGATAATAATATCAATTGCTACTCGAAACTATGGTATTTTCTGAAATTTTGTAGTTTGTGGAAATCTTGACGCATTAGCTTTTCCAAATATTCTTTGAATAATGGAACAAAAGAAATAGTGGATAATTTAAAATGATTATAAAACTAGTTTCGCTTTGATTTCAAGTTCTGTTCCATTTCTTATTGTGGCGCTTGTAACACATTTGTTAACGAAAAATGAGACTCCATGGATTTTCAATAGCACACTACATCTGTTATTTATTTGTTGAAATTGAGGGTTCTAGTGGAGTTCAATTTGAATGCATTTTAATTAATCTCAATTCATTTAATAACATACAATTAATTGAGACCGAAACATTGATTTTCTGATTCCGTAAGGCCCTTCATTTTATTGATTATTTAATGTGCTTAATCGTGTGCATTAACAGCGTTTACAATAACATTGCATTTTCATTGTATAAAATAACTAGTATCAGTAGATTATATAAGTCGTTACACTGCATAGATTCTGCTTGTTTTTTAAGAGTATAATATAAAATTTTTAGATGCGTTATCAAAGGGAAGCCCTAAGATGAGAAGGAAACAGAAATCAGATTGTTATTCCTTGTTATGGACTGATGAAGAATCTCATGCTTCTACAATGCACCATTTGGATGTTTTTCGTAGAAGCAAACAGTTCTGTGATTTGATTTTGCAGGTACAGTTTTTTTTTTCTCACATTTTTACATGTAAATTGGATTTATGTATTTAGTGTAGAAAAAAAGTTGATACAGGAATATCAGTGGTTCCTAAAGTTGACGGACCGGGGGGTCAAAATCAGAAGCGGAAGGATGTTCACAGGCCGGGAAAGGGGAGGGGCCGATAGCGATATAATTGAATTGTTACGAATATACACATGCTCAAACTTTGATAATGACACAACAATTGGCAGTATCTAGAACACAAAAAGGTAAAAACATAAAGTGTCAAACAATTTTACTTAAGTTCGACAATTTGAATTATTTTGTCTTATTCACTCAACAAAACACATAATACTGTATCACATTTCCCTGCTGTACGCTGAGTGGTAAACGATTGTTGACCTTCAACTTTATTGGCATCATTGCCATTGGTTGAAGATTTCGGTTTATAAGTCCATGGTTACCACCATAAACAGGGTGTAATAAACTGGGCAAGCAATACTGAACTTTGGAAGATTCTAGTCCTAAAAATAGTAGTGGCTTTTTAGAGTGGATTCCTGTACAGAGCCTGATTCAGAGTGAAGCGAGTTATTCTAATAACAATCTTGCAACTTGTATCTAACAATACAAAGAAACTATTTTTGGAACACTTGTGAAGTGCATTCGTCTTCCGTTACCGAGTTTTTCTGAAACACACTCATTGCAATTGTTCAGCTGCTTTGTATGTGACCTCTAGCCCCTGTTTGGTTTAATTATAAATATCAATGTCAAAAAGAAGTAGACAGGTTTAGACAAAAGCTGCGCTCTCCAGAGGCTCAAAAAAGTAGAGTGTATCTCTGAGTTACCAATTGAAAATACACTCGAGACAATAGGGGGCAGATGTTTGTCAGTGGCCCAATAAGAGAGAAGAAAGAAGTCCTAATTCAAGTGTTAATTTACTTTAGTCTTATATCCTATGGACATTGTGCACACAACTCAGGGTGTGTGAACCGATTTCCCATAATTGTCGTGAAGTGTTTTTATATCTTTATTAGAATTATTTACTTTGTAAATTTCTGGTTAGTTTTGTGACGGACGCAAATAAACTTTCTTGTGAGAGGTTGTGTTGTGTATAGTTATAATACTAACTAACCAGTGAAATGAGTTTTTTTCAATGTAATAAATTGGGTGCAATAATTTTTATTTTAAGTTTACTTTTACTTCAATGAAGATTGCGTTGACCATGTTATTCTTGCAAAACTAAAAGAAATGACATAATCTCGTCTAAACGAAATCGAATATCCTATTCACATTCAAAATTTGATCTATTCTATTAATATGGACAATATTTTATTTTAGAAATAATATTTTCAGTCAAAATCATAAATTCCAATCAATAAACTTGGCATTAGCCTAGTTCTATCAGTCAAGACATAATATTAGATTGATTACCTATACAATTGGAAATTATTCAAAATGTTGACATTTTTACATTTGTGTATTTTTAGAATCAGTATCTTTATAGACATTTCAATAAGTTTTACATTTTTCATCCTCATTAGTTAGTTAGCTTTATATTCAAGTTTTCAGCCTGCATCTATAAAGCAACTTATTCACATTTTTCCATTCATAAATGTTTTGGCAATTGCCTTTGATGACTAATGATATTCTATGTGAATTGCGTTAGTACAATGACATTAACTTTTGATTATCGTGTCATCTGTCATGTCATCATTCTGGAGACATTATCTTCACTCAGTTAATTACATTATCACACGTCAAATGTCTGATTACTGTCAATGATTGTATCGCCATAAATATTAGACAGTTTATTAAAATATCTGGACAATTAATCAAAGTTTATGTTCATTAACACAGCCACTTTAAAAATCTAGTCCCGAGATTGGAACTATCCATAATTTTATATTCTATTCATACACATGCACATCTCATCTCACACTTACAAGGCTCTCATCTTGGAGTAAGGCTCTAGGCCAGTGGTTCTCAACCCTTTTTTAGGGCCCATTTTCGGTGCATAAAGATTCTGTGGTCCACTAACTTTCTCATGCAAGGGAAAGACTACAACAAAAACGAAAGACTCTTTTTGCAAAAATAGACACTTTCACTTTAATAATTAGAATGAAAAGAATCATCATCAGTCATTGATACTACAGTAAAAATTTAACCATAGTGACACAAATGAAACTAAATTTGGCAATGACCATAGCAATTATAATAGGTTTGTTGCCCACCTGAAAATGTTTTTGTCACCCGAAAGCAAAAGAGGCATTACAGTCAGGGAATTAAACGAAACTGTCAAACTACTTTTAAATTCCTGTAGTCCTTGCAATTGGCACCTAGCGAAAGCTGTTAATATGGGCCCCAGAGAACTATCATGTGGCCACAAGGGGGCCCAGTTTGAGAATCCCTGCATTATGAACTATTAGTTCCACATACCCTATATTCGAAGATTCGTTTTGGTAACTTTTCTCTCATATTTTTGTGAAGGTTGGAGGACGTGAAATACATTGTCATCGTGTTGTAGTCGGCGGAGGTTGTCGTTTCTTGTACAAAGAATTGGTGCAAGGCGAAAAAGAAAGTACAACACTTAGAAGAATTTCCTTGAATCAAATTCAACCACAGTTGTCACCAGATGCAGTCGAGTCTCTTGTTGACTACATGTATACTTCAAAGTAAGAATATCTTTCATTTTTCAGTTTATCGTCAAATCACCCACGATAGTTTTATTTCTGGTTTAATTTCATTATTCGGATGCATTCAAAATTGGTTACATTCATCAATAGATTAAACTCTTGATCTTCGGAATTCGGATTTTATCCTAGTAGTAAATTGTTTGGTTTTGTGCATCCCTGAATGATTCTATTTTTAATGTCTGATAAGTAGAAATTTACGTAGGCCGACAAACAAGTTTATTTTCTCATAAATAGATTTTGTCGCAGTCTTCAAATTTTAAATTTTACTTGAATATTGAATGATTGACCAGAAACGATACAAGGGCATTCTTTTTTTTCTGAGCATTGTTGTTAGGTGCAAAGTTCTGTTGTTGACTGTACTTGACTCAATGAATAGAAAGTTCTGAGCAAAAAGTTGAAAGCATATTTGTTTGAATGTAGTTCGTGACTCTCTTATTCTGAAAATTTATTTATTAGAAGTTCATTTCTCTGAAATTACTTTTCTTTCTATGAATTTAGTCATTTCCGCTGCAAAAGAATTGTATTGAATTTTGCAAATTGAAATTAATCATATTTCTGAATTCTATTGCAATCTGTAGTTCCTGTTTTATTTTTGATGTTGAATTTATTACAAATCATTAACTTGAAATATAGACAATTAGATTCATTATTTATACAGGAGGTTCGTGAGGTCCTGTATTAAATTAGGTAATGAACCATTTTTTAGCAAATTTGAAATTGACCTCTGATTTTACATTTTTCTACGTACAAATTTTTTTTAAATATGACTCACTATGTTAGTATTACCGTAATTTAAATCATGACTTTTTGGGTGAATTTTTCAGAATTCAAATAATTTCAATATGCAGACATTTAGAAATTTCTTCTGGTTTTCTTGATAAAAAAATTTGCATATTCTATTTTCAATCACTAATTTTTGTCAAATTTGCCACAATCTCTATTTTACATCTGTGCTATGGTAATTTATAGAACATAAATTTTCATTGTCTTGTCATTGCCATGCTGATTCAATCTAGCAATGCAATTTCGTCTACATTGCAAAATGTCAAAGCAGTTTAAGGTGCAATTTTGTTCAAATAACCTGAGAGTTTAACCTGAGCAATTTTATTTCAAATTGGTTGTTTATCATATTAGCAAATAATTTCTTTCAGCTTGTTCGATGATGTAACAAACATTTTTATAACAAAAATAAACAAATCACTTCTGTGGTGGTATGATAACGAATATTGTCTATTTCTGTATCGAAAACACACAAAATGACTTTATTTTGGGTGTGTGATATTTTTGTCCCCGGCGATTATGAATAACTTGTTTGAAAAACTGAGAATGTGGTAAATGTAGATTGCATGTTGTGATTGGTTTCATCTCTCTCTGGTGTTTTTGCAAGAAAGATAGGATCTTGTCGATTACTTTTAATCATAAATAAGGGTTTTGTAAAGTAGGATGTGATAGTCATCTTCTTCGCTATCAAAATGTGTGTTTCTTTGATTTTCAGATAACAAATAAAAATTCTCTATTTCTAGTTAAATTTTGATGAGTTTGTATATTATATAATATTATCTTTTAAAAAATTCTTTTTCAAATTTGATATTTTTTACTTAAAATATGGAATTTTGATATTGATATTTCATTGAAATATTAAATATCGAAATTTTCTTTTTTGGAGTATTTTATTTTCCTTATTTCATCATATAATAATCAAATATTTTACTTTCAAATTTAATTGAATTGTTCATTAAACTCTATTTTATTACAATCATATTTACATCTTCTCACTGATTTACAATAGTATAGGAAGACAGACAGCTGTGTCCATTTAACTGTAATATATCAGTGTTTACTTCAAATATCATTTTTATGATATTTGCTTTGTTACCTACCGTATATAACCTATATATTGAATCAACTTGCAACTTATTTTGTGTACTTTGATCAGTCATTTTTGAAAGTAGATGAGAGTCACACTAGTAAATAGGTCAAAAAATTGGGTCAATGAGTTTATATGGGTAAAATTTTTTGAGTAGACTTTTGTTTAATGAAACTTGTCTGAGTAGGTGTCAATGACTGGTTATTTGCATTCAAGTAAGGTTTTTAATTTTAACTTGAGCATTTATTGATATACGAGAATTTCAATATTGCAATTAATTGCATACTTTTTTACTTCGTTTTTTCTGATTTTGAAAATTTGCTAATCAACATTTTTGTTCTGTAGTTCATAGTCATAAACTTCTTTCATTTAGCATTTGCTTCTCCTGACGTTGTGTATTGGCTATGCATTGAGCATTTGACGTACGTACGTATGTATTCGAGTTCGACGTTTTTATTAATCTTTTTATATTCTTCTTCAATGCAGGCTCATAATCCCCCAAGGACAGCTGCAGTCAGTGTATTGTGCGAGTGTGAAACTACGAGTTGAAAGAGTGATGCCTGTTTGTCGTCGAAATATCACTAATCGACTTGACGTTGGAAATTGTGTGAAAACTTGGAGGTTCGTTTGAAATATTAACACTAGATAACCTTTAAATCATGTTCCTTATTACATCTTTCCATTTAAAATTAAATATAGTTATAAAATATTACTGGTACCTCTTACTGCCATTTAGCTGATGAAGCCATTTAGCTGATGTCCTAACAAAAAATTATAGAAAAAAGGAAAATATTTTAAAACTTATTACTTAAATTTAAATTATATTCAATATAACAAAATTTCATCTGATATATTAATTAAGGGTATGAAATATTTTTGTACCCGTTTTTTGTCTTGATTTATCTGATGAAATATCCTCACATACACATTATTTTATTTCAGTGATCCACAAAAGAATAAAATTATAACTATATGTCCTATAATTATCCCTTTAATCTGTATATGGTAAAAATAATGTGGTACCTGCAAAAACAACATTACTTTCTCCTATATTAGTCATCACACGTCACAAAATGATGCAATTTTCATTCAATCCATGCATCAAAAGAAATAGCACCTGTATTATTTATGATTCCGAACACAACAGTATTATGTTTTTAAAAATTACTCACAAGTACAAGGAAACAACATGACGTCATAGAATGGTGACATTTTGTTTGTTTGGCTTGTGATGTGTTGTGCTCAAAGTTTTCAGATTAATAAAAACAAAAAGAATATAAGATATTGCAAAACAATGTAATTGGTTTAAAATGATATTTTTAAAATAGTAAAATGATAGTGATAAAGTCAGTAATGATCAGTCAATCCATGTTCAGATTAATCACTCTTACATTGAAATAAATTTTATTTTCTGAAAAATATAACAGATTTTTTAAAAAACAATCTTCGCTTAAGTTTTATTGGTTGGTTAAATTTGTGTAATCTAAATTCCCTCCACGTTCCAACTGTGGATATCTGTTTAACATCGGATTGTGAAAGTTGATGTTATAAACTATGAAAATGGGAAAATTTCACAGACGACAGTGCTTTGTTCACCTGTGTCATTGAGAAAAATACCACTTCTCAAATTCTCTAATTCTACAGTCTTTTTTTTGTAAATTTTCAGTCATCCCCATATCAAATTTTCCTATAATAAACCCATCTACTCTTTCATTGCGTTATTTGTAACAGTAACTCAAATCTATTGTTTCTTTGTGGCATAATTCGTTGTTTTTAAAACACAACGGCGTTTTGTTGTGACATGATTATATTACGCTGTCTGCCTTTGTTATGCCTTTTAATTTCCGTCTTAAAAGAATTCCTATCCAGTTGAAATACTTAACGAACCCACAAACTCAGCGAGTGTCCTAATTTTAAATGTAAGGCCACCTCTAAATTGCATCATCTGCATTGTATATATTCTTGCACCATTGTATGTAAGATTCATTAAAATATTTTTGAGTTTGAATACTGGTAATCACCTAATGGTCTTTTTCCCTATTTTGTTCAAACAGTTATCGTACTTAAATTTAAGGTATCACTGGATTCAAAAATATTTTGATATTTGACTTTTTCAAATGGACTTAGATTTTAGGGTTAACAAATTATATTTTATGTTATCACTCTAGGTATTGATAGACAAATAGTTGCGTATTCTTAGATTTTTTTTTTATTTATGATTAGGAATACCTAATTTTGAATTAGACACAAGCATATATATATATATATATATATACAAATTTACTACTCAAATACTACTCAAAATAACTTTAATTAATGGCCTGTGAATTTTAGAATTCAAATTATTTTGTTTTGTATTTCTAATATAAATTAGTAGCTTTTGTAGCGCGATTGATTATAAAGTAGGGGTAATTGAAATCTCTCCCAACCTTGACGATTCTTTTCTATTGGACCATGATAAGTTCCCTATTTCTAAACCGCAAGTCAAATTCTTGTTTTGTTGATTTGCTTCATCGATTTCAAAGCATGAAAATTGCATTGTTCAACTTCACTAGACTGTATTATTAACATTTTATTGGTATCGTTATGAAAATTTAATAACAACAAATCAGTCAGCGATTGAGATTATAATAATATTTTTTAATTTATTCTGTTGAATCAAATACATGGAAGCAAAATTAAATCCAACTAGCATTATTCAGAACTTTTTTATTGTACTGAAAAAAGTTGATTTATCAGAAGCTTTATTGAGAACTAAAAACGATTTAATAATTGGTTTATACCAGAGGTTTTCAGACTCTTTCTCCAATAAGATGACTACACATATGAAAAAAATAAATTTGGTTTGTTGTTATTAAATCATGTCAGGGAAAAATTATACTTTTTCCAATGTTATCATCATAAATAATGAATAAATGTAATATATCCACACTTTGTCAGTGTAATATGTGAGCTTGTGTCATGAACACATACGACCGTATTGTGACGAAATGAACGATATAGCCATTTGTACCTTTCTCCTTCAGTGTGACTTTTAACGGACTTGATTATTTTCATGCCAATCATTGAAGATTGGATAGGAAGGAATTATTGAAGAATTGGACTGATAGTTCATGAATTGTTCGAAATGTTTAGACGCACTGGCTTTTAAATATTTATTTATTGAAATTTCCATGTTTGAATGTTCTGTTATGTAATGGATAATACATATCATATATGAACAATATTTTTGTCAACATTTTTTTTTTTCAATTTTTTTAGATTGGCTTGGAATGTGGAAGATCTCGACTTATTGACAGTGCTGAATGAATATATAGAGGAAAATTTTGAAACAATTACAAAGAGCAACGAATTTCTCGCACTTCCGAGAATTAAGGTAACAACACACACTCTGAACTTAACATTAGTATTTGAACTTGACAAAGAGTTGGCCTTGATCAAACATAGTCAATGTCACAATGAGCCAGGTTCATTTGCATTGAATTGGATTTCTGCCGTTATGAATGAATGTAAAATGACTAGAATTGCCGCAGTTTGCATAATATCATGTCAGCAGATTTTTCATACACATATGCAGTGTGATTCTATGTAACATTCAAGTCAAATAATCAAATGTAATCTTGTTTTTAATCTGGCATTCAAATTTATCATTATTAAATCAAAAAATTTGAATGTAGATAAAAAGATTAATATGTTAATAAAAGAACATATGCATGGTTGTGCACTCAAGTTTAACCTTTGATATTTTAATCGTCATTGTTATCACCTACTTTATCAGAAGTAAATGTTATCAGTATTATATCAAGATGTGATAAGTTTTTATCACTCATTTAATTGATTTTTCAACCCCTAGTTGTCATTCATTTTTGAATGGTCAGCAGAATTGTTTGATGACAACCAGTTTGGAGCGAGTGCGAGTGCGATCTTTTGAAAAAGATTTGTATGGAAAAGGGTTAAAATACCCTTCTTAATTCAAGAGTTAGATAAATTTTTCAAGAAAAAAAGAGCAAATACTGAAATTACAAAAATAAAATTATTATTTGAAAATATTACAAAGTTAGATGTGCTGGTATCTAATCATAGTTCAATATTCACAAGTATTTCGATGAAAAATTCTAACCAAAAAGTTAAACTAAAAATCAGAAATATTAGTTCTCATTTTCTCTAAACAGCCTTTTTGGGTTAATAAAGCCCTCAACATACTAATCATGCCCTATTCGACTTTTAATTTCAGATGGTAGTCATTGCATCGAATCTTCCACTTGATGCTCCTCCATTCCACGTGTTACCCAGGGACAACGCCCTCGGTCAACTTGCTTTGTCATGGGTGAAAGGAATTGTCAAAAAGAATGGTGGTCGATATATGGAAGAACTCACAGAGCAGGTACGTTAACTCACGATCTTTATTATATATTTTGGACTGCTTTCTATCAAATATTTACTGACTGGGTTTGTTTGGGTTTTCAGTAAACGCAGTAACTGTTCCAGTAATAGCATGATGCTAATTCTGCGAAAAATAGTTCAAATTTGTATTTACATCCTGTTGTGAGTTTTAATAGATACTCAAAAATTAAGTAGGGAAATTCCACTGGAAATTTGATGACGAACGGTTGCAATTGCCGTTGCTTAAAAAAAATATAGAAAAGCTAGAGAGATGAGGTGAACTCCTATTTATTAGGGTTTTATAGAGTTCTTCTGTTTCTAATAAAACACTTCAATAATTAGCTCATTTTTTTGTATGAATATATGTAGGCTATGTTATAGGTTAATAGTAATACCTATACAGAATTATATTGTCCTCTGTTTTACATAATATTTTAAAACTGTGGTATTTGACCATAACCTTTTAGTTCAGCAATACCTGTGCTATTTATAGAGTAGGAAACATGGTTTAATCTGTTTACATCTGTCAAAGAAGTTCATGTAATTCCCTAAATATTGTGTGGTTTTTTAAATAGTAACGTTATTCGATATCAAATCTTGAGATATTTTGCACGCAAATGTAATTTTGCTTTTGATGTGTTTGTTGTGACCGCAGGTTTAGCTTGTTGGCATAACTATATCATTTGGGATTGAATTCTGGTTTAAATTTGATATTGAACCCAAGAACGAATCAATTTATAAACTTGTTAAATTAAATAGGATATACTTCATCACAGGGGGGTACATTACGGCCTGTGGGCTGGATTCAGCCCACCGTAGTATTTCAAAGTCAATTCATCCTATTGGTGTTAAATTTTAATGATAGACTACAAATACATAGTCATTGTTTATTATACGTACATACTACCGTCACTGCGTTGATTGCTAATGTTTTATTAATTAACAAAATCATGAGTAAGCTTATTTATGCATGTAAATATTGAATGTTGTAATTACGCAATGCTCAATGATCTGAATATGCTCTTTCATTATTGAACGCTGCAATACTTCTTTACGTAATCATTTGTAATTTGACTCTCTGGGGGTGCAGGATATGTATTATTTAATATAATAATTATACTCATGTAATGCCATCAGAATTGGGTATGTGTACTAAACTAAATATCTTATATGTTCAAAATTATTAAATAAAACATGTCAACCATAGGTACAAAAACAATTTCCAATTGAAGGGACTTGTTAATAAAAAGAGTAGAAAAATCTAATCTATAGTTTTATTAACATGATTATGATGCAATACATTCACCAGCACAAATTTATCATTTCCTAGATCATCTATTGTTCTGAAGAAATACATCAAAGCATGATACTCGTTAATTAATATGTACATAGAAAAGTGTAGCGTTACTAGACATTTCTTGAGTCACCTGTCATGTATAGACGCAAAGCGCGATAATGTATATAACTAGCCAATGGCATGAGTTAACGATGTATTAGCAACTTTGGTGGTAATTGGGTCTCCTCATTAAAATGTGGTAGCCCAATTAATTTTTATTAATGAGTTAACACATCTTACCCTTTGCTCCGAATTGTCATTTGACAAAGGATCATCAAATCATACTCGGTTGTGTAATAACACATAAGTATTTCATATTAGATCATGCTCGTCTTTGCTGAGAAACAGTAAGGAATGACATTTTAATGCTGGCACACTTCCTGGTTGCTATATCTTTTCATTACATGATTGGTTGTGTCATATGTTGTCAACCAAAATCATGACATTTGAAATGATAATCATCTTTGATGAGATTGGTATGATGGCTTAGTCAACTAGTGCTTGGCTTTTTCAGTATCACAAGTTTCAGCCTCGATATATTTCGGTTTCAGATCTCTTGCCCAGAGTGGAATGCCCAATTGGAAAGAGTTCGGTTCTTCCAAAATAAACTAGCTCTTTAAATATCAGTAGCTGCTGCTGCAGAGCCTTGTTCAGATTGAAAGACTGATTGCATCAAATAAAAAAAATAAAAATATAATATGAAAATATTTATAAGTGGAAGGAGTTTTAATTGAAGTTAAAAAAGCAACATTTCGAAATATTGCATAATAAGTTGACATGATTAATTCACTGAATATTGTGTTTATTAAATTCAAACAGCCCACAGTTAATTAAATCAAGCGTTGAGTTGGTACCATCTACCAGTAATTTAAAATCCTCTATTTATCTGTTCTTATTTAGATTCAACGAATCTCATTAGAAGAATTAACAAATACAGTTCCGTATTCAAATACTTCGTCTTCATCAGCGTCAACGTCTTCTTCTCCTGGTTCAAATAAACAGGTATATTTTATGTTCACTGTTCCTAGCCTAAATTCTAAAATAAGAGTGATAAAGCGTTGTAATGAGTATTTTTGAAAGCATTTGGAATTGGAATTGTAATAGAAGTCACACTTTGTTTTTATTTTATAAATTGAAATATCATGCAATAAAATCATAAAATACGCTTTATAAACCAGTAAAAATGTGAATTTATTACATGCAGCGATATCGAACCGAACTTTCTTTCCCTTATTATGATTGTCATGTAATCATTGTAAATTGTAATTTTAAACACTTGAATTTTTCACTAACCTTCCTTAAATATAAAAAATTAGGATTGCATGATAGGGTTCATTGTCTTAATCCGCAGTTCTCTCATTTGGGTCAGGTATAGGAAAGAAGATAACTTTGGCATAGATTACATGCTCTAGAATCTAGATGCTTGAAAAGTAATTGTCGGAAATTGTACTGGAATCCATTGTAAATTATTGCAAGAAATAAAGGATATTTGTTTTGTTTCTAAGACAAAGTATTGCATAATTTTATGGATTTTGTATAATCTTATTACTAAAATTGTTTTTATTTTTTTTCAGGTGCCACCGTCTTTTCCTGTTACCAACGATGAATCGACCACTAAGTCTAGCCCGAAACAACGTCTTTCACGAACTTCTTCCATCGATTCTCTCTCATCTTCAGGATCAGAGAAAAGTACCGGTTACGACCAGTGTAAACCGGAGGGACAATGGACCATTATAGCATCAATGCAGACTGCAGGTATAGCGAGTTTATCAAGTTTAGATGTCAATTAAGTTTATAATGTAATACATCTGTTTGCCATGTAAATATTCAATATTTGTATTCCTTCTATATCACCTCCTTAAGTACGATAAATTTTTATTATAATTTTCAGACCATATGATTGCTCTCTGTAATCTTGGAGATGTTCTGTCTACATTGACTCTTCACTTACCAACAAATTTAATTACAAACTCAAACTTCTACGGGATGTAAGTTATTTTTATATTCAATAAGTACGGTAATAGGCATTCGGGAGCTTAAAAACCCAGATACACAGATATACTTCTGTGAAAAATGAAGAAAAAAATTTATGAATTGGAACGTTTGTTTGTCCCCGAACGTTTCAGTAATCTAGAAGGCTTTGGGCATGAGGTTTGAACTCTGTATATTATTAATTAATCGTTTATCCTCGCATATAAGCCTTGTTTAAAACTCAAAAAAAAGATGCCAAATTAAGGAGTCTGCTTTTATGCGCGTAGCATAAGCACACTAAAAATTCGATGCTACAGAAGTATGTGTACCTATATGAAGGTTACTAATTTTGTTCGCCTACTTTACATCAAGTTGTGTCAAGGGACTGAAGCCTATGGGCACCTGGCTAACAAGGACAGTCCCCGAACTCGAAATAGAACTGATATAAGGAAAATCGAAATAAAATTATGGCCTAACCCCATTCTGGTACACATACTACAGGAGTATCAAATATAAGCGTATAACACCATCTCTCTTCTGCAACCATTTGCTGTGATAGGTGCATACACGTGCGTGTCACAATTATAGGATATTCTTATATGCGGAATTTTTCAATATATCCACTGTATCAGGGCCATTTTTAGGGGAATGGACTTATGTGAGGTGAGGATATGCGGTAAATAACATAGCATGGTTCTACTTGATAAACAATGAGCCTGACTTGCAATCTCATTTATTAATAAAATTCAAATATGCTACAATAATGTAGTATTATTTATTTAAGATATTTTTACAATATTTTGATACAATTTTAATACAGGTATTCAATAATACAATGGCTTTGAGATATGATTTACGTAACGCTGTGGTTATAGTCAAAATATAGTACAATTGGAAATGCCTGGTACGTGAAACGTTGTAATCAAATTCCTTTTCTAATATTATCAACAATCCGAAACCGTGACCTTGAATTCGTGGAATACAGCGTGTTAGCCAGTTCATTCAATGTCAATTTTCTTGCAGAAAACCACAACGCAAATGAATAATACATAAAGCCTTCTACGTGCTGATTATATTATTCGAGTTTATCGTGATATTTTGCATAAATCTTGAGTTGTAAAGGGGGGACAATAATAAAATATTCATAATCGAATTTAAAATCAATGACCGCATTTTAATTTCTGATATTAGGATTTTACAACTGTCTGTATGCAAATACTAAGTAATGCATAGTAGAAATCTAAAATAAGTATCCGGCCTACTTGTGTCTGTTGAAATTACAACTAGCTGTTTTTTGTACAGAAGCTGCTACGATAGTCATTCGTAAATAAACGTTTTCATACTGAGTTTTGAGCTTTGAGCAGTTTGTGAAATTGCAGCAAGTATTGTCTACCTCTATGATTACATAACATATTCATATACACAGCATATAAAATAAGAAACAAGGCATTTATAATAAATACAATATGTAAAATATTTAATTGTATATTAGTTATGTTTAACACATTGATGTTAATTTTTGGGATCCACAGAGATATGGTGTGACAGCCCTATCCCTGAAGTATGATGAAGTATTGTCTACCTCTATGATTACATAACATATTCATATACACAGCATATAAAATAAGAAACAAGGCATTTATAATAAATACAATATGTAAAATATTTAATTGTATATTAGTTATGTTTAACACATTGATTTTAATTTTTGGGATCCACAGGGATATGGTGTGACAGCCCTATCCCTGAAAATCATTTGTCTAAGGTCATACGAGTGTAACCTAATAAGACTTGTGCTTGTACATCAATAATATTCCAATCTTATTATACTCAATCACCTTATTTATGCTTCAATGTCTAATTAAGCCTGTTAATTGGATGTTAATGGATGGACATCATTGATTTTTATCCAATGTCATGTACAATTGATTCATATTGGATCAATTTTTAATTATGTCTTTTAAATTTAGTAATAGTTAAAATGTAATTGAAAACAGTACATATAACTGGCATTTTATTGTCATTTGATGACAGCTATATAATCTTTCACTTGAATAAAAAAATGATCTTATGGCAATTTGCTATACGCATAGAAAATAAAATTTGATTTAGGCTCACTAGTTTCATTTCAACAATCATTAGTGTTCATTGTGGTTTAATTATGTATTAGACTCGAGGGATTTGCTCATCAGAGTATTAAGGAATGTGATAATCTGGGTTTGTGATTATCGTTGTAATGCCACACCCCTTAGTTATGAATGATATTGATGGGTATCAATCAATTGGGTATGTCTAGTCTCATTTAACACAGTATATTTTTATATAAAAATAAGCTATCACAGTGATACCTCGGTAGTCGAACATAAATCGTTCAGGATTGGTGTTCGACTACTACTTTTCTTTGATTACCGAATCTTTTTTTGCCATACAAAAATGGTAATATTTTAATTCGTTTTTTTTGCATTCCAAAATACCTAAAGTTTTGACAAAACATTACCCAAACAACCATAATTAAATAGCCTTATGAAGATAAAAAAATTTGTATCAGTTTTCGTACAATTGAGCAAATTTTTGTGAGTTCATTGACATTCGTTTTTGTGTACAATGATGTCATCAAAAAATTGCTCACCTTGGAGCAGTTCCGCTTTCGTGTTAGTCAGAATATTGCTGTACCAGTGGTCTACTGTGACAGATTTGCATACTATTTAGTTTTGGCCTTTGTGTTCATTCAGTAGAGCATCTTTCTCTTGTTGAATGATCAAGAGGTAGCCGAGATGCGCCGTTCGGATGACGCTATCTCGCTTGGTGACGGGCTTGGGTGTTCGAGCACCGAATCATTCTTGACATGAATTTTGATTGAATGTATTTTATTTTTTATGAGTCATTTTATAAGGTCAGATATACATTGACCCAATCAAATTCATAAATTTCATGATACTGAAAATAGTGTTCCTGCTCCAAACAAGGCTTTGTCTAAGCAGCCGCCGATACGTGCAAGACTACTATCCTTGAAAGGACGACCTAAATCTTTCCAATTCTGCATTACTTACCCAATTTAACCGTGGGTAAATTTTACCGTAGATGCCGTATCTTATACTTCGACCTAAATATTCCCAATTCGCTTTGACCACTAGGCCAACACTCCCACCGAAATTTCCAACTTGCATGATATTATATTTCAGGTCTGGTAACCCAAGTAACAGTGTTTCCACGTCATCATCGTCTTCACATTCTTGTGCGTCGTCCGTTGGTTCAGTCAGTGAATTGAGTCATTTATCTCAAGCCAGATGTGCTGCAGGTGTCACTGCATTGAATGGAAAGATTTATGCAATGGGTGTGTAATATTCCTTTTCTTTAAATGTTTTGTATAATATTACTAACTTGCTCTGAGTACATAACTGTATCTATATCTTAGGAATAAAAAAGATTTTATATGACTGATACACTTCTAAATAAATTTGTGATTAGTCTTCTGTGGTTTAAAATGCCAAATTGGCTAAACTATCGCACGATGCTATTCTAGGTTAATGTTTTTCAATCTCGACCCTTAGCCTCCTTGAGGATTTTCACAGAGCGATTTTCTGGAAAACTCCTCGGAGAACCTATCATTATATTTTTAACCAAAAGGTCCTGTTTTCAAAACATTATCTCTAGCTACATACATTCACAGGTGGTTACAATCAGTCTGAATGCCTTGATAGCGTTGAATGTTACGACCCGAACCACAATAAATGGACAATGGTAGCAAGGATGCAAGAACGACGAGCAAGATTTACAGCCGCTGTTCTCAACGGACAAATTTATGCCGTCGGAGGTTCCACTGGATCGAAAGATCAACTGTCTGTAGAAAGATATGACCCAGAATCAGACAAGTGGTCTCAAGCCCCTCCGCTGCCCATCAGATGCTGTGGGGTCGCTGTAAGAATTTTATCATATACGTATTATGAAGTTTGCAGCACATTAAATAACTATTTGGCCAAGATAGATTAGTGATTTCGAACTAGAAGTCTCCATAATGTGATCAGTTAGGTATGCTAGAAATCTCTCGTAGCTCTGAGGATGGCGTATTGTGCTAAGCTTAGAAATAGGCGCTCTAGAAGTATGTGTACCAATATGGAAGTAACTAAATTTGTTTGCCTACTTTACATCAAGTTGTGTGAAGGGACTGAAACCTATGGGCAGGGGGTAAATTCACTTGGCTAACACAGACAGTACCAGACTAGTTCTAGAACTAAAATGAGAAAAATCGGAATAAAATCATGGCCTAACACTACGAGAGTACCTAGAAACATGCTTGCAATTGCACCTCTGATTACCCTCCGCATCTATGACAGTTTGAATTTAGTTTAGGGATACAGAAATAAATTGGGGACAAATTCAAAAGTAAAATTCCATGCATTATCATGATCTTTGGATAGCCATGATCCATAATTATTCTCTATCAAGCACGGTCCAGGGATGTATCTGAATACTACATCCACAATCATATTTGATCAAGCGTAGAAATTTAAACACGAACAAGTCTTTCTAACGTTATTTAATAACAACCTAACTCCAAAAAAATCAATTTTAAACACATCAACTATTCGAAATCAAGTTTAGCCAGGTTTTTCATTGCCAAATAATTTGATAACTGGTGTTGTATTGTTATGTTATTGTTATACCAATTATGATATAAATACCTGACCAGAAATTTCCAAGTTAGGTTCTTACAGTTGAAATTGGTAACTTTTTTTAATCTGTATGTTCCATTCTGCCATTGTAGCTATTTCATTTATTGCTGTGAACACTGGAACCTAGCAATTTAGTTTTCCACTGTACACTCGTTAGTTTTCATTTGAAAGATTTAATTAGTAAGTAATTCAGTATTTGTATCATACTTATGTTAAAAGAATTCAAAATTCAGTACGCTGTTTCTCAGGACTTGGATCTCATACTCTTGTTATTTCACAGGTTGCCGTCATGAATGATAAACTGTATTGCATTGGTGGAGTTCAACAAAGTACAGGTGTTGCTGGGATTAAGTTATGTCATCAGTTCGATCCAGTCACACAGTCTTGGCAATCTATTGCTTCATTGAACACAGGTCAGTAGGGGTTTGCCCTGTATATTCAAGGATTTTTTCCAAGATAAAAAGGTGAAAATATTTTGAAAGAAAAATCTTATTTTTTATTTGAAGTTGAAAGAAAAGTATTTCAATATAAAGTAAGAGATGATTAAAAGTCAAAATTATACATTTTCCTCATTTTTTCAAAGCCGTTTTTTGAGTTAATATGGGATACTCATCAGAATACGCGATTAATGAAATCCGTGGGCAAAGGCGCATTATTGCCCTCTTTTGTTATAAGGTAATTGTCTGGTCTAAAGCTAACAATAAGCCAATCTCATGCAATAAGCCGATCCCTGGAAATCAGAACAAAAAATATGGTCCAGAAAGTCGGCATATCAGCCTTATTATGTCTTGGATTGATGGGTTATATAATTCAACAAGTGTTACATCATATTGATATTGTATATAAAATTCCAAAACTATCAACCATCATCCATTTTATATTGATATCATACAATTTCGGCCACGTCTGTATTCCAAACACGAAACATGAGTGACTCATACCATGAAACGTCTTTGACACACAATCGAGTCATTTTTTCAAGGAACAAGAGCAGCAATTTCCCCTTTTTCCATTGCAGGAAGAAGTTTCGCAGGAGTAGCAGAATTGAATGGAATATTATATTGCGTCGGTGGCACCGATGGTTGGACTTGTCTTACGTCAGTTGAACGTTACAATGGAGACAAATGGATCAGAGGTCCGCAACTCAATGTTCCAAGAAGAGGAGCAGGACTTGCTAAGTTTGGAGGTTGGTTTGAGGTTTTTCTGCTTGTGTCATTCATAACATATAAATTCTACTAAATCAACTCACAAACAACATATTATACAGCTTTCTATACGATGAAGGAGCTAATATAGTTTGAAAGAACCGGAATCTTTCTGGCTTAGCAGTCGGCACTGTCTACCCAATTTATTACACCCTGGGTAGGGTGATGGGCGTCGGATTTTAAGGATTTTATAACTTATTTTTTTAAAAACTATTTGATTTGTGCTATTTATATTCTATCATCACAGAAAATATGTATCAAAACCCAAATCGAAAAAAGTCTTATTATCTTCTGCATATCATCTCATTTCTCTGCCCAAGAAATTCTGATAAACTAATTTTTATTTTCTAAATCACCTCAATTTTCAATATAGAGCATCAAATATATTTGGAGTGTGATCATGTTCCACAGGGCAATTCCTATTTTGGGGATTTAAAACTTTGTCTCTAACTTCGACAATTTGAAAATCCGACTCTAACACAAAGGAACATGCCAAACTCTGACTCTTGACATAAAAATACATTTTGAAGCATTTATTTTTATTACAAATGTTCTTTCTAGATACTTTATACTGCGTTGGAGGATCAGATGGCGGATCCTTTTGGCCATCTATTGAGCAATATGCTCATGAAACTGATTCATGGACGATGCTTCCAACTTCAATGACTGTGCCACGTAGTAACGTTGGACTTGTCTCTGTAAGTATATTATCTCATTGTGGAATTCAACATTAATCTATTTTCGCCTTGGTTCGAAAAAAATTTTTGGTGCATTTTGATATTGGCTTCATGCAAGGTCATGTAAATCCACTCAGTAGTTGAGGAATTGACCCTGTGAACATTTTGAATATTTTGGTACTAATAATTGTTTCTTTTTCAGTCTTTAAATGTTCGTTTCAAATCATGTGTTATCTGAATTAAAAATTTTAACATTGTTGCGTAGTGCTAAGCATTAGGAATGCACTTACCATTGCACTGCTAAATATCATCATTTGCGAGAAAATGACTGGAATTCTCACTGCCACAGTGTAGTTCACATAGCCGGTGGTCGGTCTAAAACAAATAACTGTTCCCATATACTCAACCTCGGCAGGAAGCCATAGTTCGCGATATAATTAAGGCACCTAATCCTGTCTCCCTCGAGATGAATATGGAAATTCCTATTCAAATTTAGTTTGCTTATTACCCTGATTTATATTGAGTACCAGTCCGTTACAAGGTCGTGTTATATGTTCCATGCTTTTTACACATTGAATTTGAATTTTCTAAAATAAATTTTTTTGCGACTTGAAACCTATTTATGCTCGTTATTTCAGCTGAATGGATTGCTTTTTGCCATTGGTGGATTCTCTGGCCGACATTTTCTCAACTCCATCGAGACTATGGACGAGACTGGTGATGAGTGGACGACGCACGATGCCCATATTGTTGCAGCAGCGACTTGCAACAACATAGCATACGATGAGGGTGGAGCCGCAAACTCATAACCCAGGCTCGGGACTGTTCCAGTTCATCGAGCAATTTCTTTTTTTGTGTTTTGCACTGTATATAATATTTTAGCTTGTTTCATCAAGACTCTGTCAAGACATTTTTTCGCTTTAAAAGTACAGCCTGTAGTCAATTGCAGCCTTAATTTACCAAGGCTATGCTCGGGACAAGAGCAAAATGATTTGTTATTGGTGGAAATCATGGATTACCCCGGACTGGTGTTTTGAAATGAATGATTTGGGATTTTTATTATTGAAATCAATCAACGGCCGAGTTTGGATCCTTTTGCGATTTTGGTGGTTTGTTTGTCACGCTCGTATTACATAAAATCATTCTGATTATAAAACAATTTTTCTGTATTAAATATGCATTATGGCATCAGTAATGACTACTAAATTTAACTTCCATGTTCGACATGTATCAATTGATTTTTTTTTCAGAAATCTTCATCGCTTTTTCAATGTTAAAAATCAGATAATCCAGGCCTATGAATATCACCCACCATTGAAATATTCCAAACGCGATGCTTTTGAAAATTTCGTTTCCTTCATTATCGAAAATATCAATATAATTTATTGGAGAGTAATTATTTCAATTCTTTTTGTTTTGAATATGCTAAGTTGTCTCGATATAAGTTCGAAAAATAAGAAAAAATATTTGTGATTTCACAGGGATTTCAATTTCACAAAAAAATTTTGAACTTTTTGAATCTCCAAAAATATCTTTTTGAACCTTATATCGTCTCGGTGGCTCAAAATTTGTTAAATGGTATTCTTGTTAACATATTTCAAATTGCATCAACAAAATTGCCTTTCACTGGTAATATAATAGTGGATGATGCGAGACTTTAGTTCAGCTATGAGCTGTATGTAATCTGAATGTTTACCTTTTATTTGTCAATAGTTTGCGACAATAATCCTTTTCTTCCTTTTTGCTTCAAACTAGCTTATGTTCATCTTATTGCGATGTTTAATTATGCTGTACTGTGTTGTTTGTTTTTGTCTGTTTTGTGGTGAAAGATTCCATCTTCGCTGGTTTACTATTCTATACATTGCTCTTTTTTGTAGTTTGCCGATTCTTTAGATTAATTTCACTGATATTACCACCAAATAGACTCATTGTCATCCATGTTAATAATTAGTTTATAAAACTCTAAAAATTGTTCAAAAAAATTTGGTATTCTCCTATTAAATGGTTGTTAGTTTGAACAATTTGAACAAAAATTTTAATTGCTTAGAACTACATTGTGATCCATGTTAATAATTATGTTCAAAAAAATTTGGTATTCTCCTATTAAATGGTTGTTAATTTCAACAATTTAAAAAAAAATGTGAATTGCCTAGAACTAAATTTTCTTAATTATGTTTTTGTTAAAAAGTCGATTATCAACTTATTTTTATTTCCTTTATTATTGTTAGATTCATGACTGTTGTTTACCAACATATTCTGTTAAGTATTGCAAAAATTTAAATTTGGTTGCCATCTTATTCATTTCATTATTTATATAAAACAATGAACAAACTTGCCCAAATTACCGGTATAGAGGCATTAATCTACACCGGATTATTTAGTTACATATACCGTATTTCCCGGCGAATAAGTCTCTTTTCTAGACCCAAATTTTTGGCCTGATTTTGGGGGGGGTCGTCTTATTAGGCGAGTATGATAATTTTATTTTTTTGGCGTTGCCTTATTATGTATGAGGTAATGTTTTTTTATGGTGGACGCAATCGCGAGTTGAATTCCCGTAGTTATTATGGATTGAATATCACGCTACAAGAAAACGTCATTATAGGCTATTTTAACCAATGCGCACATGCGCCGACCGCTCAAAAGGCATTGCATGGTAATTTGAGATTCTGATGTTGATGTGATTTTGCTACCCCGACTTATTGGCAGGTTATATGCAAAAACCAATTTTTTCAGGCTTGAAAACGGGCCTCGTCTAATTGACCGGGTAGACTTATTCGCAGGGAAATACGATAAATGCCAGAAAAGTATCCTTTTTTCTTATAAGTGGTTATAATCTGGGTGTGACCTAGCAGTTAGTAAAGCTATAGTGAAAATAATTTTTTTATATATTCTTACTGCCTCCAGTTTTCGTTAAAAACTGATAAATAACACTGTGCCATAGTGGATCACTATTCATTTAGCAAAAAACTAATGATAATTATTCAAGTCAACATTTTCTCAAATTGGGTATAGGCCTCCTTTATCAAATTTTGCCCACAGTATTGCTTACCAAAGTGAAGGAAGATCCTACTTTTTGTCATTTCCTGTTCATTAGCTTAATTTATTTACTAGTATTGACAATGGTGTTCATTTGAAGCTTGGCACTGGATTTAGGGGGTGCTCATGGATGGATCACATACATTGTATTTTACAACATTTTGTTGACAATAAACTAGCAAAGTACTACTGAATGGGTGTCTTTCTCCTCCAGAAGTAAGAACTTTTTTGTTTGGCGTGTCTCAGGGAACTGGTTCAGGAGCGTCATCGTTGTTAATCAAGGGTGATTGATTTAAAAGAGAACTGGATTGAAATTACTCCTTTTGGATTCATTCGTGTGTATAATTTATTTCACCTAGCGCCGCCCTCTCATTATCCATTTATACCTTAATTAAACCCAATGAGGTAAGAGATGAATGAATGTTGAGTATATATTTGTAATACAATATTTTCACATTCAAAAAATTTTAGGACACACGAAACATTAGGTTAATTGAAAACTGACTAGACAGCACCATGAACTTGGAAATCATGGAAAAAGGGAGTTGCAACTGTCACATCAAAACATTGCAGGAATAACAGATTATAGGTAGGTAGAGGAAATGAACACATTCAAAATAAAGAAGTAACAAATAATTTAATATTGCACAGACGAAAAACAATCTTTTATGAAGATTTAAATATGGCGTATTTTCAATCGAACCTTGATACCATCTTTAGATCTCAGTATGATATCACCTACAATATTCAAACCTTCAGTTTTTTCTGTTGATTCTATGATATAATTCCTAATAATATGAGACAGAACAACTTTTTCTTCCATCAAAGCAAATCGTTGCCCAATGCAGTTTCTTGGACCAGCAGAAAATGGAATATACGCGTAAGGATTCCGTCCAACTGAATTATCAGTATCAAATCGTTCTGGGTTGAATCTGCAAATAAAATATAAATTTCCCAGATTGCTATTATTATACTATATCAGTTTATGCGCCGGTGCATTATTCACTTCCTTGTCCAGTGCAATCTCCAAGTAGTTGGTTGGGCGAACGTCACATGTGTGTTTTGGTCTCTTTCTAGTCTTATGTCGGTTTACATACAATTTATGTACTACAAGTTATGAAAGTGAAATGAACATCCTTCCAGTTTTTTGATTAGCTCATCAGACCTAACAATTTTGTTGGTGCATGGTTGCAAAACGAGATTCAAAAATTATCACTTCACGCAAAAAGTGCAGTATGGTTAACCAAGTTTGGATTTACAAAAAAACAGAGTAGCTCCATACATATCAGCGCTTTCCAAATGTTTTTGAATGACCAATTTAAACAGCTAACTATTTTATTTGTTATTTTCTATTTTGAAATCTACAGCATAAGTTAGAGTGTTTGCATTGAACTTGGAGATACAAACCTTGTTGGATCTTCCCAGAAGTTCTCATTATTATTTATAATATGCGTGAGGATGATACATTCTGTACCTACTGGTATTTTGTGGCCACCAATCCTGAAACAAGAATGACAGAAAATTAATGTTTTCAACCCAAATCTTTATTCGTTTATAATTTGAAAGTATTTTTGACAGTTTTCATTATGCCAATACAAACAAAGCTTTATATCAGTAATGAGATTTCTATTGCAATTTATTGGATTATGTCTCAAATTTCTATTTCCTGCCTCATTGGCAGCTGCACAACACTAATTTGAGAGGGTTTTTTCAGCCATTGCAATAAGAAATGTTACGACAATCCTCATATCTAATAGTTATATCATGTAATTGTATTAAGCTATAAAATACGCTGATTAAGACAGTGCTTGGACATTTTCCATTACGGATACTCTGATATGATCATAATCATAGTAGTATGACACAAAGAATATGCACAGAAATGAAATATCTTACATGCACTCAGTTTCTATAGTTCTGCCGATAACAGGAACAGAGGGGAACATCCTCAAACATTCTTTTATAACAAGATCGAGATACGACATCTTTTTTATGTCCTCTGCAGTAACATCACGTTTATTATTCCCGCAAAATATATCATTTTGTTCATTAAATAATTTCTGTTGTATGTCAGCATGATGACCAATCAAATGTATTGCCCATGAAATAGCTGTAGCAGTAGTGTCGTGACCTGAGTTTGAAATTTTTTATCATATAGAGTTACAGTTGGTTACATAAATAAATGAGGAAATGGTATAATGAGGAAGTTTACCACAAAATTTCAATGTTCTATTCCAAATTGTTTGAAATTTGAATAGTTAAACCTATCTGAACTCGTATCAAATAACCAGGAAATGCTAATTATGCAGACTTTTCTACAATAATCGGTGAAATTCATATTAAATTGATAAAGTTGACACTTTGGGGGGAGCCGACTCTGATGACCGTATGGTCATATCACTCCCCTCTGTGTATTTTGCATCTTTTTATTGCTTTAATGCTTGTTTTCTGGTTGACGAAGTAATAAATCTTCCTCAGACACTGGTTCTAATCACGTAACTTTGTTTGTAAAGTGGATCAGTTTATGGACTGCCCGTAAAATTTTATACACTGTGTTTTCCGATTCAATTTTACATCTGAAAATATTTGTGACTTTGCCTTTGACCCAGGAAAGAGAGTTCACAAACATAAAATCAGCTAAGACCTTTAAAGCATTTTCATGTTTGACAGATAGTACAGAATTGATTACATCCTGAGTAAAGGTAATTTATCTCAATGCCAAAAGCTGGTACTCCCGAAGTATGTGTACCAGGTTAGGGTTAGGCCATAATTTTATTCCAATTTTCCTTATTTTAGTTCTATTACGAGTTCGGGGACTAGCCAAGTGCCTCCTTGAGTATTTGTACTTCAAACTCTAACCTGGTACACATACTACGTTCCGGTGTCCGCCGTCTTGGTTCACATTCTTGGGATTACCCAAAAGCTAATGCTAAATCACTTTTGTCAACGTGTATACCAAGATGCCATGCACAATAGATTTTTTTTTGGGGAGGGGGGCACCCTGTAGGGCGGTCACCCTGTAATAACAACCATTAACTTTTTACCTGCAAACATGAAGGTATCCACCTCCTCTTCCACCCCTTCTTTCGTAATATTCCCCCTTTGTTCTTCTTTCAACAACATGTCAAGAAATGCCAATCTTTTGCAATACTTCAAGTTATCTGCATCAAAATCAGCAGCCCGATCCTTTAAAACTGATCGTGTAAAATTATGTAGAATTTTTAGGTTTTTGTAATATTGTCTTCCACTCCAACTCAGCTTGAAAATGAAGTTTGGCCAGAGCCAAGGCGATTTCTGTCGCTCCTGTATTGCTTCATTCACCCTACATAATATAGATATATGGTAATTATTATCAAAGCTACACTCGCACACCTAAATTTAGGGAGGTGTTTGAAATTTTAGGGAAGATGTTCTAGATTATCACCTCTTAGCATGATGCTTACTAACCTGGCGGGTAGGGCTGTGTATTTCGAATCAAATTGAAGAGTAAATTATTCGAATCGGTTCAGACGAGAATTTTGAATCACCGTCATCTTGCTTTTTTGAGGTTTAATTTTAATTGAAGCCATATTTTTAAAATGCAATTCTTACATATGACACTTTTTTTTAGTGAGTTACATAATATTTAACTTATTATATATAAATAAATATCTAGGGTTAAATAACGTTGTTGCTTTTCATCGTTACGATTGTTTACCCATGAATTGCTTTGATATACTCTGTGTGTTGATTTTGTTGGGCATTCAAACGTTTCCCCATTGCTGTTTCACAGATTATGTCAAGTGATAACAAAGTAATGGATTCGAAAATATCAAATTCTTCTTGAGATGATGCTCGTTCACATTGAAGAGAAATAAAAATTCTTGATTGTTCATTCATCACACCTAAGAAGTTCTGCAAAACACTAAAAATAGAATATATAATATTTTAGAAAAACAGAAGAAAATTGCTCAAATATGAAGGTCAAATGTCAAATTTTGGGGTGAATATCAGCCCCATATGCCTTGAAAATAGAAGTAGGGGAAAGTGGGGAAGGTTGGGACACTTTTTTTCTTTTTCATATTTTGAGCCCTTTATTCTGCACATGCATATGACTTTGCGGGATTATTGCAGAGAGGAGTAAATGTATATTTTATTCAGCGACTAAGAAATTCCCTTGCGACACACATCTTACCACCAAAATGCTTTGAAAAACGTTTGTCAAGTGTCCCACTGTACCCCACTTGTGGGGCACATTCGGACAGACCCTGGGGCACAATGGGTCATTCTGTTAAAATTCAAGGAAGTATGCCCTTAAAAATAAGCAATCAATCAGCATAATCGTCTAAAGAACAGGGAGACCTCAAATTTGAAGATTTAAGATTTTTAAAATCAATGTTCAACCAAAATATTTCAGATATTCCACCACAAAATTCGCTTACAAATTAAATTATTTTCTAATCCGAATCTAAATCTGGAAATATTTTTGATTCTCGAATATATTTCATATTGGACCATGGGTCGAAAGATACCATAATGTTACATAAAAATATAACGCATCTATAGGTCTCTAAGCACTTGTTGTATCAAACACTGTCGAATTGTGCCATGTAGGGCATGTCCCACTGAACCCCGGTCCATTGTTCCCCATAATCAACAAATATCTTCAGATCATCTCACGGCGAAATTCGGAAGGCACATCCACTCGCCAACGTTATAAATATTTCACAGTGGACTATAGCTGAAAGATATCAGACGGTGGTTTGTCACGTTGAAAAGGCTAAGTTAGAAAAAAGAAAAAACTGGAACGGTGAAATTTTAGTTTCAACCCCCCAAAACCAATTTCACCTCATAGCTTGCGTCGCTCTACCCGTCCGCTATCCGTTTGCGGGGACATTGTAACTCACCGAAGGACGGATTGAAACATCAAACCGCGAACCGGATTCCGAATATAGTATTAGTGTGAGAGCTGATTTTCCACTGTGCCCCATGTCCCAACGTGCCCCACCTTCCCCTAGCGGCTTCTTCCACCTTGGAAAATTTGGGAAGCGATTTTTGTACAACAAGCATGCCAACAAATCTAACAACAATATCAGTCTGATAAAATGATCCATATAAGCACTACATGTCCAATATTCAAGATTAAAAAAAATCATAAAATGTCTACCCTGTGTGAAAAGCTGGGTCAATCAAACGTCTCCTTATTTTCCATTTCTGGCCTCCACCAGTGATAAGTCCAGTTCCAAGCCATGAGTGTAGAAATGAATAGAAATAAGATTTCTTGATTAAAATATTGCTTCTCAGCACTTCACCGGCAACAACAGGACTTAAGATAAAGAGAAGAGGAATTGGTCCAATGTAGAAATGAACAAGCTCAGCTTTGGTAGGGACAATTTTTTTCAGAGTCAACTCAGTGAATTTCTTGAATATCTCGTCTCGACTTCCGCGAAATCTCAAAGCTTCACCAAGAATGGGGATTGACCATCCACTCGGCCCAGGAATACCTTTAAATTGACCTGATTTTCTTCTTTTGTTTCTGATAAATTTTATAGTTGCAACCAATATCAGCATCAGAAAGAATATAGTAACTATTGTTAATTCCATGATTTGTGTTATTGTACATTACAATATATATATATATTCAATACTTGATATCTGCAAATTGAAATCAACAAAATATTATGAAGCGAATTTCGAGTAATTTATAATTTTATGTATAGTATCACACTTGTAAATAGCTGTAAGCAGGAATTATACAGGGCTCAAAATTTTTAAATGTTTATTGAAGATAATTTGCATAAAATTTCTAAACAGCAAACTAGAACCCTTAACAAGCATTATATATGCTGAGATTTTTCTTCGGATCCGGAAACAAAATTTTGTTGAGGGGGAATCTTTTTTGAAATAACCTGGAGTTTGAAGTCTGTTATCAATTTCCCTAAGCCACACAGCCCTGCTAAAAATACAGTGGGCACTGGGCAGAATAAAATAAGAGTGTTATAATTCCGTAAACTTAGTTGTATTGTTTGTCTGATCAGGGTAAGAATTAGGTACTCATAAAGGGAAAATTTAAATTCCAAAGCTGTTATACTACATTTGGCTCCTAAGTTTTTATTCATTTGTTTTCATGTATAATTTATGGAGTAAGACAATAAGTCTCACAGGATGCACTGGTGGAATTTAATCAAATTAGTAGTAATCAATTACATTAGAAATGTCAAAATTGCCTGTAGTATTTCAAATAGTGCTATTGAACTTCGGAATTTTACATATTTGTTTGATGTGACATTGAACTATAGGTAATTCTATGCCACCATGCAAGATGTAATTTTAGAATTTTTTACTTCACTGATTCACAAAGGTTATACAATACGGCGATTTGGATCACTTGAACTAACTCAATTCTTGGAATTTATTTATGGTAAATCGAACTTGAATTAGACTTTCTATGCTATATCTTGTTTGATGTGACATAAAAAATGTTATTTGAAAATACTATTTACCAAACATAGCATTTCAAAATAAATTGCACGGATACGCTCAATGAAACTAGATTATATACACGACTTTATCAACTAACCAGGTTTTTGGAGAATTTTATTACGAGAAACATTGAACACACAAACAAATTTGTTGGTTCCTGAAAAGATACAAAATTAGAAGGACTAACATTATATATTGTACGTTACAGGAATATAAAAAAACGAAACAGTACCGATAAAATTTTGTTAATTATTAAAAGTTAAAATATAGAAGATGTACATAGACCAATTATAAAATCTAAACCAGTGCACAATACTACAATCATTTTGCATATCAAAATTACATGTGAAGAATAATTTTACAAACCAGGAAAACAAAAAACTTATTAAAAACAACACCACGGAAAAGTGAAGAATTACATTGAAGAAATTGCAGCTGAACTCCGCACCAAGTCAACAATGAACTAATTATGAAAAGTGCATTGTTGAATTCGTGCATTTGCACTACTTTAAAAAAATTGAAAATTAGTAGAATCACTTTTTATTGTGTTTCAATCACAAAATGGACAACGATTGAATGAAAATGATATATGCATGAAACATTTGAGATACAAAATAATGTAATTAGGAAAGTAATTAAAAATATATACCAAGCTAAATATTGGTATTGCTGTATAGAATGTAAGATTTGCAACTATTAAAAATAATTGAAAGGTAGTAAACTGCAACAAAGTACGATAGTGTAGTTTATTATTTAGGTAGCTGTGATAGGTAGTAATTGTATTTGTTCGTTCTGTATACTATTAAAAATTTCAGTAAAATAATATGAAGCATTTTACAAAAGAATTATTATCGCTTTTGAATTCTAAGTAATCTGAATGTCTCTATCACCCAGAAATTATAATAAAGTATGTTATAATTTATAAGCAAATAGGGCAAACGATAAAATAATATCAGTCATTAGAATTAACATTAAAATATACTTCTTTGAAGAGCATGATTTTAGAATTGCTTAAAAAATTCCTAACAGAAAATTGACATAATATATATAACAGTAAATATTCCTATGCAAAAAGAAAAAAGCTGGATTGAAACACAGAAATTCAATCAGTTGAACTTAATAAATGAACTTTCAGTATTGACTAAACTAGGGCCACAGAGTAAAACATTGGTATATATTTTTGCAAGTGCCTGAATTTATGAAGGATGACCCCCAAAACACAGAACTCGGGTCATTTGGAAGATATTCTGGTGAGAACATAACTTTTGTGCTAAGCATTCTAAATAACTGAAATATTTGGGTATGATCATGAACAAACAGTGTTAGGTAATAAATAAATTCTTCATATTTGTATGAGTAATTAAGAAATTTATGGGTTTTTTGCGGGGTCACCCGATTGAGAGTCCAGCAAATAAAATGTGATTAGAATTCTATGACTTCCAATATTTGCGCTTTGGAAAAACATGTCAATGCAAAAATTTAAAAATGAACTTGCTAAGTTGCTACCATGGTGAGCCTAATTCAAAATTACTCTCTATTCATTAACGAATTTTTAATTATAAAAATAGGAAATGCAAAAGAAAACTACTATATTTTCACAAACATTGTCTTATTAATACATATAACTCTGAAAATACTAATTCTTAACTCTTCTTGATATTTTCACTTTTACTCCATCAGCAGGCCGAAGAATAAGATCAGCCATCATCACAAGATCTTCAGTACATTTGGATGATTTTATGGAAAATTTGTGCAGGAATTGAGCAATCATGACCTTTTCTTCCATAAGAGCAAACCTTTGTCCAATGCAGTTTCTTGGTCCAGCCGAAAATGGTAAATACATATAAGGATGTCTGCCATCACTGTTCTCAGTGGTGAATCTTTCTGGATCGAACCTGTGTGTAAGGAAGATGGTAAATGGAAACAAAAAATCATTGATGCCGTGGGTTGGGAGCCCATGCATCTGTGCTAGTAACTGAATAACAATTCTCATACCCATGGTAACCGGACAACAGTCCATGGTTCGCAAGACTGTAGCCAGCCCAAAATTTTGAGTAGGGCCAAATTTTTGTTTGTATACTGACGTAATAGGACGCTTACTCATGCCTTTTGCTCTGAACAAATTCAGATACAAGCATCCACTGACATCTAACAATATATTGAAGAATCTCTCTGAAGACTCACTTCGCTGTCAAAGTTATCCTAGGTATTCAAGCATGCATTTTCATCTATCTCGGTTGGTTTATTTGATTAGAGAATTGTGAGTGAGTTTTAAGTAAATCGTTCACGAATAGAGTAAAATGGTGTTGGAAAGGGGTAAGAATTTATGTCTCACTGCAAATGCGGAAAAATTGCATTTAAAAAAATGTTGAATTTTTTTGGGGGCGTGAAGGCATGGTCCCTCAGCCCCCTGGCTATGCCTGCTATGATGGTTTGATTTATGAATAAGCCTTCTTATTGTATTTCATATCTCTATGGATATATATCCAAATCCCATCTTAAATAGGTTGAACAGGTTGCTTCATAAATCACCAATACTACTTTTAATATTAAAGTTGCTGGATTTATATATTAGCTTGGTACCTACATACCTTTAGACTAGCGTAATTATGTTAGTTTTCCATTTTTGTGACAGTATAACTTGTATATATTTGTGAGAGTTTTAGTTACCCATCTTGGCTGATCCATATCCAGCGAATTCACATGCTTTCATATCATTAAACGTTAACAATTACATAGTACATTACATGCTATTAATATATTATCATCTATTAAAAAATTTTATTAACTGGAAGTCTGGAATTTTACATAATAACACTACTCACGTAGTCGGATGAGACCAATTTTTGGAATTCCTATTGATCACCTGGGTGAAAAGTATACATTCAGTTCCAGCTGGAACATGATGTCCATCCAAACTGGAAAAAACATTGGATATTATCCGAATATGACCTCATTTTTACAAATATTTGCTCAAAGCAAAGTCACACTAAAGTAAAATAGACTCATCTCCTAGCAAAGTTATGGGTGATCAGTGACATGCAAAGAGCAACTGAAACTATATACAATCATGGTTGCGCAATACACTTCTGTCACAAAGAGATAGTTCTAAGTGTGACAAAAAAATTACGCTCTCATTACTAATTTGAAAGCTATGTTCAGATATATATAGTCTTCCCCCTCATACAAAATATAAATTAATCAAACATTGATTGATCATTATGTATTGTCATCAACAGTTTGCCATTGTTTTCTTATTTGTTTACCCTGTCAGTTGAACTTTGACATAAGATCGCAAGTGAATTTCAACATTAAAAATCAAAGATTTTGATCCAAAAGTTTTGAATAGTTTGCCAGAGCAATACACAGCACTTACACACAATCATGGCTAGTTGTTCTTCCAAACATGGGAACAGAAGGAAACATTCTCAATGACTCCTTTATAACCAGTTCCAGATATTCAAGCTTTCTTATATCTTCCATTGTCAGTTGTTTGTTTTCATCATCACCCATCACACGGTCAACTTCATCTTGAAGTTTTTTCTGAACTTCAGGATGTGAGCCAATTAATTGTAAAGCCCAACTCATTGCAGCAGCTGTTGTATCATGGCCTGTAAAATAAATGGCGGAATTTTTTTTAGGACATGCTTTTGCGATATCACTCAAAATAAGGCCCTGAGCCTACTACTGATACAAAAGCATAAATGGCTTGGCATTTCCATGTTATGTATCACTATTTTATTACTGAGTAAAGTCATAAATGACTGGTCCTATATGTAGTTTGGTGTAGTATCATTGTGAATCATATATTATTAAACTTGTGTCGAAATATATGGAGTTTTCATACTAAAGATACAATGTGATCAAGTAATGAATATATGCAAAATAAATGGCCTGGGAAACTAAAGCGCCTGGGTCCAGGCTTAAGATTTATGGTGTGAATGGATGGAAGACCTGTCTCTGTTTTCTGGACACAATGACTATACTATGTTCATGTTACAGGCCAAAAGATTAGATTCAGGTTGTACACCTCTATACACCGGTTTTCAGATAGCACTAAGGGGTTCAACTTCTTCCAAAAATATGATAACATATATATATATCAGTACTCTTGCCTTAAGCATTTGTGTTGAACATAAAACATTGCTCCGAGCAGTGCTACTGTCATTTATATGTCAAGAATATATTTTACAATCTTTTCTGTGTGAAGAATATTTTTACTCACCTTCAAACATAAAAGTATCAACTTCCTCCTGAATATCACTAAAGGAGAGTACTGTCCCATCTTGAGATACATTCAATAGCATATCCAAGAATGCAAGCCTTCGTTTTTTGTCTGATTTTGCTTGTTCCCCGGCTTTGAAGGTTTTCATACGATCCAATATAATTCCTTGAGATGTGGAATGCAAAACATTAATATGTTTATCGAACTCTCTTCCTTTCTTTGATAAGTAAAACAAAAAATCTGGCCATAGCCATGGTGAACGCTGGCGGTCTTGAATAAGTTCAGAGCTCCTGTAAAATTGAAACGAAAATTTCATAAAACTAATAGTTTCAAAATTTGACCATTTCCAATGAAATGACAAAGACATTTATTTGGCTGTGGCATTTAAGTGACTCACAACCTGTATAATTTGAAAACAGAAAATGATAAGGAATGGAAAATTATTGCAAACATTTCTGCAACAATCAACTATGTACATTGCACAGACATAAAATGATATCGTTAATGATCACTCATTCTGCAAATATTGCTCTGTTTTACTTGGAGTTATCATCACAAAACTAATATTTACACAAGTATGCAGTTCGTAAAGAGCCTGATGTACAATATGTCGATAGTGAGCAAATCGATACAAAAGATACTTTTAATAACTCTAATGATGAACCCAAATTAAGCTAACACTCCAGACTTTGCCTGTTATGAAAATAACTTATGCTAAAGCTTGACAGTTTGAATCATGATTTGTTACAGCTTGCTCCGCCATCGAGTCTTTGCTGATAGTTTGGATAATCGGTTGAATATTTCAATATCTGACATGGACTGCCAACCAGAAGAGGTTTGTTTGCTAAATGAATGAGTCTTCATTGTCTTCCTCTCACCAGATATAAATAAAAAGATCTTATTCTATCTTTATTTTTCTTTACCTATAAATAGCAGTAACGTAATCAGAATGGTCATTAACTTGTGCATCCACTGATTTTCCCATTGCTGTTTCACAGATGATGTCCAATGCACACAAAGTAATGGGCTTGAATATATCAAATTCCTGATCATTTTCGGCATATTTTTCGAGCAATTTGACAAATGTCATTGATTGCTCATTCATCACTTCAAGGAAATCTTGTAAAATGCTGTTAAAAAAACATGGTAAATATTGATAGGAAATCATAATTTCATCCAAAAATATTGGATGCAAAACAACACTTTGGGTGATTACTATTGCACTTTAAATAAATTAAAATGAGAGAGTTGCTAGTAAACTTTGAATAGGAGAACCATATCAACATCTTTTATGATGTCATATTTGTACATAAGCAATTCACATATAAAATAAAACATGGTCTTATCTATTGGATTGGAAAATAGGAAAAGATTTTAGGACAACAAGGTAATTTGATGGAAAAAAAGGCACAGGCAATTATAACCTAATTACAAAAGCTTCCAATATAATCAAAATGCAGTTGAATATAAGCAATGATTTAGAAATATACACAAATGCTAAAATTTTAAAAAATACAAATATTGAGTTTTATTAACTTTCTAGTACCATCCGATTATGACCTACTACAAAAAATGAATCGTGGATGACAATATTTTAACTTGCTAAGTTCTATTGGTTTTTAGTGTTGGGAAGGTCAGGAATGGTGGAGAGTATACCAGATATTAGAAACTCACCTGAAATGGAAAGTTGGTGTCAAAAGACGTCTTCTGGCTTTCCATTTATCTCCAGATGAAGTAAGCAATCCGGTTCCAAGCCAAGGATGCAGGAACTTATAGAAAAATGACTTCTGAATGTGTTTTGAACTATGCAAAATAACTTCTGCAGCATTTGGACCAGCGACCAATACTACTGGATATCCACCAAGCCAGACAAGGGTAACCTCCCTTCCCTTGTCCAATATATTTGACTTTACAACAGCTAAAATATTTTGATACAATTGGATGACATCTCCTCGAAAAAGTTGAGCATGCCCAACAACTGGCAACGGGCGTTCTTCAGGAACAGGAAAGGTTTTAAGTGCTTCCCATATTTGCATACGCCCTTTTGTAAAAAGAAACAACTTGACAATACAAAATGCAAATAGTAATGTCAAGATGATTGCGGAAATCGAGATCTCCATTTAAATCTTCCCACAGTGGTGCTATACAATATAGTTCTTTTCTAATGATAGCTGTAGAGAAAATAGTGTAAAATTTATCATCAAGGCTGGTGACGTTTACGCATGCATCCCTGGAATAGTTCGTAGTAATACAACATAATCAGACATTACGTATATATTTATTTTGATAACGCTCCTACACTCGCTCATACGTAATGGCGTTTTCAATCATTCTGAAGTACCAAATTGTACCACAGTCCACAGATAAAACATTTTCTCTTTGTGGTGGAAATTATTTGACTCGAAGCCACCGTCTAGTAGTCATTACTGGACGAGGTCGCAGGAATTGGCCTGATACATGTCGGACGTCATCAGACAGTGTCACAATCCAGCAATCCGCACGCTGTTAAGAATGTCACGATCACATAAATAGTCCAAACATAACTGAAAATTATCTCGTACATATATATGCACATGTAGAAATGCACATTTACAGATTTATCTGACATCAATGGATGTGTGAGTAAGCATACGGAAACAGCGATTCATCTGCAACACACAAATTGCGCTTTTCATTTAAAAAACTAACGTGTTCATCAAATCAGACTTCCTCTCGCTGCAATGGTTAGCCTAAATCACCAAGCGCTTCATACACATACCCCACTCATGCTGTTTGGTTTATCCTTACTGCGTTAAACCAATGTCGCGATATAATACGAGGACGGAAATTGGTATTAAACAAATACATTCTCGTTTTCATGCCTCAGTAATTTTAACAAAAGCAAATAAACTATCGAATGTACCGAAGTTGGAAAAGTCATAGCGCATGCCGTCAAAAAGACTTATATATCAATCGCATACAGACCAGTTTCGAAATAGGGATAGGATTATCACATTCACGATGATATGGCAAACCGTGGCCTCTCGTCCGGTTAGATTAGAAGTATATGTAGAGTGTGGGAATAGTTATTCATTTAGAATTATATGATGATTTTCGACGTGACCTGGTAGTAGAGTTACTATTTGGGGACTAGATTTAGAATCCCAGGCTCGGGATTTTCGACATCCGATCCCAGGATTAATAGAATTAAGAAACACACACACACACAGACACAAATATTATAAGCAGTCATGTTTATTTCTCATAAAACTGACACAAAAACATGAGAAAATCGAAAGTGTCAGCATTAGGATGATTTCTGATTTTGTTGGCAAAAAAATCAAGAGCTAAAAATGCGTGCTCAGCCTCAACTGACGTAGGTTTGTAGTTTTTAGTGCATCATACAACTTTTTCATGGCCTGGCCTCTCCCTGCTTGTCTCATATAGCAGCATATCTGTCTCAACCAACGCCAATCGACCTCTATAAGCACAGTTTCGTCCCTCTTCGTTTTCATCGCGTGAAACCATCGATAGTGCAACAAAAGCATGAAGCATTTGTCATTTGAGTGTCTTCGCCGTGGCTGCTATCTTTTTGGATCAAATATTCAGATTTTAATTGTTTCTTGATCCAATTCCTCAATACAGAGCAATCTTTGGAGTGTATTTGTCGCCAAGTCCGCAATTTTATGACGACTCACAATGTGTCCATACTGATCAATATCTTTATCAATATATATACGATGTTTTTTTCAGATATTCGAGGCAGTCCAAACTCTTGATGTCCAGCTGAAGGGGAGGCTACGAATTCATGTGTGTAAGGGGTCAGTGCGACACGTGCAATGGGTATTATGGGAGTTTAAACATTTTGGAACTTGGTCAATTTTTCGAGGACTCAATCAACTGACTGCCATTGAAACGTACCTCCTGTAATTCACTCAACTTGACTCAAGACTTCAACCCAGATAAAACAGGAACATCATTTGAAATCATAAATGTATATATACTGTATATATAAGCAAACCTACCAAGAACTGAACAAAATGTTTTTAAAAGTGTAGCAATTTTATTATGTTTAAATTGTTTTTAAACAATGTACATATATTAATATAGTCTTTACGATTTGAATGTGAGCTTTTGGAACCCTCCCTGGACGGTATCGGCGGAACCCTAAATTGTCACAGAACCATGTTGAAAACAACTGCTCTTTTTAAGAAAATTTCTCAAGCCATATGCTCTATGACAACTTATCATTATTTAATTCAATACCATTTGCATCTATCTAGAAACTGATCAGGACCTTTCTACTTCTGACGTAGCAGAAAAATGGTTGGACCAAACTTTCAAACTCAGTGAAACTGATGCTAGTGTTTTTCGAGCAATAAAAGCAGCCGTTTGTGATTTAACTGTGGAAAACAACCGAACTTTGCCTTTATTTTTTAAACTCGGAAGGGAAAAAGATATTTTGATTAAGCATTGTATGGGGAAGAACAGCAAACAAAAGGGCTTTGAATAGAGTCAAAATGAAAAATTCTAAAATATAGCGTGCAATATCTATTCTTTAAAATAAATTTATTTTCTGCAATTATTGCTCGGTGTTTAATTACAAGTTTTTCAAATTTAGTTTTCATATGTTATTCTTGAAAATAATACGTATTCTGGTACTGCTAGCATATAATCCGTATGGTATTTGCTAGGCCAGTGGCACACAAACTGACAATTTTAGGGGGGGGGGGTCTTCATTGACGTAACAGTTTATTTTGTAATCGCCATATTTTCCGCTACTTTGCAGAAAGACTGGGAGCGCCGTGTTCGCATCTAGTTAGCAAACATTGTTACATCACAATTTAGTTGGTCTCGCAGATAGTAGTAAGTAGAGACATGTAGCCTTCATTATTATAGCTGCAATGAAGCTTAATCTTTTGTGAAATGAAAACTGTTGAGATGGCGCCAAAGAAAAGCAATGGAGAGTGGGTTTTATAATTCGGTTCGTGAAATTCAAGACTCAAAATCGACTTCGCAACTACAGATGTTTTTGTGTTTGTCTCCAACAGCAATATGCCACCCTTTCCATGACGTCATTACTATTTTTAATTTAATGTCATTCAACCTATTCTTTGCAATGGATTCATTAATTAAAACAAAATATTGGGTAAAGCTTATAATTGACGATGATATGGAATTCTTAGGTTGGATATCGCAGAAACAGTGACACCCTTCTCACTGAGATTAAATCAAGATGTTGTTCTGGCATTTATGGATTCTTATGTTATTGCTGCTATTAAATTTGATTAAATGCACGCTTGGAATTTTATTTTTAATGTTTGGTTGAATTGAGCCTATGGTAATTCAATTTTTGGAGAGCACTTATTCGGAGCTTATCAGTTTGAGAAAATCAAGGGGTGGCAACATTTAGCTATTTGTGGGCCAAAAATCGAATCTACAACGCGGACTGAAATGATTTTCCTCAGAGAAACCCTTTCCATTTGGCATTGATAGAATGTTGCTACTCGAAATATCGTCTCAATTGTATTTTAACATACAAACCAACTAACTAGGGGTGTGTGGCTTATCTATGGCGTGGCAAGCATAACTCGTGCCATAGTCACTGTTTGGGCAGGGGCGCAAAAGAGCGGAAAGTTTTAATCGTAAAATGTTTTAATAGAATAATTTGGAATTGGAAATAACTGAAACTCGTATTTCTACACATAGAATAACGTACATGTATCTCATTAAAATATCAGTCATCATAAATTGTCAACTAACTATCAGAAGGAGGCGCATTTAAACTTTGACATGGGCGCCATAGATTTGCCCTTGCTAGGGGTAGAAAAATTGCATTATTTTTATTGAATATTTTCAACGAATACGGAATAGTTCTAATCTACAATCGACCAGGACGTGGCGGGTCGATAATAGATCCCGAAATTAAACTTAATTAAAAGTAACTTATATCATATCGTGGGGTATCTGTGGATGCTTGCATAGGGTCTTGTTCGAAACGACAAGTATTGAATGAGCATCATATCAAAAAAAAAATCGTCTGATTTTGTTATAATTGCTGTATGTTTGATTTTTCCTGCTGTCCACACCATAACGTCGGTAAAATATCTTTCTGCTAATTATTTTTTTCTCAATAATGTAGCATATATATATATTAACTCGACTTTATCCACCTCTTCTCATACTTTTTTTTCCGAAGACTAGATGTAGATTTTTGTTCATTCTCTCGCTTGAAGAATATTAAAACTATTGAAGCAATATCCTTCTCCATGCTTATTGGTTGTCGGGGACTGGGTTTTGTTAAAGGCTAATAAGAAATGGGAGTTGGAGCATAGGTGTAAGGAGTGTCCAAAAACGTCATTTTGACTGGTTTCTGCGGATTTCACACTAGGACGTCACAAGGTTATGACGTCACACTGGCTAGCCGCGATTTTATGGGGCGCCCTGGCGCCTGATTCGTGCCGAAACGACGGTGGTTTTTTTTATCTCTGGCCGACCGAAGGCCATAGATAAACCGAGTATAATTGATGAAATTGATCATACATGATCCGAATGCAATTTTCAAAAGGTTCTATTTTCTAAGGTCCTGACCCCTCGATTTCCTTCATAGTCTCTTATTTTGGGTTTTCTCCTTCGTTATATAGTTCTTTGCGCCGCCTTTCCGGTGACGACACACATTTGACAAGCGGATATTACATTCGCGGGATTCAAACTTTAGTCACCGTCAACAGATCTATGGTATACCCAGCGCCTTTATTAACTAGGCCAATTAAGAACTTAAAAACAAAGTTCTAAGGTCTAATATTCATGTATCATCTCAAAAGACTCTTTTAAAAAAGTTATAAAGTCATTTATGATAAATGATAAATATTAGAACTTAGATCCGTGCTCTCACGTTCCTCCGTAGCCTAGTTGGTAAAGGCGGTTGATAAACCTTTGGTTTGTCCATGGTGACCAAAGTTTGAACCCCGCGAACTTACTGACCCGTTTCAATTTCGTGTCGTTATTAATTGGATTACGCAGATATATAAAGTATGAAGGAAGCTCCGACTTATGAGAAGATAGAAATCCTAAAATGGAGATAATCGATGGGTCAGACCTTGGGAAATGGAGATTTTTGAAGTTCATATTTGGATCAGGCATGATTGTGATACTCGATTTATCTATGGCCAATGGTCGGCCACACAT